GAGGATACTTATTTAATTATTTAATAATTAATATTTCTCTAGAAAATCGCTGAAGACCCATCACAGACCGTGACAGACGGGCTTTGAAAGCATCACAGACCGTGACAGACGGACTTTGAAAGCATCACAGACTGTTAGCTTTCAATATACAGGGATGTGATATATTGAGCTAATCTTTATTTTCTATATCTATATAGAATAAAGCATACATACATGAATGTCGTAATGTAGCTGATGCTTCTATATGTATATACGTTCGATATTGATAACAATATAGATGATGATTTTGATAATTTTATTATCAATAATAAGGATGTTACAACGTTCAGTAGAAGAGAAAGAGTAAGTGAAAAACAAGAACAAAGGAATATATATATATACAAATATCAATGCGTAATATCGATTAACTCAATCACGTGGAAGAGTTTTCCAATCGGTTACGCAACAGAACGCAACAAATAGAGCGTAACAATGTAGATGTGTAGCTTACGACATCTACAGGCGCTCACACAGACCGTGACAGACGGGCTTCATAGGGATCACAGACGGTGGCAGATGGGCTTCATAGGAATCACAGACTGTGACAGACGGGCTCTAACGGCATCAAAAACAGTGATAGACGAGCTCGAGGGGATTACAATCGTGGTAGCTGACCTCTAAAGGCAACAAGAACCGTGATAGATTTTATTGGTATACGATTTATGGCCACCTATGAGTAAGATCTTATTGTAGTCCTGGAGGAGTGATGAAAGAGTTGTGAACTAAGACATCAGGAAATAGCTGGAACGACGAAGTTGCTATATGTTCAGTGACAAGAGCTATATCGTGTTGCACATTTTAATCCCATAGGGATTGCGCTAACAGCTTTTTTATGTACATTCGAAAGACCATCATCCAAATTCACTGCACACAAATTTGTAGCTCCTTTGGGTGCTCTGTAGCGGAGTTAGTAGAGATTAACTTTTAATACTACTTACGAAGTATCCGAAGAATAGCGATAAATTGATTCATCAATATTCACTGAAATTGTACTTCAATAAATTAGACATTTTTTTCAAGTAAGATAGCAAAAGTTACAGTGTCAAAAGCTGAATGAAACTAGCTATTTTAAAAGCAGAATTTCATTTATTTAGTCGGATTATATCAATCCAACGCAAGTCGAGTTGGTTTCAATTTATGAGTGCTTAGCAACATATTTTTGAGTGTATCTACCGCCATTTTTTGAAATAAAGAAAAGATACGGGTCATTTGATATTTACAACATAGCGTTTGATTTCTTATATAATGGTAAGAATATAGTGAAAAAAAGTTGATCTTCAGGGCAAAACAGCATCTGCCAATATCCATAGCAGTGCAGGGACTCAAGTGATTTTTAATAAAAAAAATAATTTTAAACGAATGGATGGAAAAAGATAGAAAGGAAAAATGTTGAAACTAAAAATATCGAAAACATCCCCCTCACTCTTACATCCACATTTTCACCTCTCGATTTTCTTTTCGACATTTTCCCTTTCTATTTTTTTCCATCATACCGCTGAGATTATCGATGATTGCCATCGACTACTGTCCACTTTTTCACTATCCAATGACCAGTGGAAGCTTTTTCTGGAAATACTTTTAGTTTTCATCATTCAGGAGAATGGCACTCATATTTTATCAGTGAAATGATTCTTAGATTACTAATGATCGTTTTGATTACAATCAGCTTTCTCAACCTTGTCAAAACTCATTATTTATAAGAGAGTTGTGAACGATCGTTTTACTCGAAAAGTTAACTTTGTTTTCAATATATTTTTACCATTGTATAAATAAACATAGGCCACAGAACATATGTTAAAATTCACCGTAGCAGTTTTAATTTCAAAAATCGCAGTAGATGTACTGTAAAACTTAATCACTATGCGCTCATAGAGTAAGATGTACTGCACTTACGTTGGAATATATAGTTGCAGTGAATAGATGCTTTAAAGTATTTGATATAGATATTTTTTTTCAATTTTCATACTCTATCGATTGCTATATTTCATGAAAGAATTGTCTAACTACTTGAAGTATAATCGTCGTAAGCATTTACGGCTCAATTTATCAGTATTTATGGATATTATTAGGTAGGTTGCGCTAAAAGCTCTGCCTAATCCGCTATGCTATAGAGCATCCAAATGAATTGAAGATTTGAGTTTGGTAATTTTCTACGAAGGTACTTCCAAGTAGAAGTGCACTAATTCATAAGGTATGATATGAAACATTACATTTTTTTCTTATTAAGAATCTGATTTTTTGCGGATGTCTTATCGCAATCATGATCAGTGTTTTTTCATTATATCCACCGTTTAAGTCAGAATTCATGAAACATAAAGCGAAGGTTTTGGAGTTGATATGAAATTCGCTGAAAACTCACATTCTTTATATTTTTTCGATCAATTTCTATCGACCCCAACTAATTTTTAGACTTGTTCCAGACAAGGGAGAAAGTATTTGTACGTGTACTTGTTCAAGTAAAAATAAAAGTACAAGTACATCTTTTAAAGTACATGTAAAATACTTTTACTGTTGTACTTTTACTTGTCTCAGCTCTTCTGTGTTCTCTAGTAGAGAAAGTTTCGGAATATATTTGGAAAGAGCAATCAAAACTGAACACAATTCGCACGAAGAATCGTTGGGTGCCTGAAAGATCATAGCACTGGATATGTATTTTTGTAAGTAGGAAAAAACAATTCTTTGAGTTTCTAATCAGAGGTTTAAATATCTCTGGTGTTGAGATGTTTTGGACTCCAAGCAATTCTTCATACCAAGTGTGTTACGTTTTGAATGTTTTTTCCAAATATATTCTGAAATTTGGTCTAATACAGAACACTGGTCTAAAACTTAGTTGAGATTGACAGGAATCGATCGAAAAAATATTAAGAATGTGAATTTTCAGTGAATTTCAGATCAATCCCGAAACCTTCATTTTATATTTCATGAATTTCGACTTAGGCTGCGGATCGAGTGAAAAAAACTGATCATGATTGAGATAAGACATCTCCAAAAAATTAGATTCTTAAGAGACGTTCCACGAGAAAATCAAAAAATTTCACAGATCGAAAAACATGTGGGTCAACCGAATTGGAATCTGACTCTATAGGAATTTAGGCCTTGGTGTACCATATATGAATCCAAAATATTACGGTCTAAAGATTTCCCTACGGTCCGCTAGGACCAGCCGACCTGAGACACCCTAAAAAATACCATCAAAAAATGAAAAAATTTCAACTTTTAGTTTCCGTGAATTTTTTCCTTCAAGTTGTTCCCTGTTCAAATTGAGTCATATACCAATCGATAGAGCTTGACTTGCTCTACAAAACAGTATATTTGACAATTCTCATCAGTGTCGTTATTAGAGTCAAAAAGTCAAAATACTGGAGTTTTTGACAAAATCTAATTTTTTCTCCAGTATTTTGATAAAATGTCCGTATCAAAAGATGAATGACGAAACAGAAATAACATCATCTTATAGCCCGCTCAATTCTGCATCGAACCATATACGAGATATTCATTTTCAATGTTCTAAAGCCGAGATAGGTAGACTGACAAATTGAGTACTGAGCGATATTCAGTTATTACGTGTGCAATTCACTATATGTTTGTTTTCAATATTTTGAGGCAGGAGTGTAACGCTCTCTCCTGCTTCCAAAATATACTAATCTCACACCCATGATGCTTTTGACAGGGCCTTATCACTGTGAGCACGTGCCCCCCCCCTCGNTGTCTCAGGTCGGCTGGTCCTAGCGGACCGTAGGGAAATCTTTAGACCGTAATATTTTGGATTCATATATGGTACACCAAGGCCTAAATTCCTATAGAGTCAGATTCCAATTCGGTTGACTCCCATGTTTTCGGAATTTTGATATTTTCATGGAACGTCTCTTAATAAGGAAAAAATCTCATGTTTAATATCATGCCTTAGGAATTGATGCATTCCTACTTCGAATGTAGATAAAAAGTAAAAAACTAATTTTGACCCGTGCATTAGTTTCTTGAACTTCTCGTGAACTCCCTCTGAAAGAACTAATTAGAGATGCCAACTGCTCGACTCTGGCTATTTTTCGTAGAACTTTACAAAAATTTGATATTTCCTCGAAATAGCCTTTCCTTGAGAAGAAATTGGGTTTAGCAATTTGAAGAAATCGATGACAGATTCTGATTTGTTGACCTCAATTACTTTTGATCAAACTCTATAATAAAAATCGTTATTTACTCGAAGTACCTTTTTCGTACTAGGAAACTGCGATGACAATTTTTTGAGCTATTTATTAGTTGTTAACTGGTATCGTAAGGGTAGCTCTCCTTTTCTAGCTGTTCTTTACAGGAATAGAGGGTTGTTACTAAAAAACATTTTCGATTAATCCTTGTCAATGATAAAAAAAAGTCGTTGCAAACTAGGATGCAGAGTTTTCCTATTGCTCAGGGGTTCTATAAGTAGCCCCATGTCGTCTGTTTTTCTAAAAAACCGACGGTAACCGCTGGTTTACTTGAAAACCGCTGGTTAACTTCGGTTAACCATCGGTCGAAAGCTGGAACGATAATTAATGACGTGTAACCGCGGTTAACCGATGGTTTTTTTGGTAATCTTTAATTTATAAAAATTTTAAAAATAAAATGTACAGAATTCATCCTATTAAAAAGATTCAAATTTATATCGATGGAATAAAGTTTCACATTAAATTAGTAACATTTTTAAGCGAAATTCAGTGTACACCATCAACAGCATCGGATTGGTTGATTCATTTTATTGTGCGTTCTTCCTTTGTATTTTACGTTCTTTGTTTTATTTCATTTGTAGACCATACTATATAAATTTAAGTAGTTAGTAAATTAACAATTCACTTTTAGTTTTTTTCAATTTTCTACATACAAGTAATCTGGTAAAATGATATTTCAATCTACGATTCTAATAAGCTTTTTTATGATTGTCTTTTTTTTTAAATTTAGATGAAATGGTTATGATCCACGATTGATTTATGTACAAGAAGAAATTTTATTCTAGACGTGTTGTTGATAGACGTCATAAACGTCTACACAAATCAAAGAACCATAAAAATTATATACAGAGTTCCAGTAGCAATGATGATACTGATTGCCCTATTGATGATTTCAAAGAATTTAAACATTTAATCGATACGAGCATTCCTTCGATGATATATAAAGATTTCAACACCAACCAAGCTTATGATGATGATGTACATGATAATACAAATGAATTGAATGATTTCGTTGATAATTCTACTGATTATTCATCACCATTATATCGTGGTTGTAAATATTCAACAAAAAAATCAACTAAAATGCTATTAGATTTTCTTATATCTCAAATACATTTAGACAAAAAAAATATTATTGGTTTAATAAAACTAATAAAACTTTTACTACCAATCCCAAATAAATTGCCAACGTCATGGAAAAAGATTAAAAAATTATTTGGAACAACAACTTTATCATTCACAACGTTTTTATGTGCAAATTGTCTTAATGTATGTAAGATAACAAGTTTCAATACAAAAAACTGCTCGAATAATAGCTGTCGATTATTTGATAGAACGTTAAAAACCAGCGAAATAGTGGAAATTGTGCATCTTGATATTCGTTCCCAAATTAAATTGATAATAAATCGAAATATAAATTTACTACAACAACAACATAACGTTTCCCCATCATCTGATGTTACGTCTGGTTCTTTTTACAGGAAGATGGCATCAAGTGAACATTCTAATACCGTGACATTAATTCTACATTCTGATGGAGCTCCCTTGGTACGCTCCACAAAGCAATCTATTTGGCCCTTTTTTGCTTCGATAGTGGAGCTGCCACCTCCTGTTAGAGATTATCAAGCGAACATTATATTATTATCTTTATGGTCATCAAAACGAAAACCAGATGTTAATGTGTTTTTAGAAAAAAGCATGTAAGTCAAGAATTTTTTTATATATTTTGTTGATTTCTTCTTAATCACATACATAAACTTGCACTTTTCATAAATGAATTTTATTTTTACCTTACTCCAGAAATGATATAGAAAGATTAATAAACCATGGTACTGTATTTTACATTAACAACATGGAGTATCGATTCCTCATACGTATACAACTTTTTGTAAGTGATTTACCAGCAAGGGCTCTAATGTTCAAGACTACTCACTTTAATGGTTATTATGCATGCCATTATTGCGTAACTAAAGGTAAAGGACATGTTTTAGAAACAACTATCAAGACTTTTCAATTGTTGTTTTTTTTGCTTTAATTAATGAATTTTTCATTTACTTTTCCTAAAAGAAGAGCAAAGAAAGAAGATCAACATACTTTTTCTTTGATAAAATTTCCGCAGTTCAATCGATGATATCATAGTCATTCGAAAAAGAATAATAATTAATATTAATATTTTCTTCTAGGACATTGGAGTGGATCATCAGTAATATATCCATATGATAAAAATAATCTTGAATTACGAACACATGTGGGATTTACTGCTGCTGCAAACGAAGCCAAACAGAAATCAACGAACAAACGCACACCAAATATACAAGGTGTTAAAGGTTTTTCATGCCTATTGAAAATTATTTCATATCCACGACAAATAGTGCTCGATTATATGCATTTGGTATGTTTAGGACATGTACAAAGTTTAATAAAACGCTGGTGTCAGTTACTAAGTTCAGTTGATATTATGAAAATGGACAATATGTTATCCATAGCCCGTTTTCCACACAATGTTCATGTTATATATAACGAATCAATTTTAAATGTTGAATCATGGAAAGCAAAACACGGGAGGTTGTTTGTATTGAATTTAGGAATACCTATTGGTATGTTAATAACATTTATTTTGCCTACACTTTATAAATAGATTTAATAATGAAGAGTTGTAATTATCACATGATCGTATTTACTTTTCTTTAGGTATTTCCTGTTTACCAGTCTTGAATTCATCTCATTGGATAATTTATTGTTTATTAGTCAAATTATTACATACACCAGAATCATCAGATGACATTGATTTTGCGGATATGTTGATCAATTACTATTGTCGTACGATTGCCAATGTTTACGATGAGTCTTTAGAGCTGTATTCATTGCACGCACATTTACATTTACCCTCACAAGTACGTTTACATGGTGGTTTATCTACGTCTTCGGTAAGATATTCACATTTCGAGTTAAAGTACAAAAATTTTAATTGATTTTCTTTATTATAGGCATTTGCATTTGAGTCTTGTATCCGATATTTAAAAACAAAAGTACATGGTACAAAGCATTTGGCTTCTCAAATTGCATATTGGTATGATATACAATCGATTGTCAACCAGAGAAAAGCTGAAACAACAACATCATATGGAGTTAACGAAATTAATCTACAAAACGAATGCATTAGTGATTATCGTGATCATCTTGTTTATCTTATTCAGGTGTATGATCAAGACTTGAAACAAATTGCATTTTTTCGGCGCTTCAAACAATCATTTAACACGTTCCATACATTAATCTATGATAAACCATATCGATGTCGAAGCTATATTATTTCTTATAGTATTAAAGGTGATGATCCTGTTATTCAGTATGGTAATATAATCTTATTTTATAAATATAATAATAACTATTTTGCATTCATACAAAAGTACCGTTGCTCAAGAAAACAGTTGTCACAATTTGTAGAATTACCTATAGAAATATGTAATAAATTGAATGAAATGTATCCTTTACTTGAACTTACAAATGAGTATGACATTATTCGTGCTGACGTGATTCGTCATAAATGTGTGATGGTGAATTTTCAAGATGTTTATTGTTTATCAGAATTAAAAATGGACTTTGAACATGACTAGAAAAAATATAATATATTATTTATCTCCATATATCTTCTATATTTTCAGATCATATATTTACTCTTTTTGTTTTTGCTTGATTTTTAAATGGCGTCAGCAAATGTCTACGAAAAGCATTATATAACGAAATCTCGTATAAACGACAACGACAATTCATATTTACTGATAATTTTCAAAAGTGACAATACGTTCACAATTAAGAAGAAATCGAATGTTTATGGTATCACAGAAACTGGTCTAGTAACAGTCAAAGATCGAAATAAAAGTTATGTTGGCTATTGTTTATTTGAAGGTCAATATCTAACAATGAAATATCATAATACTATAAATAAAAATTTGTAAATAAAAATTTCGTATATTTTAGGAACTTTAGCTGAAGTGGAGGCAGCAGCTGAGCAATTGGATAAAGAAATGAACACTGACATTGAATCTGATTGTGAAAATGGTAATAAAAATTCTCAATCCAACAGTCGTCAAAACTGTAATTCTCAATCTCTCGTGCCAACACCTTGTAATTCTAGTATCCAAATAATTAGGTCATCGTCAATTAAAAACAATATGGCTCAAGCAGAAAAAACTAAAGGTGAGTTTAAAATGTCTATTAAGACTGAATTCTATTTTTCATTTTGTTTAAGATCCAAAAACATTCTCTCTTGTTAGTACATCTTTTCATGGTAAACTGTTACATTCTGAAATTTTGCATTATGATCCTTTTATTTTCATTGTAGACATGTCAAAGTCTTATGAAACGATAGCAATGTCTGATGATAATCCACTTGAGAAGAAAAAAACAGAATGTGCTAAAAATAAAAGTAAGAATAACGAACCATAGCATTTTAACATATTGTTTATTTTATTAGTTGTTTCTTCTGCTTATCAAGTCTTATGTGACGTTCAAAATATGACAAAAGATAATGATAGACGATGCTCAGATGAAATGATGTCAGATAGTGAAATGAGTAAAGATAGTTTTGATGAAAATGATGATTCAACAGAAGTAGTACTAGTTGCAAAACCTTCATTAAAGTCGGCAACAGTAGCAAAAAAAAGAATAGACGACAAAGCAAAAGTAAAACAATGTGAAAAATCAACATCACACGCCATCAACCCGAAGTCTCGTCACAACTATCAAAAAAAAATATCCTCCAAACAACTTTTTCCTTCCAATGCTTCTGAACAGGATGAATTAAATATAACATTGAAATCATTAATATCCACAATGAATAATTTAGCCAAAGACTTAAAACAATCATTATATGATATCAAAGAATTGTTCACTTGTATGGAAAAGTTAGATGCGAAGATGAACATGGTATTTGAAAATCAGCGAAAAATGCAACGAGCATTGGCAAAGAGAAAGGCTAGTATTTGAAAAATTTTCATTGAAAAGAATTTTTTATTACTTTCAGATCAATGTAGCACTGTATGAAGATTGTACAAATGATGATACAACGCCAACTGATGTCCCATTTCAACAAACGCTGGTATATTCTTCAACGGGCTCTAATTATTTATTGTATTTTCTTATTTATTTTCAGCTTCATCTAAAGCCGGATAATACTACTGTTGATTTATTGCAATTGTTTGGAACTCGAAGTCACATCGGTCGATTTGTAGCGTTAGTTATGGATAATATATTTTCCAAACAAGAGTTGTGTACTATTAGCCGAGTTCAACTGATATCAGATGAGCGTTACAATTTAATCAAAGGTTCGACAATAGTGAAAGTAAATCATTTTCATTAGTTTTACTTCATTTTTAGAAGCAGTGCGATCACGATTCAAATTAAATCATGAAGAAATGAACAGTGAATGGCCGACAATCCATGAAAGTATTCTTCAAAAACGAAGAAACGAAATAAAGAAAAACAAGGAATGTTCGTCTCACCAACAAGAGTGAATTATCATTAAGAAACGATCAACGATAGAATGAACCGGAACAATCGATGTAAACGTATTCTTGCATAGTCACTTTTCGGCAGTTAGCTGTCTTTTTTGTATATTGATGTACTTATTTTGTTGTTGAGAGTATTTTTTTCATTTAGCCAAGTACTTAGTAGTTTTTATTCATTTACATTGCAGAAGCTTATAAGATGGCATTTACATACTTGCTTGTAAAATAGGTTCATGTTTTAAAATATGTATGCGTGCTTTAGGTATGATTCGTATTCATATGCGAAGAGAATGCTTTGTTTTGATGTATTTATAATCTATTATTCAGGTTTTTTCAGCATTTTGTATAAGGTTGAAATAGACAAATAAATTGATAATACTAGACTTAAATGAAGTTTTAAAATTAAATAGCAAATTGGAAAAAGGGGTTGTAACGTATTACACCAATCGAACAGCGATCAAAAACCTTCGGTTAACCGAGGTACACCGCGGTCAACCGGAAATTTATCGGTTAACCGGAGTTCACCGAACGGTTAAGCTCCCAGTTGACCGAACGGTAAACCGCAGTTAAATGACGGTTTTTTTCCGGTTTGAAGACCATGGGATCTCTCTTTGTGTTTGATATATATTTTCGTCCGACGTCTCATTTACGTAATCTTTAAAAGTAGGAATTTTTTATTCGACATTTTTATATATCGATATTTTTATTTTCGACATTTTTGTATTTCGATATTTTTATTTTCGACATTTTTACACTTCGATATTTTTACACTTCGATATTTTTATTTTCGACATTTTTACACTTCGATATTTTTATTTCGACATTTTGACTTTCGGCGTTTTTCAGGTGAATCGTTATTTTTATGTTTTAGTTCCATTCAACAATTCAATTCAATTCAAACAAATGTAATTACATCTTGATGAGACTAATCCGGTCGTTTTCTCATGGGATTAATCAAAAATGAGTTTAATCGTGGGCAACTCGGTATTATTATTGCCATTAGACCTTCATTCTAAAATGACTACCAACTCCTTTTTTGTTCCTCTTTCCTGTTATCCTTTCCATATTAGACGAGAACAATCATCAATCCTTTATCACTGCTGACGGGCACCCCTGCTCTAGCTGATGTCTTTGTGTCAAATAAATTAATTTAGATCGATATGAGTGACTAATAGATATGCAACGAGCAAGATTCAGATGAGTTTATTTTATTTAGAACAGAAGAAAGGTAAACTCAATTGAAAATTAATGCTTAATCAAATGAAAGAGTATAGCAATATTCTGAATTTCAATAAAATAAATTTAATATGCTTCAATTAAACTAGTAAACAATAAATTACTCAACCGATTTATGATTGTCGTCAATGAGTATGATTTTTGTTTGTTCGTATTAACTCATAGTGTTAACAATGTCAGTGATCTCACGTTCATCAAGTAACTCTCAAATTCAGAAATATGACGCTGGGTGTATCTTTACAATTTGATTACGTTATTTTTGATAGCTTTTTTGATCTTGATATATTGATATAAAGTCTCAGATATTCCTTATTTCTATATAGTTGAACAGAGCATTACTTATTCTATCGAGCTATATATATTTATTACTGCATTTATTTCACATCTTCTTCGTAAATTCGCGAACAATTGGAACGAAACATGTGAATACTCACATTTCAGTTCCACTAAATGCGTTAATGGTAAAACTCCGTGGAGAGGGGAAAAGTTTCATAAAACTGAAGCGGGCAGAAAATGGTAAACACAAATAATTAGAAATTGAAGAGACCATTGAATTTTACTGTTGCAATTTGGTCTACTTTTGCATTTATTAAAATCCAAGTTTATCGTAATTACTCTTCGCAGAAAATTTATCTGTAAAACTGAACGTAAATCTAATAAACATTGTTTAAGTGAGTAGAGAAATCAACGTTCTATTCAACTATATATAAAAGAAAAGGTTTTAGATGTTTAAACAATCAAAATTTTGTTGAAGAAAAACCAGAAGCCATATGTGAAAAACGCTTCAACAACATATTTCTGAGATAAGTCACCCGATTTTGCAGTATAGATAAATCATAAGCCCAATAAAAGAAAGTACATATTTCATTTCAGAACACAACAGCCTTTTATTGTGTATAAAAAATTAAATTTCAATCATTCAAGGAATAATAAAAATAACCTGAAAAATCATCTGAAAATGACTACACGTAGAAATCGATGATAATTGCTTTTCCAAATGTATTGCACTATTGTATAATCTTCAAAGTGAACAAAATGAAAACCGCATAATTAGATAAAGTAGTCGATGCTCTAGTTATCCCACCGTATCAAAACGAGAAATTTCTGAGTTTTTGTTTAAATACAGAGAACTCAACAAACTATTGAAAATAGTACAATCAATCTGTATTTCTACAAACACTCAGCAAGCTAATAATCAAGATGAAAAATAAGTCCGTTGAAAAACATAGTGCGGTAGAGAAATGAATAATTCATTATTCTTCACAAAAATAATGATTTTCACTATTCGAGTAAAAACCATCCTTGAAAAAAAATGACTTAAGAAATGAAATGAAAATTGTTTAGTAAAAAAATCTATTTAGACTCATTTCCAGGAAGTATCAAATTCAAGAACAAGTTGTAAAATAAACAAAATGAGAATTACATAGTTCCATAGAGAAATCAATGCTTTATCAAACAATATGGAAACAACAAGAAACTGAGGTATTAGATAAATGCAGCAAGCTAAAAAGAAACTACCAAAATATAATGTAATCAAGGTGTATATATCTATATATATTATGTAGCAGGTATATAATGACTTATTTTACAACACTTTATCCAGAAATCCTAATAACAACTTACACTAGAGGTGTAGTAGGCGATGCCATCGATGTAATTGAGTTCAGATTCATTTGAAATTTACAACTTTTTATGGTCTGAAACTTTTTAATTAAATATTAAATCTATAAAATTTGCTATTCAAATCATAAAAATGAACAAAATTTTAGTGGTTACTTGACCGTACATTGCAATGTAAAACAGAGTACAAACGAGTGCGCTATTTTCTGTTCACAAAGTATCTATTAGTATTTTGCCTTACATAACAAAGTATTCGCTAATATTTTTCAGCTAATAGAAAATAAATCGCTTATGGAGCAAGAGGTGGCGTACATCTCTACCTATGTGTAGATGTTGAAGTATATATCCCATGTAATCGAAACCGCCATAAAACCGCCGGTTTTCCGCGTTCGTGCTATATTGGAATCAGGTGCTTCTTTTTCAGTTCTTATTGCATTCAAAAGGATCCATAAGTATCATTTTATAACTAATATTATATTTAAAAAAATACAGAAAAGTGGCAAGTAGTATCGCATATATTCAAAAACAACGAATTTCACGCAATACAGAAAAAAAACTACCTGGTATCACCTATAATGAATAGAAAGATTAAAATTAAAACATTCTTGTTTGCCTTTACCTGTACAATGAATTTCTGTGACTGATAAATAGATAGTTATGTCTAAGAAATGAAAAAAATTAGATTAAATTATTCCCTACATTTAATGTATAAATATAAAGAATAAATAAATGTATATTCTACACTACTGAATTTTAATAATACAACTTAACGTTTGAAATACCTTGGAAAGTACAATTAAGATGAAACAAAGATAATTTCTTATTTTAAAATTATGAATATATACTTAATTCGAATGAAAAACACATCTATAATATCTAGAAATATAAGAATGCAACTAAATTAAACTGGGATAATATAGAATCAATATAAAAATAAAATTTATTTTTAACTTATAAATGAGTATAGATTTAAATATAAAAACAACATTAAATTTTCTAATATCTTCGAAAACATCATTGAATAAAAATAATCATCAATAATATAGTACAAAAAAGAAAATAAAATAGTACGTCATTCGTCAGGTGCGAATGAGCACATATTCGGTCCTAAAGGAGCATCAATTTTTGTCCTATTTAGAAAAATAAAAAATATTTTATAATTAAAGTATCGTGAGTAGCTGCCTAATTCGAGTTCGAATATAAATGGAATTTTCCGATAATCGTATTGTGCACCAGCAAAAGATAAAGATAAATTTTATCCTAACTCGAAATGTTATAATTCGAATTGAGACTGTCATATAAGTAAAACAAAACACTAAATTCGATAATATAAGCAATATTTTGTTGCATGATTTCGTGTGCTTCTTTTTCAAAGTTTAAGTTTTCAAAAAAGAAACTAGTACTGAGTAACTTCCTTACACTTCGATACAGACATCAAATCACGTGATGGGTAGGAGCGTTGCATTTGAAGGAAACGCAAATGATATGTATAAGAACTACTTAGTCTGGATAACTCAGAACATTTTATCAATTTGATTGAACAGAGTAAAATAGAGATGCTGAATGACGCAGAAAATGAGTGAACCGAAAGAATGTCATAATATTAGTCTTTGTTTAAATTTGAAAATGTTATCGAACAGTTCTGAAAAATGGAATGAAGATACTCTTTTAACAAGTGAGAAAGTTGTTTCCTTTTTATGGGACTTGAAAAAGTACTCAGATATCAGCGTCTATCATAAGACTAACAGAAATTTGTTTAAGGTGACGAACACAAAATGTCTTCTCAGAATATTAAAATGTATGGAAATAGGAAGTGTTGAAGGAAAAATTCTACAACTTCTTCACTACACAGATCCAGTTTATTGCTGCTTATTTCTTACAATACCTGACCAAAAAAGTTCAGTTTATAAAAGTAAATGCTAATCTGATGAAAGTTGACGTTTTGAGATATCCAAGTAGACAAAAAGAATTCGAATACGCGTTGAAACGCACAAAAAACGACCTTCTTCTGTCGTTTTTTTATGCATTCAGCTGCATTTTGCTGCTTAAAATACGTTTAAACGCACAAGAAGAATGAAAAGTGGACGTTTATCGCACACAATCTGGAATCCAACTGACATCCAAAAACGAACAGTTTTTCTTGAGTTTTCGTCTTTCTTTTGTACGTTTCAACAAATGTTCGAAAATTTTTGTCTGCTAGGCTATACAAAACTGATGGTTTCATAAAGAATGGATTGTAATACAAATCTCTTTCATTGTACGATGCATTTCCTGTCTGCATGAAAAAAACCTGGTGAAAACGATGCTCAACAAACCCTAAAGTGTTTTTAACTGAATAATTTAAAAATAGTGGAGCTGTCGCAATTTTGATCCAGAATCCAATTCACTTCTTAGGGATCAGTGTTTATCGACGAATTTTTCCTTGGGTGATCTATGCTCAATGTTGAGCAATCTTTTCGAACCTATCCCAAGGTCTTGTTTAGTATAATTGCAATTTATTAAAATTTGACTTCTTCAACGAATAGAGAAAGAAAAACACGTAAACGTACGTACATCCGACTTTGATTTAACGACATCTATTCTATTAATTATGTATATCGTATAATCATTCGTTAAATAAGAAAAATATATATTTCTAACTAATTTCATAAAATTGCAAAAATATATATATTTCGAAGTATTAAAGTCACAATCTGTTTTGCTTTTTGTTTTAATATTCGTTCACGTTTATTTGTTGGTCATTTTTCCTCATCATTTTTCTTTCAAAGCAAAAATATCATGTCTTCATTTGCCCATCAACGACAAGTTTTCCTTCGTCAATTAAGTCAAGCCTGTCCAGATAGCATGTCACTATTAAAAACTTATGTATCTGACTGTTTACATTTAATTTCTCCATCTTACAAAAAGACTCGAGATCCATTAGCAATGAAAGAACTTTCGTCTAAATGTCCGTCTTGTTCGCATATTTACTCTACGAATTGTTTCCAGTACCGTGGAAAACTTCATATTAATCGACGTTTACATCATCTTCTCGCGATTCGTCGTAAATATCAGCGAATGCCAGCACCTAATACATACAAACGTCGCTTATTAGATAATTTTACAACTAAATCTCGTTCAAAATTACTCATTAAATGTTTTCAATGTGGTGAAATAAGAAAGTTTCAAGGTGCAACAAGAAAAGATTTATCAAATAAAATAGTTAAAAAAGTCGAACCTGTAAAATCTAAACCTTTCACGAATAATAATGCTAAATTAAAAGAAACATTTGACAAAGTATCTTGTCGTTTTTTAAAAAAAGAAAGTCAACTTCGATCATTTCTTGAACAACTTTAAATTGTTTCTTTTGTTTTTCAGATTAAATGTCGAATTCCGAAGAAACACTTACACCTGAACAACTTGAGCGTATTGAACGGAATCGTCAACGTGCACTACAACTTCGTGCTAGTTCAACAAGAATCTATGAATCTCAACATCAAATTACTACTACATCTGCTCCTACGCGCAAGCAGCAAATTGATTCTCATGCTGGATTCTTTCTCGACGAAGATTCAACATCAATTGATAATCGTCCAGTCGTATACGAAACAATACCAATAATTCATCAAACAAAACCCGATCAATTGGATGTTCTCGGTATGCCGTGTAACGAATGTCAACTGATATTTTTAACATCATTTTTATATACACATTTCGATGAATCTATTTGTGATACATGCCGAGAAAAATATTCAATTAATGATGAAAAAGATGATATTGATGATGAAGAAACAATCCGTTATAGTTTAATAACACGTACATTAGCCAAAGACAAATATTTATTAACAGACTATGATTTAGATAAACGTGAACCAAAATTAAAATGTATTGAAAAGAAAAATCCACATAATCAACGTTGGGGTGTGATGCGTCTTTATCTACGTTATCAAATTCAACGTTTAAGTTCAGAAATACACGAAGGAAAAACTGAAGAGAAACTAGTTGAACGTGAAGAAAAAAAAGCGGAGAAAAAAAGAAAAAAATATGAAAAACAAATCGAACAATTACGATTAGATGTTCGATCTAGTTTACAAACGAAACGTATAAAAACTGTTCATGAACATACATATGATGAAAAAAATACTACGTATGATGAAGATACAGATATGTACACGAAGACATGTCTTGAATGTGGATATCAATATCAATATGAAGAAATGTAAGACAATAGCAATTTAATTTATCTTTTTTATATTCTTTCGGTAATCAATGAAAAAGTGTGATATGTCAAAGAAATATTTTTGTTATTATCGTTTTTATTAAATAAAAATCTTTATTGTACAGTATTTGATTCTTTTTCTTTCAAAAAAAAATGCCTTAAGAAATGCAATCGAAATTCGCTAGATCTTGATTATCCAATAGAATGTCAAACAAGAATACAGAAAGATATTAATGATATATTCTCTAGAAAATCCATCTATAAAATGTGAACTAAACAATAGTATCACAGTTGAAAAATCATATTGAAAAGTTAAGGATATCTCATTTTAGAAGGCTTTATTTGTACTAACATTCATTATAATCAAAATAAAATTCTTCCGCCTTCTTTTTGTAAAAAATAAGAGAATAACATATGATCTAGTAGAATTGAGTCATATTAAATAAAAATCATTATGTATAGAAGTTCCGATTAAAAAGCAAGTTTGAGCTAACTAAGTAAAAACCGAATGGTAATACTATGAGAATTGAAATTTCGTAAGATACTATTTTTATAGTCGGGTGTGAGTGAAATGACTTCTTTCAAAGTATTTTTATTCAATGACTAGTGATCCGATAGAAACACAAAATAATTATTGCTACATCAGAGACGTAGCCGAATAGGCGTTGGTAGCAAATGTATTCAAGGATTCTGTATATGTTCAATTTTTTTTTATCTAAATACATTTTGTCAGGGCATCAACTTCGCAAGACTTATTTTTTATAACTATTAATTGCTGTTTGTCGGAATAATGTGGCACAATCATCATCTGGAACAACTTTCTATAGATAATTATCTATTTTTAGAAATGTTGGCATTTATAATTCAAAAATTTCATTCATCAGATTCTTTCAAACCACACATGCCGACATGCACTTTCAAGCAAATAGGAAATAATATATATTTAGTCAATTTTTGTTGAAAGATCTATCGTAACTTGAATTTATTTCAGAATGAAATAAGCTTCATCATTGTTTTCAAGTACTATGCCACTTGATATTATCATCTTCTATAAATGATCTATATCAATTTTTATTTGAAATGTTATTCTGTCTAATATATTCTTCTGTGACGATTTACTACTATCATTTAGTGACATCTGTTACTAGGATAAATCGATCCAAAAAAGAGAATCATTCTATTTACCATCTAATCATATTGTTTCTTTGTACAACATTTTTAACATAAAGAAAAGTTTACGAAAGAAGTAATTCGTGTTTGGTTTACTATTTTATTAGTTTAAGATAAATCCTTTTTTTCTAAAATCCAGCACTTGAAAAAATTGGAAAACAAAAATAACCATCAACTATGATGGACAGTGCCGATTATAATTCGATGAGTTCAAACCGTACAACTAATGATGATCAACAACAACAGCAAGATGCAAGAAGAAATCGAAAAGTTGATTATCGATTTTTAATTCCATCTCGTGATGCAGGAGGTGTGCTTGCTTTTACTGTTATTTTAATTTAAAAAACCTTAAATTTCTTTATCTATTAAAGCAATCATTGGCAAAGGTGGCAAAACAATTCAAGATCTTCGTTTGAAACATCATTGCCAAATTCAAATGGCTGATTGTGAATCGCCTGAACGTGTTTTAATTGTAAATGGTGATCAAAAAGACATACTTAGTTGTGTATCAGATATACTATTGAGTATTTATGAAAATCATCAACGATCAACAAAATCTGATCAAAGCGAAATTCGTGCATTGATTCATCAATCTCAAGCAGGAGCTTTAATTGGTAAAGGAGCATCACGAGTTAAAGAATTTCGAGAAAAACGTGAGTTGAAATCATAGGTAGAATATATTTTTCAAAATGTTAATAATCAGTATTGATTTAGATAATATCGATGTTAAAATTTATCCACAATGTTGTCCTGGTGGTTCAACTGAACGATGTCAGAATTAAGATACATACATATTTGATATATTGAAGAGTAAATATTTTTCTTTTGCAGGCATTTCAATGCGAGGAAATAAAGATGATGTCATAAGATGTTTAACTGAAGTCTATAGTGTATTAGAGGGTGTACCACCGCGTGGACCTTATCGTTATTATGATCCATCAACATATAATGGTTTTAGTATTTCTGATTATGGAGGTTATGCCGATAATCATCAACATTTACGTGGCAATAATCCGTAAGAAAAATGATCTATTAAATGAGTAAATTCGGAATTTTGTTTTTTTTATTATCATCAATGTAGTTATGTGCAACCACAAGGCTATCCGCAATATGGTGGTGGATATAATCCATTACTTGCACAAAATGGACCAGTAACAACAACTCAAGTAACCATTCCAACAGAACTAGCTGGTATAATTGTTTGATCATTGTTGATATTTTATTTCGGATAAATTTCGTAATAAAACTGTTGTTTCTCTATTTTTAGGCATAATCATCGGAGCAAAAGGTTCAAAAATATCACAAATTCGTCAAGAATCAGGAGCATCAATAAAAATTGATTCTGAACCTATGCCTGCCACCAATGATAGATTAATAACAATAACAGGTAATCCAAGTCAAATTCAACAAGCACAATTTCTTCTTCAACAAGCTGTTCGACAATCTGGATTATGGAATCAATGATTATATAGTATGCAAACATATATTGTAATCATGGTGACAAATCCTGTGAGAAAAACCTATCATTTCATTCTTTTTTTTTTGTTTGTTTTTAATTCGATTGATTGCACGCATCTTCTGCCGTTTTTTGTTTATGTACGGAGAATAAAGAAAAGAACGAAAGTATAATAAAAAAAAAGCAGGCCATCCATTTTAAGATTTAACTATGAACAAGTATGGATACAAAAAAACTAATTTTTGATAATTGGTATTTAATTTATTGTAAGTCTTTGCTTTTTTATTCAGGTGCAATATTTTCCAATTGCAATATATCATAAGAATATGCACATGTCAAACGATTAATCTTATTATAATAAGCAGCTGATAGATATTTAAAATATAATATCAACCAGAAAACATTCTTAGTAGTCGATTTAGTGCATTGTTAGAACTTAGCGGGCTATGTTTTCCGGAAATAGAGTTGTTTTGTATGAAGAGATGCCATTTGTCTCCTGAATTTTCGCTATAACACCATACGTAGTTTCTAATTTCGAACTGAAACTTAGTTTAAGAAAAAAAATCTTCATTAGAAAAAGATTGAAAAATTTTAGAATATTAAAGCTAAGTCTTTTGAGGATATGAAAATTCAAAGAAAAAATGGATTATCTACTCTTGATGTAAAAGCATCTTGACAATATTATCTTTCAAAAAGATTTAGTCCTAAAATAGTAGACTTTTTAATGTGGCGAAATCCATGTGAGATATTTAGTTCAGATTTCGAACATACAGTCTTATTACCTATGCAGAACGTGCTGCAGCACATCTGCACTTGAGAATCTTTAATGATTTCACAAATAGGTCATAAGTCAAAGAGTAGAATGTAGATATAAAAATCCAAGTACTCCAACATACTGTCTACTATTGGAGATTATTAACAATGTTTCTACATGCTTGACAAATAAGAAAACAAAAACGGAGATTACGCCCGATAGTAAAAGAGCTATAGCTGATTGAGAATTTATTGTCATTCAGATAGATTATATATATAATTAAAATAGATTTAAATCTCTTGCATAAAACTCTACATTCATTCACTAGCTTACGTTAGGGGAAATTGAGACATAGTAATTATTTGCTGTTGTCAAAAACACAACGGTTTTCTTTTGATACTAGTAGATCCGCTAAGGTGGCATGTTCCGAGTAAAAAAATTATCAAATTTCTACTCGATAGAATAGTATTACGTGCCAACTGTAGCTCTGAATATGGAATCACATATGCATCTCAAAAGAGATTAATGGATAGCGACGATAATGTGAATACAGATCCTTCTGAAAATAATAGGTCATAATATTTCACCTCTCAAACTCAGAGAACCCAATCTAAACATCATTAATGTGAAAAGAATATGAATGCACTGCATGACACAGGTCGTGCTCCATTTCTATTTGATTAATAGATAAAAAGTAAGGCAAAAGTAAATATTGCTAGGTTGTAAAACGATTGAAAAAATCTTCGTTACAATAATTACATGATCATAATTATCGAAATATTTTATGATTCATGTGAATGAGTACAATATTGGTTGATTGAAATTTATAAAAAGTGAATTTTTTTGCCTTCGTCATGTACAAATCAATGCTGTTTTCTTATGTACAAAATCGGAAAAAAACAAAAAATTTACAAAGTAGAATATGTGAAAAAGAAGGATAAAACAAGAAAAATGGATGATTTTTGAATGCCAAATACGTTTTTTTGTACAGAAAAAATCGGTGATCATCCTCATCATCGCAAACAATGAAAAGCATACCGGACGATACAATGTTTTTGGTTTGTTTTATACTAGGATGAAAATCACCGGCGAACAATAAAGGAAGAAAAAGAAATGCTTAGCTAGGCTATTTTTCACACGGATACTATAAAGACTATATGTACAAATGTTTTCGTTTCTTTTGCTTATGTTTTAAGACTGTAGCTTCGCTTTTCTTTGAGAGCATATAAACGCTCCATATCATTTATTATTGTTTGAACAAAAGCATCTCCATTGCCAGCGACTGGTTGGCCTGGACAAAAAAAAAGATGAAAATAGAGTTTTTCAATAGATCTTATACAAGAAATTACATACCGTATTTCTTAGCAATAAGTTGATCAAGTGCAGTTTCAAGTGATTGCTTTGGTGGCGATGATGGTGAAGCAAGTTGGCCATCACGATATCGTTTAAGAATAATTAATTTTGTTGCTGCTATGATATCGTTTAACGCTTCTAAGAAACATAAAATGACTAGATGAAAAATTGTTCATAAGGGATAATCTGCGAGGGAAAAAAGAAGTTAATCTGATGTAATTTTCATTTAAGTTATAGCACGAAATAAAATGGTGTCTGACTAGTAGAGATATTCCTAAATTGCTATTCATCATTCGGATACTTTAGTCTTTGTTAAATGTATAAAAATATATATGAACCATAGTAACAATATAATTTTTAAAAAGTCAAACAAAGAGGAACTAAATAGCTTGCTTGAAGATGGGATATTTGAAACAATACAGCACCGGATATCCTGAGCAAATTCATCATAGGCAAAAAAAAGAACTATCGGTGTTGAAATAAAATTCTCTTACGGTCATCCTTCTCTTGTTTTACTAAGAACAAAGATAAAATAACATACTATGCTCGTCGTTTAGACCATGTAATTTAAGTTTGTTTGCTTCATGTTGTGCTTTTTTACGAAGTCGACATGCTCTTAAAAAGAAATTATTATTAGAATAAATTAGTCCTATTTTAAAATAACAACCTGCTAGCGATTTTATTCTTTTGCTTTTTAACTTCAACTGTATCATTACTATTTATATGATGATCAACATGATATATGCCATGATAAACAGACGATGAATTATTTGAAAGATCGCGAATTTGTTTACCCAGTTGATAAAGTTTCATAGGATTTGGTGTTACATCGTTCCCATCACCTTTTCGTAATTTATTAAATGTTTGCCCTTTTGTTTGCGTTAATTTTATTTGATAAACTGGATCACTAAATTCGCGATATAAATGTGGATCGCGTTCTTTTAAATAAAGTATTCGTTTTGTTTTAGGTCCTTTCGATTGAACATTATATTGCCAGAAAAGAGACGACGATGATGAATGTGTTTCAGATGATTTTCTTACAGCTGCTGCTGCTGCTGATGATAGATTTGTTTCTTCGTCTGATGTGATGTCATCATCATCTTGAATATGATCAGATGAATTTTGTTCAATATCGGACCATAGATCAGGTTCACTATGCTGTTCGATCGTACCACTTGGACTTTCTGGATCATCTTCAAGATAATTAAAAAATACAATCAATTTTTATAAATGTTTTCAAATGTTTTACTTTTAATTTCTTGAACAGGAAAATCAACTAATGATAATCGTTTTCGAGTTGAAGGAGTTGAATCTTCTTCAGTAGATTGATTTATTGAATATAATGTTTGTGATTGAATATTTATTTCATTTGGGAATATTGTTTGATTACGAAAATTCATACTCGGTGAACCACTAAAAGATGCAGATGGACATCGATTTGAATGAAGCTGTTTGTTGCGATTTTCAAATTCAGAAAAAGAGTTTGATATTGGTCTGGTACCATTGGTCAAAGACCAAATTGGAGTTGATGAAACATCATTTGTATTGGATGATTTATTTTGATACGAAGTTGAATTATTGTAAATTGATGATTTCAACCGATACGGATCAAATAACTGAGGATCTATATATAAATATTCAATTAATTTAAATAGCACTTCTTAAAGGAAAATAAATTCGGAGATATTTTACGATATTAGTTCACATAAAAAAGAGTTCGCTAATCAAATGAACCAGACAGTACTATTTATGACTAGTTTCGTTAGATGAAAATAAATGATAGACATGATTTGCTATTTTTCTCTTATGACTTTTCCAATGTTTTATCCATTTTGTCAAAACTCATAATCATCTTCGATGTACTGAACATAACTGATACGATTTAGCTTAGATATTTCATTGATAAACTAAAAAATTAAAATCTCTAAACTATACCTAATTTATTTTGTTGTTGTAATGTTGGTCCATCATTCATACTAGCCGAACGAAAACGTTTAACATCGGATGGACCGCTTGTGTTACTTTGTATTTCAAAAGGATATGATCGACCAAGAATAGCGTTTTCTTGTTGTTGTTGAACAGACGGTGGCAGGTTTACATTATTTGATTGAGTAAATTGTTGAAAACGATTATTATCGATACTTAATGTTATAAATTTTGGACTAATGTCCGATGATGAATGTCCTGATGTTGCTGTTGTATTGGATAGAGAATTATTATTATTCTCATTTGTATATGTTGTTGGAAGATCATTTATATTCAATGGTTGAGTATAACTTGATGTTCCTGGTGAAGATTGATTTTCAAGTAAATCAGATATAGAATCTAAGTCAAAATCAATTGATGTAACATATAAAGGATCATCAATTAAAATAGCGTCGTCGTGTTCATGCTTCATAATTTCGTCAATTTCATCAATTTCATCACAAAAATTATTTGTTATTGAGGTTTGATCCGACCAATTTGTCATTGGACTATCTTTTAAATCTTTCGTTAAAAAGAAACGAAATAATTCTTTTTTTGATAGAAAAACAAATATTTACTCGAGGGAAACATTCCCAATAAATCGTTTGTTTGACTGAATCCAATCATAAGTAATCTAAAAATATGCACTTAACGATTAAAAAAACGTCTTACAATTATCTACAAGGTCGATTTTGGTTGAAAAATTAAGGATAGAACAATATAGGCGGTGATATTCTCAGATAGGAAAACATATAATTTTGCAGATGCACTGCATATATAGGAAAATGTAACTATAGATATTAGTTAAACAATGAAAGAATATATGAAAGTTTATCACTTTCTCCAATGTTCTCGAATGATTTTATGCAGAAAAAGAAGCACGTGTCGAATACACCCGCGATTATATTCGTATAAATAAATATATATATATATATAGAATAAATACATTTCTTTCTTACATCAGTTTCATATCTAGTAAAAGTTCATGAAAGGTTAAATAGAAAAGCAACCATCAACCAATAGAATAAGAATTGATTGATTGTGTTTTTTTTCTTCTTTTTATAGTACGGGGTTGTTCGAGTATTTCTCATACACGTAAGCATGCGCCTTTTTTTAGCGTGTCCTGTAAGATAGGAAACAAGCGAAAACAAATTATATGTAAAGAAAGAAGAAAAAACAAGTCGAGAATTACTACTTGTTCTCTCTCAACCCATTCCTTCTTCTCGAATATTCGTTTCATAGTCTAACACAAAATATTGTCACGTAGGAAATAAATATCGCTAGGTAGTTTTGATGCTGTGAAATAAATAACACGCACGAAATATTTCTCTGATCGTATAACATTTTTTAATAATTTTCATACCTAGAATAAATTCATCTTAAATCGCACTGAAAAACAATTGACGAGCTTTTACTCCTTCAAAAGATGCAACTCCTAGCTGCCGACATTATGACTTACTGGTGTATTTTTATATTGTTTTCGTCCCGTATGTGTCTCTTTTCTTTTCTCTCTATCGACAGTACGACGACGAGGACAACGAGTTCAACAAGTTATAGAAAATTTTGCTCGTAGTGAAGCTCTACGATTGCAGATCTGATAAATATGAAGAAAAGGAAGAAGAAAAAAAATACTCGGCAATGATAAAGAGTATGCTTCAGTGTAATTGCTATTACTATGAGTAAGATATTATTTACTCGAGAATAATAAAAATAGATGGACTACTTCTATGGCAGCAGCAGAAGAGGAAAATAGACATTAACGACCTTTTTATTTGTGTGTTCGTTTATCGGATGTTTATTCAATGTCAATACAAAGAATTTTGTTCTGCCACACCTCTAAGTATGTCAAAGCATGAAACAAGAGGAAAATAGTATTATTTCACATACGATGTGATCGAATTTTATCAAAACGAAGAATAACAAAATCTTGATCTGATTATAAAAAAGATTTCTGTGTAACTATTCATCTAAAGATAAATATTGAATATTAAAAAATATCTAATAGTACAAGACATTTTCATTGAAACTACGATAAAATAAATTTAGACTTCAACATTTAAACTTCATATCAATCATAGTCTCCTTGAAAAAAGACAGGGTATAAGCGTTTTCCTTCGTACTATCGGTTCTTTTAAAATTAACTTCAAAATTTAAAGAATATTTTAACTTTATTTAATTAAGTATAAATTGTATAGAATATATTATTCATTTCGAATATTCCATCATATGAAGTTAAGGATTTGATATTTTTAACAAAAGTATTTTGTTATTCAGTTTAACGATCTCTTATGAAAATGTTTGAAAAACATCGATTTCAAAGTTTATAATTACAATCTTAAAACGCAATGTCAGTGAGCAATAGTAATATATACATGTTAGTGTAGTTTTGACTTGCTTAAAAATTCCAACTAGCGATCAAATACAATAGAATATCAATCAAAAATGCACTTTTTTCTGTCTGTTTTTCGTAATAAAATCAAAGAATGATTAAAGACTAGTAAATAACAGTTACATATTTTTGAATAGCAATCATACTAAATTTTCTGAAGTATTCCAATCAATAATCGTGGGGAAAATCGTATTCAATTTTTATATGATTGATACATACATTCATAAGTTTTTCAGTAAAAATTTACTGAGCAATATTAGGTACGCAATAGGAAAAAGAATTAAGTTATTCTCAAATAATACTTGAATACTCTTCAATTTCCAATGATGCGGCGATTGCTACGAATTTCGTAGTACGAAACTATTTGTTTTCGTTCGATTCGGGATCAAACAGTTTATTAGTTGATATTTCGATCAATGGTTGGATAATGGAGGTTGAAGAATTAAAAATCAGTATGGCGAACTGCTATTTTCTATTGGTTGAGAGATTCATGTCGCTACATTCAACAGGAACATTTCAGCATACATAGCGTTAAGTTCAAACAATCAGCAGTATCTCACTGAAGCATTATTCTTAATTGAAGACCGTCATTCATTCATTCTTTCTTAGTGCCGAATCTGTTAAAAAAAACAGAAATAAGTGTCAAAAAGGGATACATTGTGTTGAAAATAACTCGATCATATGAACCCAACTCCTGCCAATAGTGGCAGTTTGGTATGTTTCTTTTTTTTTAGAAAATATCGATCTTATACATAATATTGTATTCTTGTTTTAGGGCTTGAATTCCATTGTTTCGACACTTATTCCAAATCCCTCCTCGTAAGATTTGACTTCTCTTAATCAAAATAATTGCTATTTATTTTATGTTAGCCGTCCATCACCTACAACCATCGTTTCTAATATTCAAAACTCCTCATCGCCTGTCAATTTTTTTGCTAATCTACCTGGTGGGATTTTCCCACCAACTGCTACTTCTATCAACAATAATAATATAAATTCATCTGCAGCCAATCAAGGGCAATTAACATCATCAGTAAGTTAAATTTTATCTTATTTGTTAATTCATTTTTTTTTAAATATTACTATCTTTACATTGCATAGCGCCTTAAAGTGGAGGATGCACTCAATTATCTCGATAAGGTGAAAAACCAATTTGCGCTTCAACCGCAAGTATACAATCAATTTCTGGATATTATGAAAGAGTTTAAATCACAAAGGTAGATCCGTTTTTGTTATTAATAACACATTTATTTGAAAAATCTTCTTTCTTCGTTTATTTTCCAGTATTGATACTCAAGAAGTTATCAATCGTGTCTCAACACTCTTTCATGGTCATCCAGATTTGATTGTTGGTTTTAACACCTTTTTACCACCTGGCTACAAAATTGAAGTTAGCGAAGAACATCATGGTTATATACAAGTAACGCATCCGTCATCGCGAACTGAATCAATCGCTATTGGAGGTGGCACAAATACAACTTATAATTTATCTATAACAACACCAACGACAACATACCGGCAGACAGCAAATTTACTTAGTCAAGATAATGATGAAACAGATATGTTACATCAACCATTAAATAGTGCAACATCACAAGCTGTCAATGCACTAATATCAGCTGCTACTGCACCGCAAATACCCTATTTCGGTACTACAGGTGGTTTGAATTTATCAACAAAAACTAATAAACAACAAATATCAAATGTAAATACCTCAACACAAGCAACCACCGCAACAGAAAAAAGTTCAAGTGGACAACCTGTAGAATTTAATCATGCAATAAATTATGTCAATAAGATTAAAAATCGTTTTCATCAGTAAGTTGTTTATTTTTGTTCTAATAAAATAGCATCTGTTAGCATAGCCACTTTTGAGGTTAACATGTGGAATACATATGTGTTATTTAGTATGATGGTATTAATATAAAATTAATCAAGTGGAAACTGTGCAGCTCTGTTTATTTGTTTTATCAGGACAAACGATTCGTCTTATTTATTTCTGAATGATAAAAAGATTTTAGTTTTTCGAAACTAAAAAGGATTGTTATTTAAAATAATGATTTAACTAACAGATAGATCTTTTTGTTATAATGCATTTCTATGATTCTTGCTTAACAATAAATAGATGAACTTCTAATCGTACCAAACATCGACTCACTATATTATCGTCGTGGAGAGTTTATTTCTAAACAATTTGTGTGTTGAAAAGCTTTCCTAGACGATTCAAATTATTCGTAGATTTTAAATTATATTTTTTGAATGATGAAAATTTTGTAAAAACCATATTTTTTTTCTTGTATTTCAGAAGTCCAAACATCTACAAAACATTTCTTGAAATACTTCACACATACCAGAAACAACAAAAAGATGCTAAAGAAGTTCCGGCAAATAATTTAGTCAATAACAATGGATCAACGCTATCAGGTGGAAGCAATAATCAATCAACATTACTATCTGAAACTGAAGTGTATGCTAAAGTTGCACAATTATTTACAAATCATGAAGATCTTCTTGCTGAATTCAGTCAATTTTTACCTGATGCTACACAGCAACCAACCGTAACTATAAATTTAAGAAATTAGAATTTTTTTTAATTTCGTCTTTTTATTTCAAGGAACGTACTATTTCCATTTCTGACATTCTATCATCATCCGGTAGTGCAACTCCATCAATATTTCCAACTCAAACAAATTCCATTTCAACAACAACAACAACAACATTGCCCACACCTACAACTCCAAATTCCATTGTAACTAATCCAACACCACGTTTAATAATCAATAATCCTGTTTCTTCATCAATAACCACAACATCAACATCATCATCACCATCATTTTTAACAATAAACAACAATTCAAATTCATCACCATTATCATCTTTAGCTATGTTATCATCAGCACCATCATTTACGGTATTAACATCAACAGCAATAAAAGAAGAAGTTACACGTCCACCATCACCAAAGCGAACAACAACAACTGCAGCAGCAGCAGCAATAACGACTCCCACAACAACTACAACTGCTTCAACAAGTACAAATAATATTTCTAGTAAACGTTCGGCATCAACTTCAAAATCACCAGCAACAACAGCGACAAAGAAAAAACGTTTAACACTGACTAATAATATTCAATCAATATCTCCAACTATTCGGCCTACAAATATAGTTGAAATATCAACAACACAACACAGAAAAGCATCCTCAATCGATGATGTCACATTCTTTGACAAAGTAAATTCAAATATATTTCTTTCTTCTCTACTTTTAATTTATTTTATTTGAAGGTACAAAAAACATTGCGTAGTCCATTAGTATTTGATAACTTTCTCCGTTGTATCTTACTGTATACAAAACGAATTATATCTCGTAATGAACTGTTTGAGCTTATACAATCTTATTTGAGGTAAAATCATATTTATTTAGAAAAAGAGAAACTGAATTAGATGTCCATTTTTCATTTTAGTCATGTACCTGATCTATTAAAAACATTTCAAGAAATAATTAATCAACGTGAACCGGCAGATGTTATTATTCCAAAAAATATCTACGATCAAAATGATACAGATAGTATGATTAGCATCGGTAAGTTTCTTCTATGACAGACAACACATAAATAACTTAGTTGCGCGAGATGAATATATTAATTACTCACTTTTTCTTAATTCGAATGCATTAAGAAATGAACATATTATGTTAACAACTTTCAAAAAGACTTACTACAATCGATTTCAGAATTTATTTTTCGATAAATGCTGATATTATTTTCATCATCGAATGAACCAGATAAAGACGACGCATGAAAAAAACACTAGTTTTGTGTCAGACAACGAATTTTAAGTTCCTGAAAATGGCGAGAAAAAAGAAGAAATACTCGTTGTTGTAGATCGAGGCATTCTATAAAAGCAATTTTCCTCTTCAATGATAATTATTGCATTGATTAAGTACTGAACAAACTACTATTAATATCATCCCGATGGCATAAAAATTTGAGATAATCCATTTACAATAGTACAATTTACAGATTTAGAATCTACGCTATTGATGAACTAACTTAATATCGTAAATAAATCAAATTAAAAATTGATGATAGCGTCTAGTATTATACATTGCACTATATTAAATGTGAAATAACTTTTTGTTTTTAGACTATGGCTCATGTTCTCAATATGGTACAAGTTATCGTTCAGTGCCACGCTCTTATATTCCACCAGCGTGCAGTGGCCGTACAAAATTATGTAAAGAAGTTCTCAATGATCATTGTGTGCTATTTCCAACATTTACAGATGAATCATCATCAGTGGCATCGAAAAAAAGTGTTTTCGAAGAACATATGTATAAAATTGAAGATGAACGATTCGAACTTGATATTGTCATGGAAGTTAATTTAAGTGCAATAAGAGCATTAGAAAGTGTACAATTACACATGAGTTCATTAACACCAGATCAATTAAATCATTATCAACTTGATGATCAATTAGGTGGACAATCAACGGTAACACAAAAACAAGCTGTACAAAGAATTTATGGTGATCGTGCGAATGAAATTATTGATGGATTAAAAAGAAATCCACGTGTTGCTGTGCCCATTGTTCTTAAAAGGTTTGTAAGACTAAAAAGTTTGATTTATTATCATAATTTTGTTTTCCTTTTGGCTCTTAGATTGAAAGCCAAGGATGAAGAATGGCGTGAGGCAAAGAAAAATTTTGAGCGTTTTTGGAAAGAACAAAGTGAAAAATATTATCTTAAATCATTAGATTACATGGGAATAAATTGTAAAAATTCTGATGCAAGAATTATTCGTAATCGATATTTATTAAGTGAAATTGAAAATATCAAAGATGAAGTAAAATAGAGTGAGAGAAAAAGTATTTTACATTTATTTTTATTTAATTAGCGTGATCAACAACCGTCATCAAATCCAAATCAACCACATTTAGCATTTCGTTATGAAGATCTGTCTATACTTGATGATGCTGCATCATTAATTGTTTTTCTTGTTAAACGTCAAATGACATTTGCAAAGGAAGACAAACAAAATATTAAAAAAATTATGTATCAATTTCTACCAGACTTTTTATTCACACCAAGAGGAGAACTTAGTGATGATGAAGAAGGTAATTTTATATTATTTTACAAACAAAGATTCTTAGCAGGTTAAAAGTCAAAAAAAAACGCTATCTCACAATCTTATAGATAATTTAATATGATGAACGAAAGGAATTGAATGTTTCAATTTTTTTTTGTGTAGATGACGATGAAGATGAAAGTAAACGTGATAAAAAATCTCGACCGGCTCGTCATACTGACACAAATCGACGGCGTAATAATGAATCGTCAACTGCTAAACCTCGTCTACTTGCACAAGAATATCAAAAACCAGTGAGCCAATTATTTGTTATTTTATAATCTTTTGTTGATCAATGTGTTCTTTTAGGATGATATGTTTCATTTGTTTTTTGTAAATGATAACTATTATTATTTCTTTCGTCTTCATCAATTATTATGTGAACGCTTATTGAAAATGTTTCAACAATCATTACGTTTAATTGAACAAGAAAATCGAGAATTAACTGAAAATAATGCACAATGCAATCGACAACCATCTGTTGCTGCGTTACTGCGTTTAGCAAATAGACGTAAGTTGATTATCATCCAATCAATAGTAATATTTTTTTAGTACATACTGCTTTTGTTTTGTTCTAGCAAATGTTCCTGTTGATGATTATTACCCAGTATTTCTTGATATGGTGCGAAACTTACTCGATGGAAATATGGATAGTTCATCATATGAAGATTCATTACGTGAAATGTTTGGTATTCATGCCTATATTGCTTTTACAATGGATAAAATGATTCATAATTGTGTCCGACAAGTATGAAGAATTCATAAAGAAAACATTCTAATTATGATTGTGCTTATTTTTTTCAGCTTCACGTTATTGTCACTGATGAATCATCAGATGCAATAATGCGTTTGTATTCACGTACAAGTGGTACCGTAGGTCTTGTTGATCATCTTTATTTAACAGCACAGCAAAATTCAGAAGCTGCTTATCAACGTGAAATGGAACCGTACGCAGATGGAAATCGTTTATTTCGTGTTTGTTCGGTATGTTGATTTTATATTTTTGCTGAATATCACTTTTGAACTGTGATGCTTTCCTTCCTTAGTTGCAGTTGTTTTTTTTAAATAAAACTCTTGTTATATTTATATTTTTTTGTTCAGTTTAAAAATGATCGTCGTGTAACAACGACATTAATTGTCATTGATTCTTCGGATGATGAAGACGATGAAAGAATTTCTGAAAATTGGACACGCTACGTTGAATCATACATACGTGATAATGAAAGCGATCACAATGAAGCAATAACAGCACGTATACGATCTAAATTACGAAAAAATCCACGATTTTTACTACGGTAAGATGTCAAGACAAAAATTAATTTTATTCATACTTTTTAATCATGTATTTATTAATAGAAATATTAAAAAGCCAGTCGACATGACCGATCGATCATTAACAGAAGTAACAACAACTAATAATGACTATTGTCGGCTTGATACAAAAACACTTAAACGTAAGCCATATCATCGTGCTGATTTCTATTTTTACAAACAAAACTCATCACGTTCAACTAAACAAGTAAGATATTTTTTTAAATTTTCTAATCGTATATCTTTATTGTTTCGTATTTAGAATCATAAGCGATTATCTCTTAGACAATATAACCGTTTTGTAAAATATTACCAGGATTGGTCATGTAAAAATATAACAGATAATGATACTGATCCATTCAATAATCTTTGGCTTAAAACTCATCGATCGAACAATAATAATAATAATAATAATAATGAACAAAAAAATTTAGATATTCAATCAATATTTTCAAATAACGATCTAACACAACCACCGTATCGTCATTATCGACAATATCAAATTCTTGATATATAAAAACTGAAACATATTTGTTTATGTTTTTCTTTTCGATCATGTGTCCGTGAATATTTGTATTTTACTTCCAGTCATTGTATGTATCATAGACACGTGTCCAATGTTTTTCTTCGATCTCGTTTTTTCATGTTGTTTTGTTGTCGTACTATTATAATATATACTTGTACATGATAAATTCTATTAAACTATTAACAGAAAACAAAACGAGATCTCCTATTCTGATTCTCGTCATTTTTGTAATTTATCTACAATGCAAAAATAATTCTCATTTAATTGTGTCTTCGATGAGTAAAACTAATGTATATCTCATTGAAAAATATTTAACAGACGAACACGTTTAACTCAATGGAACTGCTTCTATTAATCTCATGTATATTATTTTATGCTATTCTTTTTGAAACAGATTTCTAAGTTATAATGCCATCTAATTCTTTAGAAATTTAGTATGAATCGTGTATGTAGGTATGCATTCTCTTTTCATCACTCAAGTCTATAGATACGGTTAGCGGAATCATGATTAAATAACCCCACGAAAGAATAAGCAATATAAGATTCTAGTGCAGAATGTGTCGTTTATCATCGATAGATTTCATAGCTATAACAGCAAAAATCCCATATGAAAAATAGGAGGAGATCATTTTTTGAGATCCTAAATGCAGAAAAGAGAAATCTCTCTCGTCATATGAATCTAATAGCGTCCCATATGAGATGTATTTCTTCTGCTTTCCTGATAAAAAAAATGTTTCTGCAGTCGGTGCCTCTAATTCATGCCTGTGGGGGAAAGTTTCAGTTGCATTAAACGATCTCGTCGAGTAAAATACTGAATGGACCACTATTTTGTTTTTATGCCTGCATAAATCTCTTGAATAGAAATTGTAAAATAGTGGAAAAAATCAATTTCATTACACACTTTAGAAAGTACTGCAAAATAAAAACTAGCTACAGTTTTTGCTACTAACTGTAGATGTAGATAGAAGTAAAGCTATACTCTCTCTAGGACAAATGATCGCCATAATCCAAATTCAAACTTACTCGTTTGTGAAGCACCCGTGTGTAGAACTATAATTTCATTTGTGTTGCTATCTTTGTTTTGTGTTTACTTAACAGCAATGTCGAATACTCGATTTTAATTCTCTAGATTGAGTCAGTTAAATCGAGCAGTAGAATCAAATCATTTTACAGCATCACTAGCTAAACCAGAAATCAATTCCTCGTAGGTTAGAGTTTTATCTTTAATGTGTATTTAATAATGAGTCTCTGCAATCGATTCCACGGTGAAATTCATTTGTTTTTGTTAGAGATACAGATTCTTTAGAAATTACCCGCAAAACTGAATATAGAGTTTTCTCTCTGTTTTTTTTGTATTGTATCATCAACATTTTCCCGTTTGTTAAGTCAATTGGCTCAAATGGCAAAGTGATGATAATGTTTGTTTCTCGTTTTTCCTCATATTAACATTAGAATTAAAATGAATTTGGACTGAGAATTTATTGAAAATATTATTAAAATATAAAATAAAATCTAATTGTAGAGATTTAACACACTAGAAAGCTGGATTTTAAAAATAAGTTCGTAATTAAGCAAACTACATTGGGCGCAGAGTTATGTTGTAATTTCATCATGCACTTTAAGCAATCTCGAATTTCACCACACGAGCGCTGCCTAAATTGGAAACATATAGGTTACCATGTTTATCGAATGCTAAACTAGAGGGCGATGTTAATTGATTAGGTTCTTCTCCTTCACCGTTTCCGCCGGCAATGACTTCACCTTGTTTGGCGTCTTTGAACCAACGCATTACTCGTGCATTCGATAAATCAGTTACGTAAACAGTACCTGATGGATCCACAACGATTCCACGAGGAGAACTGAATTGTGATAAACTGTCACCTTTTCCTTGACCACCAGCAACAATAACACCTTCAGTGGCACCATCTGCCCATTTCATAACACGATGATTGTCTTCATCTGACACATACACCGAATAGTCTTGATCGACAAAAACGGAATGTGGACAGTTCAGTTGATTAAGAGCATCACCTGCTCCATTACCACCTGCAACAATCGTAGCTTCACTGTCACCAATATTATATCGTATAACTTCATTGTTTTCACCGTCCACTATATAGATAGATCCATTTTCATCGATAGCCAAACCTTTGGCCTCGACACCTGAAATAATTATTTCACATTCTGTATCACCTTGGCGACGGCATCGTACTACACGTTTACTGGTGTCATCAGAAATAATAAAGCTATCGGAATTTTTGTCAATGAGCAGATCTGCTGGACCACTGAAACTCTCTATCATAGTCTTTTGATAAATTCCACCGACCACTTCTCGACCTTCAGTTGCACCGGATGCCCATGCAACAATACGATAATTGCATAAGTCGGCCACATAAACATTTTGGTCTTCATCAACAAACACACCACGAGGAGCGTATAATTGGTTTAGATCACCACCATTTCCATGTCCTCCAGCAACGACAACACCATTTGGTGCCCACTTGACATCGCGACTGAGTTCAGCAGAACGTAGTGGCACTGAAAAAGAAAGTATTCTGCTAAGATTCAGGTAGATATTGATGAGAATGAAATCAGTTTACAATAGTTGTTGAACAGAACCTTACGTAAAAATCATGGCTGTGAAAATTTGATTAGAAAAAATACCATCTAATAAAAAACTAGAGATGTTTCTCATAAAAGAATCTTATTATTTCAAATTGGGCAGTAGAATCAGCTCAGTTTACTTTATCTCTGTTAGAAATCATTTCTGCATATCGATCTCTATAAAACAGCAGTCTGTTCTCAATACAATTTTGCGATATCTGAAAGCATTTTCTGTACTGTTGAAATAATCTTCTACCATCTATAGGTTCGCGTTTTGTTTTCGATTTCGAATACACTTTCATATGATCATAATGATGCGTTACAATCCAATCTTTAAAAGATTATTTATTTTGTATTTTCCGTTCTAGGTCCAAGTTGGTATGCGTCAGTTTTTTCACGAGCGTGTCCTCTTCAGGTTTTGGCAAACTTGAAAATCTGTTGGCTACTTGAAATAGGAGTGTCTGGATATAGTTGGGATAAACGATTTTCTGGACTTGGGAGGCTTTATAAACCTGTGTTTACAAATTCTTAAAGGTTTTCACATACTAATAAAATTGGGAATATTCTAAGAAGTGTTGCGCGTGTGTTTTTATTTGAGAGATATGTATTTGTTGGTGATAGTTTAGTTATTTTCTTTGTCAACGTTTTGCCTCAACGTGATACAAGCTGAAAATCTGTTTTTATTGAAGATAAATCATAGTTTTATATGCGTGGATTTATAATAGCTCGTCAGTCGTCTATTGCAATTTATAATTATTCAATCAAATAATCATATAAAAATACGATGTATACTTACAATTAACTTGGGTTCTTTTAAAATTACTTGCTGTTGCTTTCTTTCGAGGAATAGTAGGCTCTGGAATAGTAGGCTCTGGAATAGTAGGCTCTGGAATAGAATCGAGAGTCATTTCTGGTTCTTCACTAGATTCAACCGAAGGTGGTGCAGATTTAATAAACCATAAAAAGAATATTAATTTACCAAGCCAATAAACTCGTAAGAAATCACAAACTACATGCAAAATATATTCAATGTAGCCAAGTGATGAATGAATAATCCAATAGGTGAGTAGATGTTTATGATCGCTCATGTCAGCTGACATAATAGCCATTACTCTGATGAAAAAAAATCAAAGGATTTGATTACAATCATAAGCATATAGTGCAAAGAATTTTTTTCAGACATGGTCCGAATGAAATTAATTTTTATTTGATCTTTTGCCGGTTCTACTAGTGTAGACGTATCATTCACGATAACTCAAGAATACTCTCAGTTATTGATGTACCCATTTGAAATATGTTCTAATGACATAAATCCATCGAATACTACTCGAATTAAATTATGCGTGGATCTTTTTCTAGTTCAGAAAGATGTACAGTTACAAAATGACAGTAACAAATATTGTAAGATTCAAGTTAAGATGTACAAGATGCAAAAATATTTGGGTCTACTTATTCCACAAAACTACGTACGGCACTATACTTGGTATGTTTGTTGGCATATATTATTTGAATTATTATTGAAAATTAAAAAGTTTTCCAATGAGAATTAAACTCACGAGGTACATAATGGATAGATTAGTGTAATGAAATTACAAACAGCATAATTGCACCAACCGAACATCAAGTAAGTAGCAAGAACACCGAATAGTCCTATAGAAATATTTAAAAAATCGCATGTCACTAACTAGAGAGACACGACACAATACATACCCATAGCAATAATTGGAGATTCAACACCGGTCTTCATTTCAATGAGACCGAGCACGAGGTTAAGTAAGCTATTAGCATATAGCCCACTCACACGAGCTTTGAACTTTTCAAAATATTGTTTGCATATGGCAGCCATGTTTGTTCAAAAATAAATGTAAATCTAAAATAGAAATTATAAATCATCTATACTTCTCGTTGAATGTAACAAAGAGCAGTTCAAAGAAAATCCTTGATATTTCTCACTCCGATTCTTCATACGCATTCAATCAGGATATTTTCAAAACTTTACTCGTTTTTTTTCTGAGTAGCCTACTAACTTTAAGAAAAAGTGTACAGCTGATGAGTAAAGCCTATCAGATTTCGTATGATCCTTCCAAATTGAAACTAAGATGGTGTACCAAATAATTTGGTCACAATACTAGAAATCTGAAGAAGCTTTTATTTTTCAAAATTTCGTAGTGCAAAAAAATCCGCGGTGATTTAGATCCTCATTTGTTTTTGTTTTTAATGAAAAATTCTCTAGAGAGAATATCTACGAGATGAATAATCGAGTGCTGATCTCTAACATTGTAGTATAAAGATACGATATCATGTTATTTATTCATTTTTTGAAATTGATCAAATTCCAGTATTTGTTAATGCTGTTGTCAATTCTATTGGAAGAATGCTTTTCTAACATTTTAGAGTAGCATATGACATGAAAAGAGTATTGTAGTGTATATAGGATATAAATTCTGATCCGCTGGCAATGGCAGGAGAATTTCAGAAAGCAATTCTACGGTGTTCAACATTTTAAGTTCACAGAACTTACACTGATAGGTTTTCGTTCATTCTTTAAAATATGAAAAACATTTAGCCAACTATTAAAAAAAACTACCTATTCCATGAAATAAATTACGATAGCCAACTAAAAGCTGAGAACTCTGTTTAATAATTTTTAAAGCTTTCTTTCAGAATAGATAAATATTTTCTTAAAAATAAAAACTTAGATTTCTGTCAGTAACAATTTGAAAAAGAAACATCGAAAAATTACTCTGAGATTTGATCAAAATTTCTGCATTTGTTGACAGTTAGCTACAGATAATGAATAAAATAAGAGTTCTGGTAGATTCCTACATACTTCTGGTGATGGTCTCCAACATAGTTTACGATGGGCGGGGGGCAGCGGGGGATTTCGCCCCGCTCAATATTTCTTGCGTTATAGCTTTCTCCCTGGAAATTTCTTTGCGACTTTGTAGATGATTTTAATTTATTTGTAAACTGAGTAAAGCCTACCAAAGGCAATCATCCAGTTTCTCTTCTATATGGACCCATTTTCTCTTTAGGTTCAAACTATTTTCTCTGTCATACGGATCTATTTTCTCTTTAGATCCGAACTATCTTCTCTTTAATACGAATCTATTTTCGTTTTAGTTTCAAACTTGTTTCTCTTAAGGTCCAAACTATTTTTTACATTAATCTATTTTCATTTAAATGATGTTGCTCAAAACTATTTCATGCATCCAGGAAGAGCAAAAACTCGCAATATCAATATAAACATTCAAAACAATTATGACGATAGCGATGATGAGCGATAGGCAAAGAATAAAATAGTTTTTCCAAGAACATTAACTTTGAAACTAGAAGTTATGAATGTAAAAAGTTACGACTCGAAAAACAAATTTTTTCTCGTTAATCGTTTTTTCACATATTTATTTACAAGAAAGCAGCAAAAAAAGATTTTCTTAATTGAGTAAGAAGGCCTTAAAAATTCTAGCGAATAATATATTTTTTCCTGAAAAACGAAAAACAACTGTTTCTCTCTAGTTTTGGGAGACTTTCTCTTTCAAATCTTCCCTTCGCTAACCAAAAACAAACGAAAACTATGGTCTACACACTAATATTAATTATATCTCGCACATTTACATAAAGTTGGCCTTGGGAGTGCACCAAAACCATTTTTCTCTGCATAAAGATGATACTTTTTTGTTATAAAGACCCCCCAAAACCAACCAAATCTTTGTGCCAGTTAGATGCAGCTTTGTTCGCTCTACGTGATACTAATAACTAGAGGTGGACCGTTGATTTTAATTTGAGTTAATTAAGAGAGTTAATTAAGTGGTTTTACTTAACACTTAATATTAAGAAAAAAACGTTTACATTAGCGACTTAATTANCCCCTAGTTGGCCTAACAATTTACGACGTACGCTCATGGTGAAAAATGGATTCATATACTATCTATTCTGTCATTTGTTGTTCAACCCAATCGGAATGATGTAAATAACTCCTATAGTGAAGATCACTCTAATTGAAAAATACAGAAAAATGTTGTTTTTATCATTGTTAATGTAACCTTGTCCGTGTTAGAAAGAAATATATTTCTATTATGAAAAGATTGTTATGATTTCAAAGTGTCCACTTCACACCAATCGTTACACTGGAGCCGCATAAAAAATAGCACAGGTTAANGGGTTTTCAGTTGATTTTTGCACCAATCGATAGAGTGTCATCTTAGCGAGGGGTCTTGTGACCGAAACTTTTTTTTTAAATCAAAACTAAAAAAGTTATCGCAATTATTCTAAGGCACACTATTTTTCATTTTACACTTACCCCCACTTACTCTACCTCGTTTGCGCACTCACAATATTGAAGTTTCTTTTTCTTTATTTGGTATCGAATTCGAACTTGCGTGATAATTTTAATATGGATGAAGAAAAGAAAATTTTGAAAACGCGATACGTTTTCTTACCTTCTTTCGATCACCTGTAATGAGAAGCAAAACTAAGTCGACCAACACTCTACGCTTTAGTTTGACAAAGACTGAGAACGAAAATTCCATGGCTTTTTTCAACATAATGCAATTCTTTCAACAGCGGAAAAATAAGTGAATAGGCCATGAAAGAGAGAGAGAAATATACGTTACTTGGGCGTTAATTTTACCCTTTCTGAAGCGACGGATTCGTTCCTTCGCGACATACTAGTATAATACACATTGCGAGAGTGTTGTGTTGTGTTGTTTTGCTGAGCTGCCGACATCTGTGTTTTTTTTGAAAATCAACTGTGAATTCAATACTTCATATGCAATACGTTGATCTCAGTATCAATCAATTCATACAAGTCTTCGATTGGTAGATTGTTTTGAACAGAATAAGAGGGATATTTATCTACAAAAAAGCAAAAGAGCTTACGCACAGCGAGTCAATTGTGGTTTCCAGAGAGCAGCACTAACAAAAAGTTTTTGAAACAAAAGCATACCAAACAGATATATATATATATATATCCATTCATAAGGAAAAACATCATCCTATACCAGGTCACAGCAAAAGTCTCAAACATATATAAAGTTGATAATAAATATATGAAGAAAGAGGAAAATCAGTGTCATTATAGAGATGATAAGTCGAATGATTACCATCGAATTACAAATATTTCATTCAGAATTCAACACAAAAAATCCATGGTGATTTGAATCTTCTCTTCCGCTCCCATGTTCTTTTTATGTTCTTTTTATATTATGCTGTCATTAGTCCTACTAATTGCCCTTTCGGTCCTAAAGAGACAATTGAGCTTGAGAACGTATTTCACTGTGATAATCTAACTTAAAATAGAACGAGACTACGTGTGAGTATGCCAGATGAGGACTAATAGAAAGAAAAAAAAATGAGAAATATCAATAATAAAAATAAAAATAAAATTGAGAGAAGCACAATCCATCAGAACATGAAAATAAAACACCAAAGAGAAGAAAGAATAAAAAGGAGCAGAACATATGAAACATCCCTAATTCACTCTCCCCCGACGACTCCCCGCAAAATAACGAAATCCCTGGGGAGTCCCTGTCGTGAGTCCCCGGGGATTTGTCAGGGGACTCCCTGGGGATTCTTCTAGGGAGAGTTGACTAGGGATATGATACTCCTCGCTCTGTCACTTTCTTCTCTTCTCATGTCCACTCTACTTGATTCATTCTAATTCGTTTTTTTTTGTCAGACTGACCTTCAATACCGTAGACTACCTAACAATTTCCTGAAATAGAGTAAAACATGACAGATCTTTCTCATTACACTTAATTATTGAATATAATGTAACATGTATCCATCATTGGACTTCGACAGAGCCTTTGAATATTTTTCACAATAAGTAAAGTAACTATTGTCTAGAAGTTTTTCATTACATATTGACGAAAAAGTAAGATCTTCTCAGTATTGACAACGAGATATACACATTTAAATAATGCGAAAACATAGATAGTTCAGATTCATTCGTTCAAGATCTTTCGTTAAATTTCTCATCGGTCTATCATGGAGTAATGAAGGAGTTATACTAGGAGAATAGGATAAAAATTTCAAAACACATCAATACTGTTTGATTAAATGCAGAACTAAACGAGGAGAAACAAAGCCCAGACTGAAATTTATACGAAACACAAAACATTAAAATAATTTTCAATATCGAGATTCAAATTTAAATCTAGTTTCGATGGAAATATTGTAAATATATCATTTACATCACCAATGTGATCGCATTACTTTGAATCATTTCGCACAGAAATAAAAATTCAAAGTAAATAACGAATGCACTGTGCATTCGAATTCAAGATCATTTCTTTATACTCTTCAAAGCAAGAAACCGTTAGGGGAAATAAAAACACAAAGTCGAAGTGTGATCGTTTTGAAAGTTGCAAAAAGAAACAATGAATATATTTTTGTATAAGACAAAGCAAGCGATGAATAGAAGAACTGAAACTGAAGAGGGAAAACTCATTACGAAATATTCGCATGGCTAAGAAAGGATTGGAATATCAGAGAACGCCCAATTTCCTGATACTGTAATCGAATACGATCGTTTGGTATTTTTGTAACGCTGTTTTAAACGATTTTAATCGGAGGACAAATCCCAAAAATACTAGAGTGCATAACTTCTATCATATTTGCTCATCGTGGCAGATTTTACAACGAATTAAATTTCATACTGACGATGTGCACTTGTTCGCATTTATTTTGAAAACTAACTGTGTTTTGATGTTGAATATAGTGTGTTCGTCGATTCTGCCTGCATTGATCTCATCAATGTCAGCTATCATGATCATTCAAATATCGCTCAATGATATACTTCAAGCGATCTTGTTTATAGTTATAAACTGTTTCAATAATTTGAGAGACTCTATAACATGCATTTTAATATGTTTTCTCTCTCAACAGATTAGGCGATTGATTCGTTCAATTGAACATGATCGTCTCAAATAATAATACAAAAATATAAAAAATGTGAAGTACAAAGACAAGCCATTGCTTTGTTATAGAAAGTTTGGTTTTGTTCGGAATGGTGATTAATTATAATCGATAGCATCATTTCCAAAAAGACAATCAGCATACGCAGGGTTATCTTCATAGACACCGTTCAGTTTATTTCTTAGCTGCCCATCCAATGAGTACTTTGACTCATTTCAGCATAATTAATTCAATCACAAGAAAAATAAGATACTGTAATTCATCGAAATAATTTCATCTGAAATAAATCTTTATTTTAGTCTCTCACAAAAAAGAAAAAGTTGATCTAGTATTATATTTAGCCTTCATAAAAAATTGATAGAAAAAAATGAGAAATTAAGAGTTCATAAGTCGTTTACATAGATCAATGATTAAAAATCAATTGAGTTTTTTGTTGCGATAAGCAATTAAAATCTTGGGCATTTAATGCCATTTAGCGATCAAAAATATGATTAAAAACGCCTGTGAGCAGTCTTTCGAGGATGCGCGAATAAGTTGTTATTTTCGTAACGTTTATTTTAGTATAGTCAACCTATTCAAGAAATATAAGTAACGATAAGAAGAGCAAGAAACACGTGATTTTTCATAGAGAGGAAAAAATAGAATAGAATAGGAATGAACAATGCACGATTTCTCAGTAATTCACATTTATTTCTAAAAATTGAAGATAGCTATTTAATCAGCTAAATAATTCGAAAGATAACAAAACGCTTGATGAAGCTGCTTGTCGAGTCCAATAAACAGAAATTTAAAAGTTAAAATGAAGTAAATATGAAGTGAGTGCACCCATTTACAAAGTATGAAAATTGAGTAAAAATTGTTTTCTAGTTCTCGAAATAAGTAGCAAGTTTTGATTGTGGGTATTTTGTTCAGTTTTATAGAAAATCACATCAACACTCTCAATGCAATATCTGGAATAAAATTCTTTAAAGATCGAAATGTCAAAGTACATGTATACTTCAATAGAGGACTCAGATACAGTATCTAGTCAACCGTTTTGATTATTATTCTCTCTCTCTCTCTGTTGATGATCGATTTGGTAGATTCCGATCGTACAAATCATGGGAACAACGGATGAACTTGCAATTCAAAAACTAACCAATGCCACTAGTAATGGTACCACCAATCGGCATGTGATGATGAAAAATGTTCAACTTAAATATGAGTATAGACACCTATTCAGGAAGCAATGATCTCTTTAACTCCTTATTGAAAAGCAGTTTTATTTTGAAAACAAATCAATTGTTACTATAATCTGTAATAATGAATACCAATGGCTGATGAATAATGTCGCTCGTAATTTTAATTCAAAGAGATTTTATCACTGAATCATCTAACAACAAGTGAGAAAAGCTATTGATTGACAGAATTGTATCGAGTTTTGACAAGAGGCAAAAATTACTTCTGTTCATGGCTCCTGACTACAAAAGTAAGTCGTTCATTAGTACTTTTCATATTGTATGCTGTCTTTAGATAAGCACTTTCGACTTGCCATGCGCATTCAGTAACTTCATTCCACATTTGTGTAAAAGTTTCTGGTGAATGTCGCATTGATTTGCTGCTCGGAAAATCAAATGTTCGAGAATATTCACCTGGTATCGAGGCACCAACCTGTCGACCAGTAATGGCACGTTTAGCCAAGCGAGTAAGTCGTCGACATACTTCTCGCTGTGTTGGTGTATCAAACAGATGTATAAATGCACCAACGTAGACATAATCGGCCGGTTCTACACCGTTGAGAAAATCATCATCAAATATATCTCCTACAGTGAATATTTTGTTTTCTTTCATTACTTCACCATCACAAAACAATTCGTAGCCTAGTTCGATAAAGAATGATTCAAGATCGTAGCCGCGTAGTCGATCGAGATGTACACCATCGTATACGAGTTGTCGAATGTCTTGACCAAGACAACATCCAAAATCGATCAATGTAGCGCCATGGTTTTTGCATTGATCCAGAATTTCTTGGTAAATGGGGCTCTGTTGAATGGAAAAGTCTAGAAAAGCCCAGCGACCAAGGCACGGATAATTGCGCTTTTCCCATGCCCGCTGGCGTATATTGATTAGATGTTCACGTAAGGCTGAACTTGGAATAGAAGCATAGTTGACAAAGAAAGTTTCAACATCTGAATTTATTGGTGGCTCATTAACGTAGAAGGAGATGTTTTTATCTGCCGATGCTTCTGTGGACATCTTGGAGACGATTGTATAAAATAGTAGTGGAGTTTATTTGCACACTGAATTGCAAGCAGTTATCATGAGTCTTTTATTTACTTTCGTTTGTCTTCACAGGTTATCTCATCACTAGTATGTAACTTGAAGACAAAAGCCAACAAATCCATATGTAAAGAATAGTTAATAGAGCTCACCTGTTTACATGCACGTGCATGTCTCAACTATTGAAAGAATCGAGTCTTACGATTTTCATGATTTTATAAACGAAACGTTTTCTTATATTACTTAAATGCAAAGACGTTCATAAATACGTCAACTTAAAACTATTCATGAACCATGATACATTGTCTCATGAAATGTAGTCGTTCTTTCTTTTTGTTGACTAAGTTACTGCCTTTATTATTACGCCTATAGGCGTGCGTAGTATACTGCAGTGTGCTCCCCACATAGTTCGGTACTATCCATATTTAGAAAGAAGTATAAGATATTTCTTGTACGGGTGATTATGAGTGTGAATAAGATCAAATTCTTAACTCGTACTATATACAAAATATATGCCATTTTATCGTAGAATGACATAATGTATCATTCACGCTGGCGTACTGCAGATTTTTTTTATGTTACATCTCATCGAGACACTTTTCCAGGGTAGGGTTGCGAGTGTATTGTGGCTCTTACTTGCATCCTAAGTCACGCACCATATCCAAAATAAGATCAGACGAAACCGGAAGAAGGTTTCCGTGACATTTTCTAAGGCAGAAAGGAATATTTTATTTTGAAGATCGTGTTGAAACCAATTAGTTCGAAAATTATCTCATGCCTGAATGAATCGTGACAAATTTACTGAAAAACATTTCTTTCCGTTTTAAAACTCAAAAAAAATTACTTAACGAGCTGCTTTTAACATAGCGAATCATATATTAGACTTAACCTTTTGATAGCAAATAATGCGTGAATGTATCATTTATCGACGTCTACGTAAATGTGTCGCACGAGTGCGCTGTTGATTAAAACTGAGGAGGTTCGTCTCATTTCTCTTTCGAAGAATTGATCAACTTTGTACTGTACCTCAAAAGAAAAACATAGCCATTGAAAGATTTTAAAAAGCATCTAGCATCATCTGTTATGTAGCTATGATGTCGCACTTATAATTAACTTCATTGGTTAACTTAATATTTTACTTCCTATCGTTTTCAATGCGACCCATTTTCCAACTATTGAGCCGTAATACGAACACCTATTCTTAGTCATAAATAGCAAAACACTACATTCGACAAATTAGAATTGTTTTCCTTTTTAGATAAAATTTTAACTTAATGAGTATACAGAAAAACGTTGAATTTATGTACATTATGGAGTTACTTCAATCATTAATAGATTTTCGTCAGAAATCCTCAGCAAAGTTTTATACGTATTTGCCTGAGACTTCTATTCAAATTTTACAGAATTATTCCATGAGATGGAGCATCGAATGGCACAAGGTTATCTGGAATTGTTTCATATTACGACTATTATCATCTGTTAATACTTGAAAATTTATCATATAAGACATAAGTAAGGTTGCAGTTTGGTAAATCCTTGTTATATTCAGCGATACGCCAGAAAAATGTTAATCAACGACTATAGAAAGTATTGTAAATTGAATTTCTGTTTCAAAACGTTTTTGATGAAAAGAAGCGTAATACTTAGGGCATACCAAAAGTAGTGGCGCCGACCCTATATTGTTTTACAGACTGCTGAAGAAATTTGTTTCCCTATACATTCGGATAGCCCAAATCGTGCTCTATAATTCGACAATATTTGATAAATCTTCAAGGGACATCATAATACTGAACACATAGCAAAAATAGTGAGTGATTCACAAAAACAAAATTTTCGAGGCAAGTTTCTCAAGTTTTTATTACATCAAGTGTTCAAAATAATCACCCTGGTTGTTTACACATAATTGCATTCGTTGAATCCATTTATCAAACGTCTTCCTATACTCTTCTTTATTCGACGACTTCTATGCGGTATTGTTTTGGATGTGCTATTTCTGTTCTTCTCTTTTTTTCTTTTAAATCGTCGCCCCTCTTTTATTTACCTTTTCAACTTCTCTGATATACAGACGCGTTTTATACATATAAAACATACATGCTTTGTTTTGTTTTGTTTTTTTTCTGCATGTGTAGCTAGTTCGTATTTATTCTCAAAGTAAAAATTCATGAAAGTTGCAGGAAGCTTTAGTGCTTCAAATTTTTACTAATATGATAGCACTTGAAGATTTATCAAATATTGTAGAATTATAGAGCACAACTTAGGCTATCCGAATATATAGGAAAACAATTTTCTCAAGCCTTCTGTAAAACAATATAGGGTCGGCGTCACTACTTTTGGTATGCCCTAAGTATAACATAAGATTCTAATTTTGATCAGTGTGTTTTTATATCTGTAAGCAATTAGAATTACATTGAAAACAGATTCAGTTTAATGTCAACTCTACATAAAAAATCTCACATGTTTTGATTTTCAAGTTTTTTAGTGAGATTAAACAATCTAAAAATTAATACAAATGTCCTTCTATAACAAAATTTAAGTAATGACCATGTAAGAATATCCACATGTAGCGCGTTTTTTTCTTTCCGATTGTTATAACACATTAAATTAAGATAGCAAAGAGCTGAAACTTACACCGAATCCAGATAGAAAGAAGTTCCTGTCTTACAAAAAATTCATTTTCTTTCGACGAAATTCAACGGTCTAGAATGATACAACTGCATCATCATGTACTATTCATTATTTTTTTCAATGTCTAAAAAGCAGTGCACTTTTTACACCTTAGAGAGTAATCCAAGATAGTCTAAAGATTTCAAACTACAGATTACATTTTATTCATACTAAATTTTTGTTCGAAATGGGATGAAAGACAGTGCGATTTCAGTTTTACAGAAAAACGTAATCAACTTCGACTGACGATAACCATTTCATTAGGAATCAGATGATTTTATCCATAACGATTGCCGTGACGAATGCGCAGAGAGAAAAACACAGTCTCTGTTTCCACCAACTCATCACTACCGGAAGACATGAAGAAAAAAATGTGAAAAACTGGCGCACACAGCTTGTTCTGTGATCTACGAAAAATAGCAACCGATGATAAAATCACAATTATTTAAAAAGGCTAACTCTACATACAGATTTTCTGCAGAATATTCGCAAACATATGGTATCATCGTAAACATAAATTGCGGATAGTTTGAAAAGTAGCCAGACATCACATTTTCTGATAGTCTTTTATTGATATCTTTTGAATTCATGAAACTGAATAAAACCTTTAATAATTTATATTTATTGTACTAGGTTACTAAACTAGAAATTCCCTATATGAAAAAGAAACTTATCAATGGTACGCAAAAACCTAAAGAATCATTTCAAAATGCAGGACTTTATTGATTCATAGAGGTCAATTCAAGTACTATCCACCCATTCTATGAGATTATCACTTCATGAATGTACAAGCTAAAAGTCAACAGCATTCATAAATCACTGTTAAAAACATCGTTTATTATGATGAATGACAAATGATACAATAACAATTGAAGAATGCAATAACAACTAGTGTGATTATAGTCGCATGGAATGCACACGTAGTATATCTATAACTGTTACAATTAGCTGCTTAAAATCATATACAAGTCATTCAGCTAAATTTGTACTACACGACCTAAAACAATGCAAGAATTTCAGTGTTGACTGATTTTTAGATTAATTTTTTATCAAGTTTTTTTCGAACAATAATTTAAATGAAAGATAAATTCATGTAACTGTTACAAAAATTGGAAAATATTTCTTGGAAATATATTTTTTTCTTCGCATTCCTCAAATAATGATAATACCTATTTATTTTATTTAAATAATGAAAGGTTTTGGCTCTTTGTTTTAGATTATTATCTTATTTTCTTGGATAATCTTACTATTAATTTACATATAATTATTGTGCAATCGTTTTTTAATAAAAAAAAAAAAATCATCAATTAAAATAGAATATTTTGAAATATGGTTGATAAGCAAAAGCGGTAAGTTTTCTTTAATATAATTAATCGAAAGTTTTTATTTTAATCGCACTAGTTTTAAATACAGATCCTGCAATAGACAACTGCTTGATTTTTAATGCTGTGTTTCGCACCGCATTTTTGTAGTCCGTCGCGCGTTTTTTTTTAATGCGATGCGAAGCAGAAGCATTTATGTAGTCCGTCGCGAGTTTTTAATGCGATGCGAAGCAGAAGCATTTATGTAGTCCGTCGCGAGTTTTTTAATGCGATGCGAAGCAGAAGCATTTATGTAGTCCGTCGCGAGTTTTTAATGCGACGCGAAGCAGAAGCATTTATGTAGTTCGTCTCGAGCTTTTTTTATTTTTATTATTTTTTACTTCCTTGACGTACGGATCAAAAGTCGACGTTTTGTGTCGCGGTGATCTCGAGAACCATAAATCGTAGAAAACTCGTTGAAACGTGAGATTGAAGTATCAAGATCGAACCTTTTACATCTGTTTTCGAGTCTTCAATCTGCAGTTTCGTTCGTTCATAAGCGTGGTTCCAAAATGACGAAAATGAAAGAAATCTGTTGCGAGATAATTAAAGTGACGTCATGAACATATGTTAGCCACTATAGTCTATTCATTTACAGCTGATTTCAGATAATGAATCATGAACATAATTAATCGATCAATCGAAATCGACCCCTAAGAATGTTTCGCTAAGTAAGAATAGAGTTTTCTCAGTGATGAATTTCATCATGTCGCCATAAAAAATATTCAAGATTTCTCTGAATTGAAGATTTTTCGTGAATATCCGACTCGAGCTTCGCATCGCATTTCGTATTCGAGTAAAACTTGAATACCATCTAGTTTCTTTTTTACTTGAGATCGTACGCATCACAAGTCGCCATTTTGTGTCGCGATAATCTCGAGAACCGAAAATCGTAGAAAACGCGTTGAAACGTGAGATCGAAGTATCAAGATCGAACTGAGAACATCTTTTTTCGAATCTTTAAACTGAAGTTCCGTTCACTCACAAATGTGGTTCCAAAATGACGAAAATGAAAGAAATTTGTTGCGAGATAATTAACCCTTTCCGGCCCGCTGTTTGGAAATTGCCGTACTCCCCTAGAGAAAAATGCTGTCATATGGCAACACCGGACCGGAAAGGGTTAAAGTGACGTCATGAACATATGTTAGCCACTATAATCTATTCATTTACAGCTGATCTAAGGTAATGAATCATGGAGATAATTAATCGATCAATCGAAATCGATCCTTAGGAATGTATCGCTAAGTAAGAATAGAGTTTTCTCAGTGATGAATTTCATCATGTCGACATAAAAAGTATTCAAAAATTCTCTGAATCGAAGATTTTTCGCAGGAGATTCCGATTCTTGCTTCGCATGGCATTTCGTATACGATTACAACTCGGATACCATCTAGTTTTGTTGTTTCTTTCTAACTTGAGTCACGCATAAAAAATTCTCATCAAGTGACACGATGATCTACAGAACCGTAAATGATAGAAAATCCATTTAAGCTAGATGTGGCAGTTTCAAGATCGAACTTGTTACATCCTTTTTTTCAAACTTTCAATACTAAGTTTTGTTCGCCTAAAAATATCATTCAAAAATGTTGATTTTGTAAGGTTTTTATCGTTAGAGAGTTTCAAGATAATTAAAATGATGTCATCAAGCAATAGTAGCCAATAGTCTATTGCTTTACATATGATTCAGGATCATGATTCATGAAAGTAGATAATCGTAAACTCGCTAGAAAATTGGTTGTTACATTTCCAAAGAGATCTCCTAGTGGCGAATTTCATAATGGTGAATGTGAAACATAAACTCGTAGACATTAAGAAAAAAATGATTCTAGTGAACTCGGAAAATGATGATTCAGTTTTTTTATCTTATTCACCGTGTTTTCCAAAATTCGGCCCGTGTGCTTCGCACCACATTTCGTAGTCGAGTGGAACTCGAATACCATCTAGTTCTCATTTTATCATTTATTCATAGACTTCAGCATTAACATTCTCTATTCTGTGCGTGGGAAATAAATTTTCATCATACATTTCTTTTGCGCTATCGTATCTATTAGCATATTTATATTTGCATAAAACGATCAATCTTTCTCATTATTTTCTTCAATCAGTTCCATTGGATATGTAAACAATGACTGAAAATATCGCTTATGGTTTGAATCTAAACAAAAAGTCTTCATATATTTTCGATAATCGGAGAAAAGAAAAGTGACATTATTCTTAATCAGTCTCGAGTATCTTTTGATTATTCATTATTGTTATAGCATGATTTAGATCTACCATCATTACTGTATGTATGGAAATAAATAGAAATAGCTATAAGATTCTTTAATAGAGAAACGTAAATCAAAATATAAAAAAACAAATAAATCAATAGTTTAGTATGGAAATCGTATTCAACTGTTGGATAACATTCGAATTTTTCGTATGACAATAAATAGATTTGAATAATACTAAGAGATGTTTATACGGATTCCGCTTCACGACTTATTGAGCAAGATCTGTAACTATTTTATTGGAGATTTCGACTGATATTGCTAAAAATACAGAATTTGATTAATGATTATTGTTTGTTGTTGTTGCAAATGTTCTTGGTTTCATCGAAATATACTCGTAACTATAATATCTAGCCGAATTCTATGTTACAGTACGCTACGTTTCTTTGTTAGTTGACTTTATTTTGTTTATAAACATAAAAATCTCTTGGCAGGATTCAATTGAAATCAAGTGTAATATAAAACGTTTTCTATAGAACGTTAAGTTAGGATTAACTTGAAATTTTGCTCTACAGATTTTCGAATAAAAGAAAAAGCAATCATAGGTCCTATCAAAGAATATTTTCTGTTTACATGTGTTACGACTTGTGTCTCTGTTTTGACATATATCCATTGGTTGCACCAATGATAAAGTGTATAATTATGAAAGATGGGATGCATACGTATCAACAATCTATATAATTTGTCTTTGTACATGTGCGAATGTCTATTATCATTATTCGAGACGACAACAACAAAGAAAAAATGCGCAGCATAAACAACCGCTTCAGTGATGACTGATTTGACGATATAATATGCATCATTATTTGACACGAAAATACTTATTTTTCTTTCTGTAACATTCATTGATGACGTTGTTATTTTTGTCTAGAGATGTTTACTTAAAAAAGATATACTGATACGTTCGTGCCTTTTTTTATTGAATAGAAAAATACTATTTACGTTAATGTAGTATCCACATGTTCTAGATGCCCATTAAAACGTCGAATATCATTTTGTATAGAATAATTTTTATGTTGAACACGTGAACCGTGTAAAGATATATAACTTTGATAATATGACAGTTGTTTTTGTCGATTTCTTTGATATAAACATTGACATTTAAGTAATGTTATAAATTTTAAACGAAAATTTCGATTAAATATTGTATAAACGACGGGATTAATTGATGATGAAACATACCCAAGCCAAACAAACCCATTCAATATATTTGTGTTTATTGAACAACGTTTACAAACACCTTGTAATATATTCATAATACAAAATGGAAACCATGCTATAACAAATATAACAAAAACAACGCCAAGAACTTTAACTGCTTTCTGTTCGTTTCGTACAGCCGAAGATTTTATACGTGCTGATGCTAGACTTGGAATAAGTATGATTCGACGCCAAATGTGTTTTACAGGTTTAACGGTTGTTGATGAAGACTGACTTACGTTGATCGGTGCTGGCAACGAGATTGGACGAGGTTTATAGCTAGGATTTGGACGAAGATTTATTGGTGAAATTAATGTTGGTTGATAACAATGAACACAATTCAAATGCGCTTCACATTGATTGATATTGTCTGATTGTTGATGATCTAATGTACATTTCAATTGACAAAAAGAATTTGTGGGACATTTATACTCAGTATGAGCAGAAACTTTTGATAATTTTTTCTGTTGAAGATCTTTTAAGAATGGGAGAGTTTTATCTTCAGGTGCAAACATATTATCAAGACTTTCTTCACTTAAATCAAAACTTGTTTGTTGTCTTTGAAAACGTTTCCTTCTTAATTTTGTTCCTAAGAATGATGCGGATTGCGAAAAATGATTTAAATTATTATTCGTTCCTATTTGTCGTCGTAAAAGTGGTCTAACGTTCGTATTATTCGATGTGCTAGTTGGCTGTTCTTGAGCATATTGATTTTCGAATTGTTTCATTTGTATTTTCAAACGATGTACAGTTAATCCATACGTAAGAATAACGATAATTAGTGGAATTACAAATGAAACAACACTACCATAGATAACAAAAAATTGATTATTGATCAAACATTGCCCATTAATAATTATATTATATGGATTAATAGCGCCAAGAACAATCATCGGAGATGATAAAAATATAGCTATGAGCCAAATAAGCATAATAAGAAGACATATTTGACGTTTTTCTTGTCGAGAACGAACATTTAATGGATCTTTTATAGCTAAATAACGATCAATTGATATAACTACAATATGCATTATGGATGATGTACACGAGCAAACATCCAAAAATAGCCAGAAATCACATAGAACTGAACCTAATATCCAAAATCCTAACATTGAAAAATGATTTATTATTCAAATAAAAAACGATTTGTCCTTGTAATATTTACCTGTAAATTCTTTCACAATAGCTAATGGAATAACAACACCTGAAACAATCATATCAGCAACTGCTAACGAAAAGAGAAACCAATTAGTACGATTATGTAAGCGTCGTTCAGTTCCAATCGCAAGACAAACTAATAAATTGCCACCAATACCAAAAATTGAAAAAAATACTAAAAATAATGCTGGCCAATTATAGGATACAACTAAGATTTGACTTGAATTTCGTTGTGTTACTGATATAATTAAACCACTATCATCAATATTTTTATCAAACGAGACATTAGCGTTCATTGAATGTCATTCGATGATCTGAATTCTTCATAAGATTTGCTTCGTCTACTTGTGCAACAGTAAAAAGAACTATCTGTAGCGAAGATCTACGAGAAAGGCACAAAAAGAGACAGAGAGAAAAAAATACAGAAAGCAAAAAAGCAAAAAACGCAAGACAATATCTTCTTTTTTCTTTTTTTATTATTAATCAGCATTTCTAATAAAAATACATATAGAGAAACTCTTTATTTAAGTGCTTAATTGTTTCTCTTTCACGGACAAATATTACTATGATCTAACTAAATAAATATGCATAGTCCCATCACGCTCTATGAATAGGTCCTGTCAATAAAAGACGAAAAAACAACAACAACAAGCAAAATGCAGATTTACTATTCAGCCTACATGATTTTCCCTGAATTAAGATAAGACTAATGTATGTGTTATTTTTATCATATATGTTATCTTAGAGCTGATCTACGTATCTACTGGAGGACAGAAATGAAAACTGAAACAAAAACAAAAACAATCAACTGTAATTGACCATTTCTAATTGAAAAATTAGAGAAAATAAACAAAATAATTCATATAAAATCAAACAATATTGTTTGTATAATGTTACCTTGTTGTTTTCTTTTATGGCAACTTCTCTATTCATGAAATTTGTTAGGATTTCTATTTCTTTTTTCTTATCTTTCTTTATCGACGACATAAAATCTCGATTGATGAAAGGAAATGAAATGACAATCATCATCAATACTTTGCTGTGCAACTGTGATGTCCATGGATTTGTTGCTGCTGTATAACAGTTGCCATAGTACATCAAAATACTTTGTACATTTAGAATATCAGAATGCGTTCATTCAATCGTTAATTTACTAGCTGTATCATACAAATCTATATAGATATATGTCGTGCAAGCAACAGCACGTGGCTTCGTTTACATTGATATACCGAATAAAATAGCAGATTTTATTTTGAATCTTTAAAATTCTAAAAAGCTATCGAAATTATGAAACAAATATTAAGCAGACTTTTGAATTATGGATTATCATTGGACTCAATATACACAAGAAAACTTCTCCGAAGGTTTTATTTTTTATATCATTAATATAATTTCTCTAAATAGTAGTTCTACTGATTTTAGATGAATATGTTTTATGAACAATATTTTAAAAGGCGTTAATAATAAACATGAATACATGATTTAACAAAACAAATAATAGTATTTCATTTAATGCAACGCTTGGCTCGACTAGAAAATTATGTTTTCAAAATGATTCGTCTAAGATATTCCGAATATCACGATACAACTATTCACTTGTAAAAATCATAGTAACATATATTTTTATTCCTATTGCAAAATCAAAATCTCACAGTACAACGGAAGTTTCGTAACTGTTTTGGATAAAATTTTAGAAATATTCATTTTCCTTGCTTTTTATAAATTTCTTATCATCTAAAGCACCACCATCTATATTTACATATCCATCAGCATTGGTTGATTGCAATGAAGGAAAAGGAAAAAATTTTCTAAACAGTTTTTTTCTGTGAATAAATACAACGTAAAAAGGAAAAACGTAATCTGGATGAGAGACACAACGATATTAATTTCATGTTTATGTTATAGATCAGAAATGCGCCGACAAAATGTTATCTTCGTATTTTCGTAAGAAATATATCTATTTATATTTGATAATGAAAAGAAAAGACGCGAATGTAACTTAAAAACATGTGCACGAAATAAAAGTATATTTAAACAAACTGATGACAATAAAGCGTCAGTGTGATTTCCTTTTTTTTTATCATTCACAAATATTTTCGGTTATATACACCAATAAAAAAAACGTCTGACTCATGAGAGGATTAATCCGATGATTCAAAGATATTCGATCAAATGAAACTAAAACATTGGTATAGTGCATCAAAAGTAAAAATATTCGTTTAATTGTTTTTTTGCTTGTTCATTTTAGGATGATAAAACCACAAAAGAAAAAGTTTCACTAGTATGATAATCACGCGAATCATTTCACTATAATGTGATCAGTAAATATGAATTTGATTCTTGCGAATGATTTCACTTCAATATAGAATAACTTGATTGAAAAAAACAACCTGAATAGTAACTCCATCTAGACAAAAAAACATCAAAGTAAAGTATAGTCCAAACATTTCTGTAGTTTTATCATTTTTATAATTAATCAAGTGAAACCAACTTATAATTGTTTTATTCGATTCTATTTAATATGTTTCAGATATATTTCACCGTCTCATAAAACAATCAAACTTATGAATAATTCATCATCAATCAATATAGCAGACTATACTTGTAGTATTTGTAAGTCAGCTTTTATTTGAAAACTTTCATAGCGAATCTGTCAGCGATAGATAATTTAAAGCATGATTAACGTCTTTTTTTAAGACACAAAAGTAGCCTTATCATACCTATAGAAATTAGATGTATTTTAAAGTTTTAAAACTTTAAACTAAATTCAATTTATTTCATGATGACTTGGTATTCATTGAGATCTTTTATTCAGTTTATCATAGAATGGAAAAAATAGCTGAGATGAATTTATTAGAAATTAATTATTATAAGTATCTGAAAAATATTTTCTATGATCATTACTTTCAAAAGTAACGAAATTCGAAGAACACTACTCTTGGTGACGTTTCTTTTACTTTAAATCAATCTCGAAAACGACGAAATAGACATTCTTCAACTGATCAATCGTATTTGAATCGATACTAAATGTATTATGAGGACATGAATGATCTATTTATATCCTTACAATTGTTCACACTCTTAACTTAGTGCTTCTAAATCGAATCTGTAGCCTTCTTCAGTTATCATTAGAGGAATTGTTTTTTTAAACTTCCCTTTGAAACTTTCTTTAGCGATAGACTTTAGCTATCTTTTATTCTGAAGTACGAAAATTAAGTCTGCCGATTGAGTTTAATTTTATATAATAGACATTCTCTTTCGGTATTGGTATCCTAGCATAAGAACAGCGAAAAGATTTTAAACAGAACTGCTATTAAGAACAATGACAATGTAAAGTTTCAAATAGAAAATCAATTTGTCTAATGCCCTTGAGACAGAGAGAGAGAGAGAGAGAGAGAGAGAGCATACGATTCATTTAAATGAAAGACAGTAATGGCCGGCGAACGTATAATTCTTTGTAGTATATTGAAAGCTCACTGATTTTCACATACTGTTCATATGATGATTTAAAAAAAAATTTTTATTTATAGGTCGTGAAATATTTCAATCACCTGTTAGCCTGTCTTGTCCACATGCGTATTGCCAAAGTTGTATTATTGGTCTTAGGAAGCATCCAAGTACATCGACAACATCAGAATCCAATCCTGTTTCGTCACTTCGCAGCGACAGTGTTAGCCATTCAAAAACTCTTCATCAACCTAATCAATGTTTTGTTTGTGCTATTTGTCGGAAAGAATCACTAGGTTTTGTACGTTATCGAGAATTAGAAAACGAATTAAATACACTGGAAACATCATGTTCCAATTGTTCAACGATATTTACATTATCTGAGTTACGAAAACATTTAGAAACGTGTGAGTCAACAGCAGCAAAAGTTAACCGGAGGAAAAGCGACTCGAAACCTATAGCAAGACACTTGTCGGAATCACAAGCTGACGCATTAAAAAGGGCACAAGCAGGTGAAAATCGTTCAACATTCGAATGCCCATTTTGTGCAAGAGCAAAGTAAATTGTTGCTCAAGTAAAACTTTATTATTTTTTAATAACTTATTTCTAATTTAGTTTTACTCTTTCTCATCTTCGTCAACATATTAAAAAACGACATTTAGGAGAAGATCAACATCGAGTTTGGTAAACTAGTCGTTTTCTTCTTGTTTTCATTTTGTTTTCTTTCTACTCGAACAGTCCGATTTGCTCATCAATGCCATGGGGCGATAAAACTATGATTTCATCAAATATCTATCAGCATATTAAAAATCGTCATCAATTTGATTACGGTAAGAATAAACGATAGTTAATTTGTTGGTGTAGTTCTTGATTGTTATTTTTTCTTTTAGATACTTATGTGAATTATGAGAAAGATGAAGAAGCTATGATTCGTGAAGCTATGCAAGCATCACTTGTTGATCACTGAAAACAAATTTCCAATCGCCGTCTTTATATACAACGAACAACCGTGATATCCACTCGTTTTTGTATTGTATTTACACAAAATGTAGTATTTAATTATTCTAATCATGATGATATCATAGAAATGTGTGAGATCAGTAGATGGAAAATTTATATCTGCTTTTCTGATTAAAGTTTTGTATTTTGTATAAAAATTGATCAATCTTTGCAAACTATTAGCGTTACTTTGATGAATCATTGTTGTTGAAACAGGAAGTATAGATAATCGAGTTTAACAGAAGATAATTTACTATTATTTCAAACAAGATTCTACATATAAATTATAAAATGCGGTCATTGCAGATTTTTTACTTAACTGATTTTAGTACTTTGAATGATATAAAATGTTTGCATGACTTTACTTGATGTCGAGGATTAAATGGCATATAAATAATTAAGTAAATATCATAACTAAGCGATTAATCCGGGTATTTCTTTCGTTGCTGAGCAAAAACCGGTGTAGTCTTCATCACTATTGTTTGTTTTCTTATTCATGCATATGAATTCATTGTCTTTTTAAAGAAAATTTGTATGAATGACTTTCGTGATTATTTTGTCTTAACGGATATTTGCTTTTCTAATTATACAAATTCCTATATATAGACAATTCAAGTCATACGAAGAGAAATATCTTAGAAATCAACATCGAAATTCTTATCATTTGTGACTATTTCCTCATGAAAATATTTTAAATTTTGTACTTTACACATTCTGAATGAATTAAGGACGATCATATGTCGACCGAGAATTTCTGAGAATAGACAACTAACATAACTCACAACTACTGTTACAAATCAAGAGATACTGACTTTTCTTTCTCAAATATTTCATTTTATTCCAGTGTAAGATAGAATTGACTATTAGTGTAATTCAACGAAAGTATGTCGTCAAAACGATATATTTTAAATATAAAATTAACAAAAAAAAAACAAATATTCTACAAAAGCAAAATTGCCTTTGTAAATTTGTTGTTTTTACTTCCGTAAAAACAATTTATATACAAACAAAAGTTGTATTACTAATAATAATAATCAATAACAGTTGGCTTAGCATATGATATCCCTTGATGAATAGCAAGATTAACAAATAGAATATCATTAGAGTCAGTTTGAAATTGATCACCTTCTAGTATTCGATTATCTTCACTTTTATATAAACTTGCTCCGTAACATGAATGCATATGTCCAAAAAGATGAATGCGTGGTCGAATTCTTGTAACTATTTCATCTAATAAATCTGGGCAACCTAATTGTTCCTCTGTTGATGAATTATAATCTCGAATGCTATAAGGCGGCCCATGTGTAAGTAAAAAGTCAATATCCTCAGGAATCTTCGACCATTTATCTTCTCGTATATGCTTTGAATCATAACCGAATGCTTCTGCACGATAAAAACAACCACGTTTTGGTCTCCATGGACTACCATAAATACGTACGCCGTCAATATCAATTAATTGATCTTGAAGATAAATCATATTTGTAAGTAATTTTTGACTTTTATCTGGCCGTTTTGGATTCAAACAAACACAATGATTACCACTAATGAAAATTTTATATTTATGCGAAAGTTGACCAACGAAATCATTGAATCTAACTATGTCACGGGAGCTTGTGCGATGATTAACAGCATCACCACAATGAATAAATACATCGCCATGTGGAATATGAATTTTATCAATATCATTATGAGTATCCGACATGCAAATAAATCGTAAGCGTTTATTTTCTTTTCCAATCATTCGAGGATTACGATAAACAACAAAGGGTTCATTTTCCGTTCCGCTGCCAGAATTTTGAATTGAATTCAAGGGAGTCATTTCATCTCTATCTTCATGATATGGAATATATGTGAGATGATGGACAGTAGCACTCGGATGATCTCTGACACGAGACACACTACACCTGTTGACAATAGATTTATTTGTGTCAGAGAAAATTTTAATTGAAAAACTTACCAACAACAACAACTATATGTCGATGGTTTGAACATTTCGAAATCGAAGCAAATACGAGAATCACTAGCTCACTTATATATAGAAATTTTCTTCATACAAATGATTCATTGATTAGAAATTGTATCAGTTCCTTTGACAACTCATCGCTGCCGTATGCAGAATGCATAAAACACGTGTAGAAAAAGACTAATTCAGCGACAACATTGACTCTTATTTTACTTCTCTGCACAAAATGACTCACAGCTGTTGTGATATTTTTCTTTTCTGCTGCTTGTCTACTTAGATGTGTCAAATATCGTACTTGAGTTGCGCTTTCATAACCAATAAAAGTTTATTACGCTACCTTGTATGCATACGTGACATCTCTATTTCAAAAATTCAGAAAACAATTTTATCGATACAACGGTTATGTGTATCTAACAAATTTCAATTTAAACATACAGATTTAGAGAAAAACATTTTTCAGTAGCATGTTTTTTTCATAAGAAATATAAGCGAAACAACTGCACTCGATCATTATTAGGAAAAAATAGAATGACAGAAGAAATATAACCAGTATCGTTTTGTTTTCATCACAAGAATATAGATGAAAATCTTGTTTTGATCAGTACCAATGCATATTCACGTTCAAATGTACGCAGATTCTAATGAATTATCAATATCCTAAGAAGAATTTTGAGTTTTGGCTTGAAATTTCAAACAGAGACAGATTTTATTTTAGAAAATCTCATTTGCGAAAGTTTCAACTGTGTTATTTGTTTAGAATCGGAATTAAGCATATCGAGTGTCACCGACTGCTAGATTTTGGTTAGAGGAAAAAGTCATAATAAGTTAGAAGGTATCGTTTATTTCCAATTCTTCGATGCTGAATAATTTTCTCTCGAAGAGACATTGATAAGAATATTAAGACGACCAAACCAGTTTATTGTCGTGAAATTAATTTTACCAAGTATGAATAATATACATATATCAGTAGCTAATTTCGGTAGAAAGAAAGAAAAACCATATGAATGATAACATGAATAGTACACAATGTATTGATTGTAGACCTGATTATTACTGGAAAACGCTATAAATTACAAACAAGTATCATATCCATGATGATAAACTTGTCAAATCACTGACTTTTCTTATATTGAGAAACCATTTTAATCCCCGAGTAAACATTTTCCCTGTGTACACTATTTCTACTGTTTGCTCCTAATGAAAGTATCTGTACTTTCACCTTGTTTGCATCACGATGAAGCTAACTATCAGCTGAATCAAAATTTAAAACACATTCATTTGCTTGCTATCTTCTAATTGGTGATCAACCCGTAACTTGTTTTCTTGATTTCTGAGATGTACAGTTTTTTTCATTTACATATGAGAGGGAATTTTTGGGGTGTTAATATTTTTCGCCTATTTATGTATGGATTATTAAATATTTTTGCTTCTTAGCGAAACGAAAGAAAAAGAACGAGCATCACAAGAGAAAAACATATACAATGATAAACGCATTCATGCAAAGAAACGTCTTGCTGATAAAAATATTATGGTACACGCCACGCATATACATAAAAAAAACTTGATTAATAAAAGAAAAAGTTATTTCTTCTACACTAAATACGAAATAAAGACGATTTCAGTTTGTCATCACATCAATTAAAACTAATATTCGGCATTGTCAAGTCGGTGAGTATATTTTATTCTGAACATTATTATAACTACATGATATAAAAGTTGCAAGTTAAGATGAGGTTTAAAATGGTTTATTTTAATTAACTGAAAATAATTTCATGACATATACAATATATCATATTTAACGTATAGCTTAAATATTATCACCGACACATATAGACTTGAACAAAACAAATTATATTCTTGAACATTTTAAAAAGTAATGAATTCAATCAAGTCTGGTAATATTTATCATTGGTGTCCAGCAAACGAAAAAATTAATCGAGTGCCAACCAATCAGGTCAACACTTGAGATTTGCAGAGACATCTCACTCTTAATACCGAATAAGTTATGTCACATATATAATACTTGAGTGAATCACGACATTTATTTTCTGTGAAATCCTAAGACTGAAAGTTTCAAAACCTACTTTATATTTTTATTCCGATAACTATCGACGAATTATCTCAAGTCGAGTTTGACTAGGTTTTCCAGAGAAAAATCTTGGACGTAGAAAATTGATCGTTAGAACGTTCAAGCGAAATCGATCTACCTAACGTATATTATATGAGAAAATAAATTGTTCGCTAGTGTCTTAGTTTTTTGCGTGGACTCACATCAATGTGATAATCTATCACGAAACGAAACACGACTCACCTGATCCAGTCTATAGTATTACTGACTAATTCTATGAAAGAAATATACATTCGAACATGTAAATTTTATGAAGTCAGCCTATATATATATATACAGTGAACTGCAAAAAAAATTGCTGTTGCCCCGACGCATTTTCTCGAGTCATATATGTGAAGCGCATGAACGAATTCTTCTGAAACTTTTATCAGTAATTAAGGATGTGCTATAGATTTTAATCAGAGCGGGACTCCTCAAAAAGTGCCGTTCAATCGAGCGAGAGACATCATGATTCGAGTATCTACCGCTTTTCTAGAATATCAAACAGCCATATTACACTACCACGACTAGGGCAATCGTAGCGCCACGAAAATCGTCTTCTTAAAGAAACTCTACGTTCATAGTATCTAACGAAATACAAATGAGGTCCCACGATACGGCATTGTAAAAACAAACGGAGGATCACGGTGTGCAGAATTGCCAGAAAAAATGGCGATCGGACCAAATTTTCTAACTATCTCGACAATGACTTGTCTGGTCGACTTGAAATTTCGATAGTAGACAGACATCGGCTAGTAGATAAAATTTTGCCCCACGCGAACAAATTCTGAAAGTTCATCTTCAACGTCAAATAGAGGTCAAAATTTGAGAAGGTTGAGTTGCATTTCTTTCCCGCTTTAAACATCGAGAAGGCATCGTATCGAGCTGAAACTCCGGCTACTGGATCTTGATCCAAAAGGAGGTTCATAGCTTCTTCCACTCTTCTCCAAACACACATTTTAGGCTAGCACATAATCCATGTACATAGACAAAGCGATCTTAAGCTATTTGAGTGTATCGACGAAGCTATAGTGTTTACTGCTGTTTTTGGCTGAAGGAAAAAAGCTAACTATCGATTATTATATTTGTGTACTCTTGTGTATGTATAATCTATTCATAAAAAAAAACTTTTAATATTTATCATGTTCAACAGAGTAACTTTATCAAATACTAACGGCAATTATTTTTGCACATCACTGTATATATATTACATACAGTTTACATTCAACTGAGTACAAATGTAGCAAAGACGGCATAATTTTATGAAATTTTAAGGTTATCGATAGATATAAAAAAGAGGAAATTTTTAGCAACAAACAAGAACTAAGAGGAAAAAGCAAAAAAATCTACTCTACCTTACTCGAAGAGTACATCAAATCTATCCTCTAAAGTTTCTTAGATATTACGATCCTATTATCTTACTGCAACATGACATATTTGGACTCTAATTTTAAGCAGAATATTATGTAGAATACTCTGAAAATAGTATACTACTGACACGTTTTAATCATAGACTTTGTGCATAGATAACAAGTTCGAAAAGAAAGCCTTGACTAACTGTTGAAATAACTAAAAGTACGAATTTTTTCTATTTACACTCTTCGGAAAGTGTAATTATCTAAAACTTGTTGAAGAATTTGGTAGATCCTTATATACATCAAAATTTCAATTTTAGATTTGTATTGATCTCTAAAGCAATATGGTTGATTTAGTCAAAGTGTATTTTGACAAGTTCAAAACTAGTGTGTCTAAGTTATATGCCAACAGTCTATTTGATTTAGTGCTTTGTCTCATTGAAGGAAAAACTGGTATTCCATCTGTACTTATTGCTATCGGTACGTTTTCTATCGTGTGTTTTTCATCATTTTGAATATGTTTATATATTGTTATAGGATTATTCAGCGTACTGGCTGTCTATTTGATAATAGGCTGGGGCAATGATTTCGTTTGTAATCTCATTACATTAATTTATCCAGTATTTGCTTCGTGAGTTGGATTTTCGCTAAAAAGCTTTTCTCGTTTTTAATAACAATTCAAAAACTATATCCAATACTGTCGCAATTGTATGGATCAAATCGATTCAACTATTTCTACATCTTTTACATCTCGAGCTGAAATTTAATCTTTATCACTTGCATTGTGTAAAAGTATTTAAATAGTTTTTCTTCAATTAAATATCTTTCTAAGCTAAAAAAACATCCAAAAAGTGATGGGAATTATTATCCTATTTCGTTAAGTTTTATTTTTGATAGCTTTCGAACAAGATGTAGAAATAAGTAAGGCAGCATTTAAACTGCAGATCAGAGTGTAGTTTGAGATGACGGCAAGACAGGCGATCACATTTGCACCCTCATAATTTGCCTTATCAGAACTGTCACAAGATCGGATGTAGATTAAATTATGTCAACCCATGTTTAAAAATTCCTTCCATTTGATAATTGTGATAGTAATCGAATTCTATGATTTTCGTATTAGATTTTTGACCATTCATTCTGGTGACAGTTCCGACCAGAAAAAACTTTTGAATTATTGGGTTATTTATTCATTGCTTGGTTGCTTTGAATATATTTTTCACGGCCTGTGTGATTTCTTACGCACGTATTGGCTTGGTAAATTCTGTTTTTTTATGTGGTTTATTCAATCTGAATCATCATCAACTGAATCGAATCCCGAACCAGATTCGAGTGAGCTTTCTCAACCAAAACCATCCGTTCCTCGAAAGAAAGCAACATCTACTGGTGTCAAGCGAACTCAAGCCACATGTGCGTATAATACGTGTATCTGCATGATTATTCCATCGAATAAGTAACCATTCTACGATATAGTTAGTCACTAACCATCGAATTCAGTTTGCTAGAAAATTTCTTATTATACTTATATAGAATCAGAAATTCGTGAAGAAAATATTGGAAGCATTCCCCTTAGATTCAGGGTTGCCAGATCTCCTGATACCAGGCACTGATAGGTTTTCTCCTGGTTTCTTGACTTTTTCTCACATTGAATTTTAGTGACATCATAAATCGAAAATACAGTCAATACAATTGTATAGAGTTTTATGATTGTCTTTTAAATAGTCAGGATCTATTGAAACAAATTCGATCGTCAAATAAATATACTCATATTGCAAAAGTTTTACGTACGACATAACTGATAATTTATTGTTCGAATATGGCACCTTTGTTTTGATTCCTATCGATTTCTAAGAAGATTTTATTTATTTATTAGCGTATATTTTATGAAAACTTTCGAAATAAATTGCAATATAGAACATATTTGACGATCTTTAGTTTTTCTTATATAATATTTGACTATCATCAGCTTAGCAGCAAAAAAATATTAATGAATCCTTATATGCATGCAAAACTTCAGTTCTCTACGAAATAAAACGGCTAAATAGTTTACTAATTTCTCGGAAAAAAATCTCCTGGTTAACTCCTGTTTTTTTTCGAAAGAACTTCTGCTTTTCGAAATTTGGATAGGCAACCCTGATTAGATTGCATCTTTGTCATTATTTTCGATTTATTTTTCTCTAAATACAAATCCCAAGATTTGCTGCTAAGTTTGTCATCGTTTGCAAACATGACTTTCTGCACATTACAGAATACTATTTCCCTGAGTTGAATATCATCGATTTGACATAAATATTTTGTGCTCCTTCTTAAAACTATTCAATCGAAATGTTTACAAAGAACTACGATATGAAGAAAAGTAATACCATAAATATTTTGGATTAGATAGTGTTCTTCTTATGATCGAAATTTCACGATCACAATCGATGTGACATTTTGTTCAATGACTAATGAAAATCAGTTTCATTCTCATCAATATCTACCTGAATCTTAGCAGAATACTTTCTTTTTCAGTGCCACTACGTTCTGTTGAACTCAGTCGCGATGTCAAGTGGGCACCAAATGGTGTTGTCGTTGCTGGAGGACATGGAAATGGTAGTGATCTAAACCAATTATACGCTCCTCGTGGTGTGTTTGTTGATGAAGACCAAAATGTTTATGTGGCCGACTTATGCAATAATCGTATTGTTGAATGGGCACCCGATGCAACTGAAGGTCTACCAGTGATTGGTGGACTCGACGAAAAAACTATGTTAGATAAGTTGAGCAGTCCAGTGGATCTGATCCTAGAGAAGGATTCCGATAGTTTTATTGTTTCCGATGACATGACTAAACGAGTAGTACGATGGCGTCGCCAAGGTGATACAGAATGTGAAACAATTATTTCAGGTGTCGAGTCCAAAGGTTTGGCTATCGATGAAAATGGATCTATCTATATAGTGGACGGTGAAAACAATGAAGTTATACGATATAATATTGGTGACAGTGAAGCTACGATAGTTGCAGGTGGTAATGGAGCAGGTGATGCTCTTAATCAACTGAATTGTCCATATTCCGTTTTTGTCGATCAAGACTATTCGGTGTATGTGTCAGATGAAGACAATCATCGTGTTATGAAATGGGCAGATGGTGCCACTGAAGGTGTCATTGTTGCTGGTGGTCAAGGAAGCGGTGACAGTTTATCACAGTTGAGTTATCCGCGTGGAATCGTTGTCGATCCATCAGGCACTCTCTATGTAGCTGACTTCTCGAATGCACGAGTGATGCGTTGGTTCAAAGACGCCAAACAAGGTGAAGTCATTGCCGGTGGAAACGGCGAAGGAGAAGAACCTAATCAATTAACATGGCCCTCTAGTTTAGCATTCGATAGGCATGGTAATCTCTATGTTTCCAATTCAGGCAGTGCTCGTGTGGTGAAATTCGAGATCGCTTAAAGTTCATATTTATTTACAGTTTTCAACATTACGCTTAGTGTAGTTCACTTAATCACGCACTAATTTTTCAAAAAACGAATTCTTTAGCGTGTCTTATTTCTTCGATATATATTATATATATTTCTGTCTTTGGATCTGGTTTTTTTTTGAAATCTTCATTTGAAAACGCATTCAGTATTCATTTCAATACAAAAATTAGATAAGCCACGATATCATCACAATAAAGTCGTTGATGCTGTAATACAAAAAGTGGAAGAACCTCAATGATATTTAATTTTATTTCAGTAATTTCTCAAGATTTTTTCAAACAAACAGTTTAATTTACAGTTGCAAACAATTTTGTAAGACTCTTCGACATTTGATACATTTTGTTTTGGGCTTCCTTTATTCCAGACATTATGAAGACTATTCGATAGATCCTGACGTTTGAATTAGATAATGTATGGTGTCTTGTCTCATAAATCTCTGTTTAACTAGTAAGAAATAACGATACGCTTAACATTTTAATTCTACGTATGAATAATTTAAAGAAAATATGACGTGAATAAACTTTCAACTGTTAACTTAGATGATATTAGCTACAAAGTAAAAGTTCTTTATCATTGTTAAAATATTGTTTTCAAGTTATCGAATTATGTCTTTCTTGAAACAGTTAGATACGATGATTTAATAGATACGAATATTTAAGAATTCATTCGATTGAAACAATTGCATTGGATAATCTTCTTATTCTTGATTGTTTTTAGTTTCTTATTTCCTGTGTTAGCTCCACAGCAACATTGATCATAACAATGTTTTTTCACACAAACAGTACAGAAATGTGTAGATCAACGAATTTCAGTCAAGAGTTTTTCTTGTAAACAACAACTCTTTATCTGCTTTTCAAGTTAAAACTAATTCACTTATTATCAAGAATTTACATGCATGTTCAAATCGATCATTTTCTATCTGAAAATCGATGAGATATAAAAGAGCACTGTCTTCTTTCAGGGCAATTTCAAACATGATTGCATGCCTGAAAATGAGGAACGAACAAATTAATGATAACAAGTGATTATTTTTTTTCCACAGAAATTTCATTGTCACAATAGAATTTTGTCATCAAATGATAAATTAATCTTAAAATGGCATGACCTATTTTTTGGCATTTTTTACCATAGATTTTCTCATTGACATTTATGTAAATGAGTACAACTCTAAATTGAAAAATATCTATTAACAGGTGTTAACATTTTTTTTTTCTTCTCTCACGAGTAAAACATTCTAAAGGTAACAACTGAAAAGTTTCTATCGACATTCAATTTGATCAACGAATAACAAGGATATTTCTTGTCAACAAAATTCAAATCCTGTATCCGGTCTGGAATATGCACTGTGGTTAACAGGCATTGACGATCGAAGTATTCAAATAAAAAAAGAAAACAAATACATTTTCTATATTTTCCAAACAGATAAATATTTAACCATAACAATAATTGTTTTTTTGTTCTTTTCTCTTGAGACATGGAAGAGTTTTATACTGGCTGATAATAGGATTTAAGTTCTTTATATTTCTGTTTTGTCTAAATTATTATACGACAAATGACACACGCTTACATGCAACACGTAATCAACAAAAATAGTTTTGCATAGATGTTTAATATCTCGATGGTCTACGCATGCGTTCAATCAGTTAAACTATGTAGTATTTTCTCATTCTCCCTTGTTGTTTTTATTTTCACTTTTCTCTAAGGAAACCTATTGCCTATTCTTGTTCGAGAATCATATAACAAGTTTTCTTTCTTTCTCATAGAAAATATCAATGAAAACTTATATTCATTGTTTTACCTGATATTTACTATAAGTCTCATATTATTGTTTTGTTTCATTCCATGGTGGCTCTATTGAAAATACAAATTTTATCAATTATAGTCACATCATTGACAAATCTTATTGCTATTTTAACATTTGCAACTGATTATTGGTCAATACTTGTTTATGATTTAGTTAAATTGCGTCCATACGCAAAATGGATCATCGTTGAAGACCAAAAAAGTGGCAAAATTCACAGAATCAATAACACGAATGAAACGAAATTATTATCAAATTTTAATTATAATCAATTAACAACTGTTGTAGGAATGGAAAATGATCTTTTATTGTTTTCTACACATAAAGGTTTATTTCGTCAATGCAACTATTTATCAAGTAACGTACGAGCGCGTTTACAATTACCAAAATGTCGAGCAGTAAAAACGACGGACACACAATATGATGGTCATTTTTATGGAATGACTAGTCCTCGATATGAACTCATACGTAAATATCAATCGATTTATTTTTAATATAATTGTTTTTCTTTCTGTTAGACACTGTATCAGAATTTTCTTTAGGACTCTGTTTTTTTCCGTGTTTCTACAGGTTCCGTTTAATGAAATATGTTGGCAATATTATCTTAAGTAAAACAATAATAGTCATTATCAAGATTAGTCTTTGGATTTTTTTCGCTGAATAAAAATGAAAACACTTTTTACCGTTAAAAAACATTTAAGATAAAATACATAAATGAACAATTTCTTTTTTATGTGAAATATAAGATGACTAATCATCGATAGAAATCTACAACTTCGATCATTGAAAAGAGTACCATAAGAGGCATCAAGACGTAGAACAAGATTGAAACATCTTCACATTATTCTTTATCTTAATTTTCTATCCAAAACAAACAAAAAAAATTTTAAACGCTTAAATTCGACTGAACATAACACATCATTACAACAATCTTATTGCATGCAAACTTTAGCAATCAGTCGCTTTTATTTTGTAGCTTAAGAAATGTTAGGTGCTTTTCTGTGTCTCAAAGAAATCGGAAGCTTTTTTCACATAAAAGTACTACAATCTTTTTATTTATAGTAAGTTGATAATAGCTATTCGTTACCTATAATTCAGTTCCATTATTTATATAGACTTTTAACATATATAAAACGAAGTGCTTCGCAATCATTCTTATTTGAAACTTACTGCACGCCATTTGTTTACTATTAATCATGATAAAGTCAAAAATAATTCGCACATTTTCAAGTGCTTTTTTGACCAAATACAACGCTCAGACAATTCTAGTCGGGAATTATAGTGAAAATTTATAATCAATTATGTGACAATTCTGGATGTTTTCATTTTCTCACAAGAAAGACATTGCACTTAGTCAGACCATATATTTTTAACTGCCATTTCCAATAAGATAACAATTCTGTATTGGTTTACTATGTATAAAATAATTTTTCTAGTTGATAATTTTCTTGATAAGCTTGTTTTATTGATCGAAAAATCTGATGAGTACTCAAGTCCGAAAATAGGTAAATTTTTACGTTATAAACATTCGACATTGAAATGATTGTTTTTGTTCTAAGGTTATGCCTTCATCTCATGACATAAAAACGAATATTCCTGATTCTTATAATTTTTCAAAATTCACTCGTCATTCCGTTTCCGCATATTTTTAGGTTTATATAATGTAGCAGCATCTTGCACGATATTAATCATTCTTCTTCTTGGCTGTAATACATTTATTGGGATATCTGTAGGCATTCTGAATAATGTGGTTTTAGCTACGATGACTGTCGGAATAATTTATCTTATTGCAGGTAAAATACTATTTTATGAAATTAGTTTTTTTTTTATAGACATTAAATTACTTTTGTTTCCCTTTTTTTTTAGCACTATTCAGCATGTTTGTGGTAGTTACCATGCATACCATATTAATCAGTGAACGTAAACTATCTTATTGTACAGTATTACAAATATTAGACGATGATTTATGTTCATCGCATTCAATTAACGCATCATATTCATTTACATTTGGTTATTTACAGATAATATTTTGCTTCATCACATCTGTATTATGGCTGTTCTTACAAAAAAAACAACGAAAATTCGCGCAACATTGATAATAAAAACAACAAAAAATAAATAAAAATAAATAATTCGTTCTATTGGTGCTGTTGTCGACTATACGATTGACTAGATTGACAATGTGTGCTTTTTTTCTTTTTCTTTTTTATAAAAGCCGAGTTCTCTTTACTCCAGGAAAACGACCTGCTTTTCGGTTTCGATTTTTATGATCGTGATCAACGTCGACTAATGTAACAAATCGACTGAGAATAAATGCCACAAGAAAACAAAATAAAGTTAAACATATAAAGAATATATACCATGAACGCTCATCAAATAAATCATTAAATGAAGGTATAAGTTGAGAAAAATGATTGATTATTTCACGTTGAGTATTCAAACGACGTTGAGCACTTTTTAATAACGGCATTTCGATGGATTAGAATCTAAAATGTTGATGATGGTAAAGAATGTTGCATATTTTTCTCGTCGTTTCTATGAATGCATAGTTGGTTCAATCATCATTGTTGACGAATGCAAAAAAAGAAAAAAAAATGCATGTGGCCGTTATTGGTTGAGAACAACTATGCCTAGGCATCTTTGCCTTCTCTCTTTTCCTCCGTTCTGAACGTAAATTCGTTGTAAATATTATGTTGAACGTTTTTTTTTCTTCTCGGCTTTTTTATGTTCCTTTTTCTATTCTTTGTCTCACGCGCTACTCCCTCGTTCTTTCGTTCTATATATGTATCATGATCGTTTATTGATGTTCTATACAAAGTAATCTTTTTTTTCGTTCACGAGACACTTGTTGCTTCCTGTCATCTTTGCTATGTTGAATTTATAAATTTGTTCATGTTAGGTATGTAGTCTGGTAAGCAAAAAAAACGGATTCTTGTTCTTATGAACTCTTCAATAAATCATCGAGTTTCGCATTTGAATTGCTTCATGATATGTGTGGTCGTTTTCTTTTTTTGTTATTATGTGTTCATTTCTGATTAGTATCAAATTGATATTAACTGTAGGAATAGCACGTGTCTAATGCAAATATTTAGTTGAATGTGCTTTTTCTTTCTATTGAAGAGAACAGATTAGAATCATATAGAATCATTCCATGTATTGATGGTGTAGTAAAAGTACAATTAGTTTTATTTTTTTATTCAATTTTTAAGCCTCGATGTTGAGTCGTATAAAATAAAAACTAGTATCGTTGGTTATGTATATTGATTGGTTGCTTTTGACCTACATGATTACGACAACAGTTCATAAGAGCAAGTGTCCTCAACATTTAATGCACACTATTCTCTTCTTTACTTTTGATTGTCTCACATGGCCTATTTCCATTCTGTTAGTAATCTTCCGTTTCTGCTCTCTTGACATTAAATATGTTGCAATTCTTCTACTATTGTTATTCATCGTTGATAACAATTTTCTCTTCTATTCCTGAGATAATATGGCCCAGGTGCTCTCACTAGTCTCTACGCGGCTGTTGTTGTGTTTTTTTAATTTACTAGAAACATGCAAATTTTGTTCGATAACCATCAAGTAAAACTATTTCATTGAAGACGATTCATATTCTCCTCGAAAAGAATTTTCAATCTACTAGACGATCTTGCACTGAATCTATTTGTAGCTTTAGACGGATGTTAGCTTTAGAGTTTATTCTCTTTAGGAACTAGAGAAATTCCACTAGTTAGTTTTGAGCTGTCGACTGGCTCATGCGACACAATAAGTTTTATGTTTTTAAAGATTCTTTTTTTCGATTTCTTTCTTCGTTGATCTTTTAAGATCTGTATGTGTGATTTGATGGACAGTCGATCAATAGTTCACAATGAAAAATGTTCTTTTTCTTTTTCCTGTTTTAAGGCCTATTATGTTAAAAGTTTATAATATTAAAGATCAGCAGCTCCAACATAAGCCATAGCCAATCGTTTGAAATAGTTGAATGACACTATAGATGAATTAGAGATTTTCACTTTCTCAAGCTGAGACTAAAATTCTTATTACTGCTATAGATGATCATACATGTGAATCATATTTCTTCGAGACATACTAGCGAAGTAGCTCAATCTGTACACAGATTTTCAGTTCAATATCACGCAATACAACATAAATCAGTTTTTGATAATGAGAAAATCTTAAATCGAGAAATAGCATCTTTTATACAACAACGTATTACGAAGATAACATATGCCATACTTAAATTAAATGATAGTCATAGTAAGTTTATATGTATTTGTCCTTAAAAAGAAGTCATTGAATATTAAAAATAGGTAAGTTAGCTTATCTCTTGAAATCCGATATATAACATACTTCGCCATTTACGTCAGTCGATGCTCACAAAAAAACCTTGAACGATATCTATACGATGGCAAAAATCTTGACTGTATGTATTTGATCAATAGATTTGTCTTTTACTCTTATGTGCACTCCCACACAATGCTCAACTTTGTCTCGTAATGTCAACCAAATCGTATTCACTGCCTTTGCTTTACCATGTAAATGTTTTTTTTTTTCGATAAATCAACTTCGACTATGTAAGTATGTATGCCTTGTTTGAGATTAAGACATGAGACAAAATGTATAGACAAATTTAATTGACATCGAGAAAAGATGTACAATAGTTTGCGTCTCGTCAAGTTCAAGTTGAATGCGATCGTTTGTTTGGATTTTCATATTTGAGTACATATTTGGCTATTTTTCTTCTTCTTGCGATGAGATAATATAGATTGATTAATGAACTCGTTCGCTTTGCGTATTAGGATGGCAGAATATTATAGTATTGATTTTTCTCATTGAATAGAACAAGTAGATCAATGATTGTATCAATAGACTGTATGATTGTTAAGTTTGATTATCCGCTATCAACCTTGCCACTTTTCTTCTTCTGTGCTAATGAATAAACAACGGTCTTTTCAAATATTTCATGTGATGTATTGCTATCGTCAAGTATTCCTTTGTGTATAAACATGAGTAAAGGATAGTAGTACTTACAACCAGCGCGCTTACGTAATTTATCCATACATGTAAATAGAATATGTGTTACGTTTTCAACATTTGAATGAGTTATTGCTGATAGCCGAAAAGAAGTCTCGATGGAAATTTGATAACATCTTTAACGTTTTTTTTGTTGTCATATTCTCTAACACGAGAATAAAAAAAATGAATCCCATTGACATAGAGATATGCATTTGTCATTTGTATCGTTTAGATGTAAATTAAAATGAGCAATACACCACAATTTGATTTGGGTTCAGCTGCACTTCAACATCTTGAATTACTCAATTGTTCCAATCAAAATCCACTTGAAATTGCAGCTCAATTTCGCACACTTTTACGTTCGAAAAAAGCTAATAAAAATGTTCAGTCATCGAATATTAATTATACATATACAGATTATATTGCAGCAGACGCAACAATACGAAGACGAGGACGTTCACATAGTCTAGCCGATCAACGATCGAAATCGTTAGGTAAAATTCAATATGATCTTAGCGTCGATCAATCATTGCTTGAATCGAATTCTTCGTCTAGTTATATAAAAAATGAACCAATAGATAATTTAACCGATGAAATCTATCCGGATTCAGCGATGGGTTCTGATTCTAGTGATTTAACAAATCATAAAATTGACTCAAGTATCATGTCTCACAGAACGACTGATCTCAACAATAAAATCATTTGCCATAAAACATCAAAAGAAACTACTAGTAATTCAAATCGATTTCAATATCCAACCATTAATTGGAAACAATTACGTGAAAAACAATATGAAAATAAATTAGATAAAGTTAAAAAATTTCTTTCAACAAAATTTAAGACAATTCGTTTATCAAAAAGTGAAACATTACCACCGGCATCAAATAAACTAGAATCATATGCATGTTCGAATTTATCAGACACAGAAAAAAATGATCAAGATATTCTTTTAAATGAAAATATTTCGTCACCTTCGTCTAGAAGTAGATCATCATCATCAACGTCCATACGTACGCCATCGATATCTCCAAAGAATTCTCCACGATCGAATTATACAGTTTCACGAGTAAATACAACATTAGTAAATCACAGCCATGATGCAATATTCTTTCCGATCGCCGACTGTAATCTTATTATTAAACATCAACCTGTTGAACAAACTAAACGAATCTCTCATTCTCAAAGTTTATGTAATCAAAATAAACTAATCTGTGGTACTACGAGCGAGACTATGTATATATAATATAATCGCATCAGATTTTTTTTTATTCTATTTTTTTCTTTTGTTTGAATGTTTGAGTCTTTTTTTTGTTTTTGGTGATTACGAATGAAATAAAAGAACGTAGAAAAGTTGATAAATATTATATAAATCAATTCTTTATAGTAGAAACGACTAGATGATTTGTCTTTCTGGACTGAAGAATTGATTTCTATGAAAGGCGAAAATCCTAACGTGATTATAGATTGTCTCTAGAGATGTTACTAAACACAGTTGATGAGTAATGCTTTTAATTTTTCGGTATCCAGCTCTTGTATATTCCATGATTTATTTTGATATTTGTATTATTCATGTTGACGTTGACAAAAATTCTTTTACTTTTTTCCTTTTTTTATGAATAAAAGTTAGACGCGTGTGCTGAACCAAAATTTGGAAATTATTCAAATATTAATGTCGAGTATTTCGATAGTAGTCTGAACGTTTCCTATAGTCGAGCGGAATTTGAATATTTCTAAGCAATATTAAGTTCTATTAGAGGTAGAACAAAATCTCCAACGAAAATATATGGTTATTCTAATCTTATTTCTCACAGGTCGCCTATTGATAAAAGCTGCTTTTAATCAACGAACTCTTTCGTTTAGTAATTAATCGACATTGATCTCTACTACGAAAATCAAATCGAAACATCTCAGTTTAATGCATGTCTCATGAAAAACAAAAGCAGATTAGTTCATTAGCCATTTCTTAAGTTTATTTAATTTTCATAACATGAAAGCATATCCCCATCTATGTTGCACTACAAATGGATAACGCCAAGAAAACAAGATATTAAAAAACAATGACGTTTATTCATCATAAAATAGAAACGTTGTGTACATGAAGAAAAAAAAACATGGAGAAATAATGGAAAACAAAAACTAATATGATGGCACGGTTCTACTAAGGACAATATTAGATGATACGGAATGACACAAGGAAGTAAATAGAATGGTCATCAAAAATCAGAAAGAACAATTTTTCTCTATCACACCACATAATCGTGAATGACACATGTTCTTTCAAATTACTACAACTTTGTGTCTGATAAACTTAGTGTATGGTTGACGAAGGCCATTGATATTAATTCTATAGTTGGAATGAAAGAGTACAGAAAAACATGAGCATATCTAGCTTATCTTCGCATACTAGAAGTCGATATGTGATATCTAAGTTTTATAGGTTCTAAAATTGGAAGTAGACTTATATCAAGATGAGTTGTTTTCTCATATCAACAGAAGAACTCATTATCACTTATTTTTGTTAGTTTATACCCAATAGAGGTGATGAATAAAAAACAAATAATAGATTGTCAAGGGAAATATGAGCTTTAATAATTATCTACAGTTACTAGGATTCAGAAAAAGAATTTAGAAAAATGAAATTATTTTCATGGCGGATCTAAGACAGTCAAAAGAAAGAAAAAGCATAAGAAAATGATCTCGTATTGATGACCAACTTCTATTTATCGACGTGATCTTGAATTTTTGAAACATATTAACCATGATTGTAACATGCACGAGAGTGGTTTTCTAATGATTACATAACCTTTATCGCTCAATCGAGTATCAGCTTTTTGTTTAACTGTGAACTATTTATTGTTCTTTATCATTTACAGATGGTTCATTCAATTCTTGGCGTGCTGCTTCAGTTATCATCTTTGTAGTATTTTGTTGTTGATTTATGGATTGATCAATATTTGGTAGTAGTTTATGTTGCTGTCGTTCTTGAATGGGTCCATTTTGTTGTGCAGATGAATTTGTTGATTCATCATGCAGAAGCAGTTTATCAAATCTAACTGGTCGTCGTTTAATATCATTGTTATTTGAACGTGCTATGGGCACATGTTTTGGTAATGATGAATAATATCTTTGATTAGCTCGAGATTGATCCAGTTTTGTAACATTGCCAATATGACGACTATCACTCTGAACTCTCTGTTCGTGTCGTTTTTGAAGTGGACTCATTGTAGGTTGTCTTGGAGTATATTCATCTTCGTGATGCGTACTTAGAGTCACGATAGTCTCATTATCTTCATGTTGTGGTGATATCATGAGTTGTCTTGGAACAGGTAGTACTGGTCGATAAAGAACTTCAGTTGGACGACGTGCAGGAATATATGGTAGTATGCCATTTATACTAGGAGGCGAAGAGTGCGCTGATTTACCTGAGTATTGTTTTGCACGAACCGATGTATAAGGAAATACCGAAAGCTATAGAAAAATAAATAAGTTTTAACATTTTTAGAATTTCATACGATAAAAAATGTGCTATTTTTTCACCATTGTGGAAGAATTCATTCTATTTGAATTATTCTTTTTCAATATCTTACGAAGGAAATGTTTCAATTCATAAATCTACTTTCATCGGAGATTCTGCACATTATTTAATTAGAACTAAATTAACTATACTCGATGCTCAAAGAAGAATTTATGTTCTATTACTGCTCCAATGCTGCATTTTTATGATAGTTAACGAAAGAATTCTATATTTAGCTCTAGAAACATTAGACAATCCGATTTTCTAGTCTCTATATGTAACGTTTTGCAGAGATAAACTACTAGATACAAGTGATGTTTTACTAGTTGAGAAGTTTTCTCCTGAAATATATGATTAATCTAAATAGCTACTCTACTTGTAAGTATATTCTGATACAATAGAAGAAAGGTTCGCATCTTGGTTTGTACGAATCAGCTGTTTCACTTTATTTTATCTGATTTATTATCGATTTTGACTCAAAGGAGCGTCATCATGTTATGGTTCATTTCAGTACTTCAATTTGGTAACTATGAAGTAGAAATGCTTCGATTTATGTTTGTTTCTAAGAGATAACCTCTTTCGATTACCGCAAGAGATTTTCTGTCAATGCCTTATGCGTAGATTAGCGCAACAAAGAATAGATCAATTCTGTAGTCAAACGGTATCGCGAGAGAGATTTATTCAATAGAGAATTTTACCTTTCTTAAATATCTACTACCTGAAATGTTAACGTTAGAACTATATCTATGCAATGCACCGATGGCGAATTTAAAAACTGTACCATGCTCTTTTCTCTTATTCATACGCGATACAAGTTGCCATAGTCAATCAATTCAATCAGTATCTGTGCATTAGTCAAAAGCAAAAAATGTTATGCTCTATTGATTGGCTTAGATTGGAAGTTTGCTAGTCTTTCTTAGTAGCTAAATAGTCTTATAGCTCACGATTGAATTGTCTGCTTTTTATTTGTTAATAGAAAAATACGATATTTTTAGTGTCTAAAATGTATACCAAAGCTATTATTATGAAACGTACTGATGCAATTTTTTTTTCTGCATAGAGAAGTAAAACTATAACTCGAAGCACATTGAGCTGTTACTGATTTACAGTCAAAGCAACAGAACTCACACGATTAGCGATTCATGTGTCGAGCAGATTTCTCATGTTGTAACCAAATAAATGAACAGCTATGCGCATATCGATTAGAGCCTCTTATGGAAAAAGTCATTTCTAAAATTCTCATCGATCACGTCAGACAACAAAAAGCCTTGATTAGAAAAATACATTCTCATTGTAGGCCCATGCATTCACAAATATATAAGATAAGCAAATAATCATGCACTATTATTATTATTTTAAATGTCAGCTTCACATGCGTACACAAAAGAGAAAGCATACAACTCAAATTATCGATGATCATCATAAGTAGTCAATTTTTGATTTCGTATACGTCGATAAATCTGTACCCTGTTCTTTTTTTTTCGTACGATTGATCGCTAGATTTTTTTATCTTGAATCAAATCGTTTAATTTTATATTAATAAAGGTTCCAATATGGAACAGTGATGATAACGATAGGTGCATTCATTTTATTTGTTCGTGCACAGGGGTGGCTTATGATATAGAAAATATGTTTAACAGCAAGAATTGAAAAAAAGGAGACATTACACATGATACAGATCAGTTACCCGTGATGATTTAGATGCTTCTGCTGGTAATCTTGTGTCTGAATATGTACGACGAGAACCATCCGATAATTTTTTCTTATTTCTTGCTTCGATCTGTTGAGCATATTGTCTTGTTTTGGCTAATTTTTCCATCTATATGAAAAATAAAATAGAGAAACGTTGTAATCCTAGAGAAAATTAGCAAAAGCTAAATACTTTTTCTTTATGAGTAGTATTATCAAAATCCGAGCCAAGATGACCCGAACCAAAACCATAATTCTTTTTAAACTGATCATAATCTCGACCAGTATAAGGTTTAAATTGCGAAAATTTTTTTGTCTGGTTCAATTTTGATAAGTAGGAATCTTAGAAAAATCAAAATAGAAATAAATCCTGTTTAAGCAAATCGAAATCTATTCGTTACCTTCATCTCGACTTGTATCATTGTAATTATAATCTCCTCCATAAATTGGCGGATTATATCCACTACGATTTGTTCCTGTTGGCGCTTTTCCATATCGACCCATTGATGCATTAACACCGGTACTTGGCATTGTTGGACTTCGTTGAGGTGGATTTGTTGTTGGTAAAGACTAATATGACTCAGTTATATAGTGTAAATTCATCGACACTTTCTCTTACTTGATCAATATTACGTTCTAATTTTCGAATATGTCGTTCTAATGGATCGAAATTAGACCAATGGCCAGGATCTGGTGCTTGCTGCTGTTGCTGTTGTTGTTGTTGTCTAATGTTTTGTATGTCAACAAGACGTAAATCAATATTCAACGAAATTTTATCTCCATCACGAGTAATGTGACTATCTATATAAAAAAAAACAATAAACAAACAAATAGATATACTAGATGTTCTTTTTCTATTCAATTAAATTGGCGAATTTACCAAGTGGGACAGTCATAACACCAGACGTAGATTCACTGTGAGATTTTTCATTCGTATTCAAATTAAATGTAACAGGTAAACTAGATTGGCGTGGTGGCTTAGTTGACGGTGATGATGATAATGATACTATTTTAGGCTCGTGTTCATATCTTTCGTTTTCATTGTCAATAGGAAGATTTAACTTTTCATATCTTCTTGCTGGTGGTCGATAAACATTTTCTTTATTTCTATTCGTATCGATATATTCTTCGCTTTGACTTGGTTTTGTTATTGGTGGTGGGTGATGAACAATGCGTTGGGGTGGCTTGAACTGTGTTGCTAATGGTTGACTACCGGCACTATTCCACGTGGAACTGGAACCAAATGTTCCTTTGCTTCGATTCATTGCTTCTCGTTTTTTAGACTTTTTCTCTTGAGTTTTAGCACTTGTCCGTTGTAACTCACTCCAAACAGCTTTCAACGACATAGAAGAGATTCATTATTTATTCAATAAAGTTCTAAACAATTTACCTTGCCGTTTAGAATCTTGATCTAGTTGATCATTGCTACGTTGACTGATTACAGGTGACTGCTGTTCGAATTGATCATCTTTTGCATCTGTAAAAAACATTTCTTGATTGTTTGGCGGATTTATTTGGCGTGTGTTTAATTCATTATATTGTTGCTGTGGTGGAAATTTTTGATATTCATCAAATACATTTCTATTTTGTTGATTTGATGGAACAGAATATACTGATGTTTGTTGTTGTTGTTGTTGACTATTGATAGCATTTGGTGTTAACTGAGGTCTGGCATAGGACGTTCGTTGTGTTGGTGATAAATGAATATGAGTTTGATCCAATGAAGGAACACGTTGATTAAATTGAGGTGGTGGTGGTGGTGGTTGCTGTTGTCTCGTATTGGGTATATAATTTTGTCCAAGAGAATTAAATGTGGGTCTTTGAAATAATTGATCTTCTGGACCAAAATAATTCAAAAATGAATTAGGCTCACTACTATAAGATGAAGGGACAAATATATCACTATTATCAATTTGTGCAAAACGAGATGGTATTTGTGGTTGAAATTGAGAATAATTTGATAAATTTATGTTTGAAGTCGAATAAGGATCCATTTGATGCTGCCGCTGTTGCTGCTGCTGCTGCTGTTGTTGTTGTTGTGGTTGATCTTTCGAATCTAAGGTATCCAATAATTCAACTTCAAACAATGCGTCAGTTACTGCTCGATTTGCTATGTTTGATAAAACTGAAAAAAAAATTCAATTAAATTGACTATTGTTTCATCTATATATATATATATTATTCTACTCTTTGTTCTTATGACAACCGTACTCCATAAACAACATTTACTGTTAATACCATTTTACGACTTTTGTCTACACAGTTGAAATATGTTTTTTTTTATTAAATAGAAGAAAAATTTTAAATGAAAGAAAAACGAAAGGAATGAAACGAAACTACAACGTTTCATCTTGTCATGCGCTTTTACTTCAACGAGCTATATTTAAATAAAAGTGATATCATTACTTTTCGTTAAATAAATTTTTAAAATGTAAAGTAAAAGAACGAAGAAAACTTTACCATGATTAGTTTGAGATGAACCGGTTGGTCGAACAAAACTAGATTGATAGGGCAATGAATTCCTTCGATGAGTAGAAGGTCGACGAGGAGGAGTAAAAGGAATTGGTGGTATTTGTTGCTGCTGCTGTTGATTAGACATCGCATCAAGTTCAGCAAGCAAAGGACCCAAGAGAGGATCTTGTCGAGGATCAGCTCTTTACGGGGAAAAAAACTCCTATTTGTTGATTCTTTAAAAATAACATACACATATTTACCTTGGCATAGTTGTTAAAGTAGTAGATAATTGTCCTTGCGATTTGACTGGATTTGACTCTCGTCGATGGGGTATTTGAGATCGAGTATTATTAGTGCCCATAACATCTAATTCATAGTCGAGTGAATCCATTAATGTTGCTCCGGTTGGTGCCGGTACTTTTGTGTCAATTAAAGATCCCGTATGATTAGTTAAACGACTTGAAACATATCTGTACATATCTTCTTCTTCTTTATTACCGAACGATGGAGATTCTAAATAAACTCTACGCCCCAGTAAACCATTCGCATCGTCATCTTTGTTCGAACTATCTTCTTGTGCATCAGATTCCTTGGAAAATAAATAATTTTCATTATCAAAGTCACCAGAATATCGATTATCAACTATCATTTGATCATATGTACCCATGATTAATTTCTTTTTGCGCACATTTGACAGAACAATATATAATTCCACTCATGTCAACGCCATTACCTTTCTTCAATGATTACCATAACAACAACTCTTTACTTATAATGTTAAAATCAAAATCATACTTTAGATAGATGTCATAAAGTGTTGCATTATTAATTTATTTTATTCACTAATTTATTAATTGAGAATAGCGACTAATATAATTTTAATTAATGACTCTAAAATAAATACATTATTCTGGGTAATAATAGATTTAACGTTCAAGCATTCGATCCAATTGTCATTTAATTTGTCCCGCTTGTTTTTCTTTAATGTGGCAAAATTAGGAATTAGGAAAGAGAATGGTTGTTCGAAAAATTAAGCAATCGATTTTTTCGAAAATTAGTTCGACTGATCATTCGATAAGCTAGTCATCGGCTTCAAAACTAAATGATATTCGAAACCAGTGACAAGAGTCATCCGTCGAAATCAATCTATTTGACTGTTGACTGACGATTTGTTCTCTAGATTGCTGTATTTAGATATCAATATACGTATGTACGACAAGTACTAGATAAATAAACGAAGTGATCTGATATAGGAAAGCGAATCATTTAGCGCAAACGCTTTTTTGAATCATCATCGGACAGGAATGTTGAAGTGTGCGAATAAAAGTTTAACTTCTTCCGCTTCACAGATTGAGCAAGACATTGACCGCATATGGTCAAATGTTGAATAGCATCCAGTCAGACAAGCGTTGAAAAAACGGTGTTTTTTTCGCGTAAAAAGCGTACACTTTAACGTTTCATGAAATTTCAGTTTTTTTTCCGGAAAATAAAGAAAGCTTGCGAATGATAACAATGAGAAAATCATTTGATTCGAAACAAAAAAACGCATTTTAACCGATCAAAATGTGCGCTTTTTACGTATAAAAACACCGTTTTTTTCAATGCTTGTCTGACAGGGCAATAGCGTCTCGTTATAATATACAATACTATAGTTTCTTATTGAATTAATTTAAAACAGAATAAAAGAAAGATGCCGAAAAAAAGTAGCCAAGCAAAACGACATTCCTCCGCCATTGATAATGGCAACTAACTTGTGATTGCACGCAGATTGTACTAATAAGTTTATTTTGCTAACATTGAACTTGATTTATATCTGTTTAAAGGAAGAAAAATCAATTTCGAATATGGTAGACTTTATCAGGAAGATCTTCAGTTTATAGGCGCGATACTATTGAATATCAATGCCCTGCGGTAGATTGATGACCACAATATAGTCCATTATATACTTTATTGAAGTTTGTTTGATAGATTTTTTCCGATAATAAGAAAACTATTTTCATTGATATGGTGATAAAATAGAATTGGTATTGACGAATGATAATCTCTTCATAATAATCATAATGATAGAAATGAGTTCGTAGCTCTTAGGCGTTGTGTTGAATGCTGATATAACTTATTCGACAGGCTTTTGTCTTCGAGTCGATCAATACTGCGTAGGTGTTACGGATTGTTCTTACTCTGATAATCGTTATTTTTTTTTATTCATGAATAATATTCCTACTTTAGATCGCGATCAGATTCAAAACTCAAAAAAATGAAGTGACAGATTCACATCAACATTTCTAGGAACTACGAGATTTCAGAACTTCTTTTTTGTATCATTGATGTTATCTTCTCTTAGACTTTTTTGCATCTGTCAATACAACATTAGGCACACTTGTATAGCAATAATTTGATCATTGTCACAGAACAAGCTGACATCTATGATGGCTCTATCAAGTAGAAGAAAAGACAAAAATATAGCGTAAATATTCTCATATTCTTCTACATACAAGATCGTAATGACTGATGGCAACACTAATACAACAAAATTTTCATTCACTTGTCAGTCTATTAAACGATTCTCCAGAAGCATCGAAGTATTAGATTCGAGTTGAAGTTGTGTGTTAGTTCCGTAATATAAGTGACATATTTTTCTATAACTTTTGGTTGAGAATTATCAGTCAATATTGTAGAGGCGCGGAAATCAAGTTTCACAGAAGGAAATTGCCATATTTTTTGCAGTTATACTCTCCTTCTCCTTTACTACATATGCTATGTGACCGACTGTTTCGTTTAGAATTAGAAGTAGAAACTTTTTTTTTCTAGATATTGCCTCAAGAGTGAAATGATTTTTTCAAGAATCATTTAGACTGAGTCTAGATCCCTTTGATAGTCCATTTTCTGTTCGAGAAAAATTATGAAAATAGCATCATGTCCCCTTCTTACATAGTAACTATGTAGTAAAAAAATGACTTGCAGCAAACTAATCATTAGTGCATTATTTTGCATAGAATTATATGTACTTTTATTCTGTACCTAAAAGATCATTTCTACTTCTTCTTTCGCTCATTGTTGGCACATTACGACCCATGTTCGGGTGTTAATTGTAAGATAGGGGGAAAGTTTTTAAAATTTATACCAGGAAACCTTAAAAATTCAAAATGAACGCATATTTTGCTAAGCTATTTTTGGACCATTTGCTGGCGTATTGATGTTTCACCAGCATTCTAGACTAAATTCTTCAAGTTACTTCTGTGAAAACTGATGAATGCAGATAAAACTCAAAAACGAAAACAGAAACAGCGTAGATGTTTATTATATCCACCGTATAAGTTGTTTATAGATGAATACAAATCATTATAAGTACTTTGGCAAATAGTCAAATAGTTATTGATTTCTAAAAAAATTGTACAAAACAAATGTTTTCTTATTTTAATCCAAAAAATTTTATTTGTATAGATTTTATCTATGCTTGATTCTATATGAATTTTATATCTTTCGATTATACAAATTAAAAACTAGTGACACTAGTAAATATAGTTTTTCATAGTTCAAGTAAATAGATGTATAAAACGGATCATGCGGACTTGTGGAAGTACTTTATTTTTCTTTATTAACTCTCTATTCATATTTTCTATTTGTAGAAATTTTAAGAATAACTGAGAATATCAACAACTTCGGATGTCTGCATGCAATTTAATAGTCTGATTTAAATAGCTCGAGAAAAGAATTTTAATTTTTAATGCAACTTTGATAAGTAGGCCATCTGCCATCGACAGAGAAAATTTCAATTAAACTCTCTGTAATTTTTTTTTCCGGAAATACTTTGCTGTCAATCGTAATTCTATTAAAATTATCATAGTTCGTCATCAGTAAGTCGTAGACCTGGATTTGTTTGAGATTTGTAGTAGTACAATCAACATCTACTAACTACTATAGTATGAGATCGACCAGTTCGATATCTAGCAGGATTTAATGGTTGCCTTAGTGAAGTTTATTAGAGCTTCTATTGTCTAAAATAAGTCATTCTTAATTTTTGTTCTAACTATCAATGAAAATGGATGTAAAATAAACAAGAGTTTTAATTCAATTTTACTGTCGATCGTCGACAGAACGAAAAAAAAAACAAGTAGTAAAACTCAGTGTGTCGACTACAATTAACAGATAGACAAGAAGATTAAGCAAAAATATTTTTCATGATATAAACTATTGATTGCTGCATCAAGTTTGCTTAGGCGCATTAATTAGTCTGTCGGTTTTTTCTTTTACGTACATAACGAAATAGTTAGCAAACAAGTTTTTCTTTCATTTTGTCTTTCAGAACTCAGTATTAGACATACAACGTCACTCGTGAACATTCAATACCAATAGTTTTAGGCACTCATTCTTTTGAAAATATTATTTTCTTTGTGAAAAGCATTAATCGATAAATAGTAGTACGATGCACAATGAATACCTTTTTCTACCCGGAAATTATAAACGATATATGAGAAATATTAATCGATAGAACTCAACAATTCAACGTAGATTTTAAGCATGGCGTCAACATGGATCGATTATTGAATAACGTGATATTTTAACCGAGTCATTAATGTTATATAGTCAGATGATGTATGTTGACACAGAAAACAATGTAAAATTTAAATGTTTCAACATTATACCGGAATAGAAATCACTTATCAGAGGAAAAACGGTCAATAGTCCGATGCATACCATTTGAACAAATAACAAAAAGCAAAATATTCACTTCAAGCTTGGACATTCATTTTTCATTCAGAAAAACCTTATGTTATCTGTTGCAGTTCGCACATTAATCATTTCTAACTGAGATAGAAATCACTGTGGTTTTCTTTTGTGTGGCTTTTCCCGTTCACTACAAATAATAACAACTTTCAAATGCGCAATATTGCCATATTTGAAAATTCCATCAGTTGAAATAAAATTAAAAAAAAGCTCCTTCTTTTTATGATGCATATGGTAAATAAACAAAAAACGAATGAGTTTTTCAATCTTCTATATACATGAAGTATTCGATAGAGCAAGAATAAAACAAACGTTTCTTTTTTCTTCCTTCTTTTGCTTCTATTTCATTCTTGAAGAGTTTTTTCTCTTCGTCTTCTTCTTTTTTTTTTCTTTTTCTCTTATAGAAATATAAATCGACACAAGAGATGTTGATGGCATCTCAGTCACCGACGACCACTATTCAAACATTACCTTCAGATCAGCAATAGCAGCAGAAAAAGCAACAGGAGTTTGGAGGTATAATAAACAGCAAAAAGAACAGTTGAATAATTCAATTTTTAACAAGAAAAATCAATGGAATTCGACGATGATATACATTTTAATAATCATATCAATGATGATATCAATGATAATCATTCGCTAGATGATATTATTAAAGCATCAAATATTGATGATGATTCTCCTTTGTTACCCGATCAATCAACATTGATGATTTTCAATCGACGACCTATACGATCGTCAACTAGTCGTCGAATAGCTAGTGATCATGAACAAAATGCATCATCGAATATAAATGAACCTGATCCGAATGTCTTTCTAATTTCATCTGATACAAATTCTCATAATACAATACGAAAAACCAAGCACGATGTAAAACGTTTTGTTATGTATATAGATGAACAATTCGGTGAACAAATACCTTTACATACTGTATCAGCTGAATCGTTATGTCGATATTTAAAACATTATTTTGAAAATACAAAAAAATTCGACGGTACACAATATGAACCTGATACATTGAGAAGTTTTTTATTGAGCATTGAACGTTATTTAAAAAGTAAAAATTATCAATATAATCTTATGGAATCTCCATTGTTTCAATCATGCCGACAAGTTATTGTAAATAAACGTGAAGAATGGAAAAAGCTAGGCTTAACAAATCATTTAAAACAATCATCATTAAGTTTATTAAATACGAAGCATTTAACGGTATTCGATCGGACAAAACCCGACGGTCTATTACTTGAAATGTATGTTCATATAACAAAATTATGTCAGTTATCAATAGCACAATTAGTTTGGGGTGATATTTCTTTAGTCGATGAACAATATCTTATTTGTCATCAACATAAAATTGAAAATCAAACAGTTAGGTAATTAAGAATAGAAAAAATTAATAATTCAAAATGATGAAAATAATATCGTTTGGTTTTTCTTTAGACTTTATGCAACGCCACATAATATTTCAGCATGTCCAGTACAAGCTTATCGACTTTACGCAACACATCGGCCACCACAAAGCAATACACCACAATCGCCTTTCTTTCTTATGCCGCGTTCAACAAGTATGCATCCGATTTGGTAAGAATAAATAACTATACCGACGGTTTTCAAGTCTTATATTGGTTCGATGTTTATTAAAGGTATAAAACAACAGCAGCTGGTAAAAATCTTGAACAAATACTTCAAAAAGCTATACAACACGCTACTCTTCTAAAGCAATCGTCGTCATCAGCCGTAAATGAATCATTATTAACAACATCAGCGCTTAACGGAAAACGAAATGAATCGCCTTCTAGTTTAATGCCAGTTGCAAAACGAGTACACTCACTAATTCAACCACTCAATCTATCCGTTACAACAACAGCAACAACGCCAACAGAAGATGATAGTGGTACAGCATTATCATCCCCGACGAATTCACTATCAAATGATGTTTCATCTTCATCACCAACCAACGGTTTTTCTATTAAACCAATGATAACTCCAGTTTGGGATGAAAGTGTTACTGATATACTATTAACTGTTGCCAAACAACGTGATACACGTACAGTAAAAATCAATACAATTCGAACATATTTAGAAGAAAAATTAGGTTTTGTTGAATTTTTATGTCTTTATCGTGGTTTTAAATCGGAACCAAAATTAACATTTCAAGGGACACCATGGGAACATTATCAACGTTTTTTACCTGTTCTTTTCACGTTGCTTACACTTGACAATACAACTGTTTAATCAATGTCATTTTTCTTACATTTTCTCTTTTTTTTTTTTATAAATCAAGAAGCTTGAACAGTTTTTCTTTATTTGTGTATCTTGAATATGTTGTAGACAAAAGATATTAAAACTCTGTTTGAATATGTCATCTAGGTTGAATATGTTAAATTGAATTTATTTTTGCTTTGCTAGTAGAATAATCGAACAGTGAAACAGAGACTTTTTTATACTTATTTTATTTAAAAAAAGAATAAAGTGTGATAAAGAATTATGTTTGTTACGAAATGAAACTACCGATTGAGAATGCATTTTGTTTTTCATATAGCAATTAAAAAACAATTGCAAGCTTCTATTTCAAACAGGAGAGAGATATACTATATAGGATTTTGCTTTCGTCACTCTACTGATAAACATGTGTATTTTATCTATTTTTCATTAAGATAAGCGCTTGATTGTGTTTCTTGGAAAGTTACTATTTAAAGAAGCTTATACGTTTTTAGATCAACTCAGTATTATCTGTTGTGACAACAGGAATTTCTACTAGGAAAGAAAAAGTCGACTAAAAGAAAAGTAACATCAAACGATGTTACACGGCTGATTGTAAACTTTTCTATTCGTTTGGTCTCTTGCATAACAGCTATGCTTTTTTTTGTGATGCCATCTTAAAGCAATAATCAAACTGTTAAATAAACCGAAAAATAGTCAATGTAAGTCGAATTAGTGGTTTGAGTGCACTTATGATTTCAAGGAAGTACGATTAAGACTTGAATATGGCATTTTTTTTTAAAAAGCTAAAATGAACTTTTGTTCTGATGCAAACAAAAAATTGCAGAGGTAAAGTTTAGTAAAACGATGGCATTCGCTTCCGGATCTGCCTTTTCAGTTTGCTGATCATCAGTGATAACACGATTGCCAATGTTCACTGAGCAGTGACTGATATGATATTGATACTAATACTCATCGACTGCAATATACCAAATACTTTCATTGAGTTTTGTTATATATCAGATTGTTTGCGTGACGTGAATTCTATTTAACGAGAAATTTATCATACGTAGCTTATTATTGTATATTCTTTTTACGATTTTGTATTAATATCAACTGCAATAGTAATACATTGCTGAGAAGTTGACTGTTTTTTTTTTGTATCAAAATAGTGAATTGGCCAAATTGATAATGCCTTTTCGGAAGAGGAAAAATGTAAATATCGAGCTACTTTTCATTCAAGATTGAAATTGAAATTATATGAAGTGCATATATTTTGGAGAGATCCCTGGTTTCTACTGATTGCCGATAGATGAGCCAAGAAAATTTGGTATGAATGTTTTGCACATTATATTTGAAAACAAATTTCATCGCTTTATTCGGTTTTCATCAATAATAGTTCCGTCAATTATCTACATTAAAACTTTGTATCCTATATACAATTAAAGATCCAAATTAGTTCAAATTTTAGAAATTATGATACGGAATCAGCAAGTTCAAACTTATAAATTCATATCTATTAAGCTAATTATCCTATTCCAATGTATCCCCATGGAAGAAAAATTAGTCGAACTGATCAGTTGAAAAGCGAGAACTCTTTTAAGAAGTTTACAGAATAGATAATATTTGTAAATTCAGTTCTTTTTAGTTTAAATTCTCATCTTTGCTAGATCGATATGATGAAACAGTTGTATGTGAAGAATCTTAAGGTGTTCAATACGTTCGTTTGATTTTGTTTTCGATCAAAGCAACTAATTCAAGGCGTAAGAGTTCGCATCGTTTTTTTGCGTATACAGTTATGGTCATGCACGACTACTTTTTGTGAAGTATCACAACTCACAATGATATTGAGGCAATATTTCGGATGCGTGTACGCTAAAGTAAATCATGATCACGGACATCATCTGCCCGTTCATCATTTTATGTGCCTCGAATTCATGATTTTCATATGCTATTTTCCAAAGGACAACGCACTCAACAAAACTATGTACTCAAAAACTTTCTGTTCGTCACATTTTTCTCATTGCGCAACGCAATCGCAATGCATCTACTTTAGGATTATTATCAAAGCCTCTAACGAATAATCAAGATCTCAGTAATAAACAAGCGCAAAAATATATGGGTTGGTCTGGCGAAATTTTCAAATAGATAACTGTCAGTCATTACGAAAAAAAATTCAGTTGATTAGACATTAATATTTTCTTTTCAACAGATATGATTAAGAAGAATCAAACTAAGATTTGCATTAGTATTAGCTACGATGTTGCACTGTTGAATTGAGAATTCAACGAAACTATGTTTATTAGTCTGATTCAGCTAAACTGATTTCAAGACGACAGTGACATGCGAATCATAGATTCTTGAGAGCGTGAGAACCGATAGGCAGCCGATTATTTCATACGATCGTGATCTATTTTTCAATGGCATGCAAGCGAAGCATTAATTCAACCTAATCAAGAACAGTTGCAATGCGTTGTTATTAAATGTGTAATTACTATTCAATTAAAACTACATTTTGACCTAATTAATTTTCATATACAACTTTTAATAAAATAAAATCATCACATCTAATACAAAAAAAAAGCAGATGTGAAATTATGTCCAAACAATAGACAATCATCGTACAAGCGTTTTTGTCATTGTCACCGGACGACCCACATTAGCGCGAACAGGAGTATTTCGAGCAGAAGCTGACCTAAATAATCAAAAAACGAATTATTGAGATGACTGAAATATATTTTTCTTTCATTGATAGCTAGTTTTTGTTTATAGAAATTATATAAGCCATTCCTTTGTTTAAAAATAAAATAACTTACGAAGAAAAAAAAGTTGAGAAATTGTTGTTTAAAGGAATGAAAATAAACATGAAAAATTCAGTGCCCTATTTTTCTTTTCTTTACTCTACCTCGTACAATCGTCACTTGTTAATGAATTAGCTGATCCGTTAGTTCGTCGTTTTTTTTCTGATTTAAATGGGTGAAAAAATGAACGTTTTTTCGGTGTTGGTGTCGACGTTGAAACTGAATCGTGATGATCAATAGTAACATTACTTGTATCTATTGAAAATAAAACGATGAAATTATAATTTAAATTAAATTTCTGTTCACCTAATGTTTTCTTATTTCCTTTTGATCGAAACATATTTCTAAACGATCGAGTTATTGAATGACCTCGATGAAAGTTTGGTGGACTTGCCGGACTTAAGGATACACATGGTTCTAAACATTCAATTATTTGATGCCAATATATAGAAATATAGAAATTAAATTGTTCATACCTGCCGATAGGCTATGTGGCATAGCATCACTATGTATTGTACTGTTTAACGACGAAGCTCCATCGTAATCATTTTGCTCATCATTGCTATTTTTCTTGCGTCGGTGAAATATTGTACGTCGAAATGAACTCATGAATGAGTGTGCTTTTCGAGGTTTATTGCGTTTTTTATCATCGTTATATGAAATTAAGGTTGATGTCGCTGACAGCGTATCGATTGCTGAATCATTTGTTCTCTGTCGAGAAATTATTGGTACAAAATTGTGAGCCTAAATTTAAAAGAATATAAGAAATATTAAGTAAAATTCGATCAACTCAAATAGCGATAAAATAAGTGGAACAAAATACAGAACTCAACGGTTTAGTATTGGATCTACCTCTGGTGTGAACGTTTGTAACAAGAAGATGATGATGTCAAGTGAAATCGAACAAATTAAGAGGAAAATATCAAATATAAAGAGATACCGGAAGAAGTTTTCCGGGTTTGTGAATAGTTTAAAACAAAATACTCTTTTTAAACCAGACGTTTTGCTACAAGGAAGGAAAGTAAAATAATGGCATCGTACTGGAAATTTTTCATAGATAATTTCCGGTTGCATTAGACTATACTCTAATGTGAAAGCGAGTATTTTCTATTTCCAAGGTTTCAGTAGAATAAATCATCAGACACAGCTAAAACCTTCAGGGGAAAAGGGCTTCCATAAATAGAAAAAAAACATGATTACAACTAAAAACCTACAAGATTGTGTCGAAGAAAAAAGTTGAGTGGCAACAGTTCACTATGAAAACCTGTTCATTTTCTGGCGCCATATATCTGGTAATATTGCCATGTTCTGTCTACAGCTGTTCAATAACTATTTTGATGTGAAATCTTTTTGGTATTCATCTAGATCCTTCTATTTGAATAAGAAATACCTTCAAAAAAAATCTGAATGGCTGATTTTCGTCTAGAACGCTTCTTTTTCTAAAGCTTCAAACAATCAGCAACAAGTCATAATTGGTACAGAAAACAAAGTAAATGCCTTCAACATGCTCTGGTATTGGTAGAAAAAAAGCAATGAGAAATGTTTTATATTTCTTTGTAAAAATATTTCATCTGCTCATATGTTTTCCTTGAACAGTTGTATATTGAGAAAGAAATTTGAAAACTCTCGAGTTCAGAAAAAAAGGAATTGAATATCCGCTTAAACATAATTTTAATACGAGGATAAGTCAATCTTTATCATTCTCTAATTAACTTATCCAAAATAAATAATTATGCTAAATGATTCTCCCTTAATTTTTATAAAAAAAACTATTGGTTGTTATCTTCATGAAATACAGTCGTTGATAAATATTCAAAAAAAACGACACGCAACTTCTTCACACAAGATATATTTTGCTAAATGATATACGAATAAAACAATGATTCAAATAGTTGCGCAATGTTTAACAACATTCGACTTATTGATTATCATGGTTGTTATGACCTATTTAAACCAAGTATGATGAAAAAAATGATCATAACATCTGTCACATGTTGGTAAACAATTTCCCGTGTGTCTTTCCTACTTATTTTAATATATTTTGGATTATTATCTTTTTTGATAATAATTATGTGCTGAGTATTTTTTTCCGCTAGCGACCTTTATTTTGTTATTGACATAGAATAATTACCCTGTACAACATATTTTCATTATACTATGAGTTAATAGGCTCTTGATAAATTTGATTGCATTCTACTTCAATGTCTGTTCTAGACTGATTCGTTGCCTACGATGAGTCACTGTATTATATATTTTGGACAAGAAAGACGATAAAAATATATGCAAAGCAAGTCATTAATGTTTGCAGCATTGGTGTTGAGCACAAAATGTATTGTACTCTTCAATTCTTACAAAGGCATTATTGTAGACACACCTATATATTTAACACCTTCCAACGCAAGGAAAACATCAAATATTTAATTTCATCAGTTCTCAATTCGAATAAGAAATATGAGTATTGATACGACATTATTTTCGTTGTTTCTTATACACTCACCTATATATGTTTAGTTTCCCTTTCTTACTGCGAAAAAAAAGAAACACAACACTAAATCAATTGACAAGTGACATTAATAAAACTAGAAATTTCTACAGTATATTATTTGACAGTTTTTCATGAATACATTCCTATTTTGAGGGTACTCGTTGGTTACCATAGAACCAAATGATACGATGGAAATACTCGATTATCAAATGAGTAGCATCGAATATCTATTGAATATGACTTCGCCTTAAGTAGCTATTCACTTAGACAAACTGACAGCAGATAAATGACTTGTTTTTTTCCTTAAATGGCTACGAGTATACATTACAGCGGACGACACGTCTCTAGATAGTAATTTTAATTAAATTGTTGTTCACTCAGTGAAATTAAAAAATAAATAAGAAGCTGCTAATATACATCGAATCGCTACTGATTTCTTAAATAGTACTTAAGGTTAAATATCTATTTCTGTATTTAAAAAAATGGAGTATCTCTTTTAGCAATGATCTCAAGGGATGTGCATCCGTGCTATAAAAATTGCTCAATATCATGATCAATAATCTATTGGATGTATGCGAGACGTGAGTTTCACATTCACATCTGAGATAAATTACTGTCGATGATTCAGTGAGTATATTTTTAACAATTTCATTGAACTTGTATGACTTGATTCTTATATAGAAAATTTCTTTAATCAGATCTCAGTTGAACTCATGATAAACTCAATAGGTTCTCATCATAAAGTAAGAGTTTTTTTTGTAATTTAAAGAAGAGAACTTGAACTATCTGAATATGGATCTGTTTTTGATTTAAATAAATCTGAAATTAATTGTCTTGCTAACAAATTTAGCTTGAGAATAAAAAGAAAACCTTTCTTTGGTAATCTATCGCCAACGTCGTTATAGAAAATTCAGAAAAAAGAATATGCAACTGAAAATTTTATCTTGTGAATTTTTTTGAAAAGTTTTACTTTTCTTTCACTTACGTTATTTGCATACGTATTGTCTTTCGATGATATGTTTCCATTGTATGGTAATGATACTATTTCATCAGATGGTGATCGTTGATAAGTAGGCTGAATTTTACTTGCTTCTATTTCAAATAAAAAGAAAAGCAATCAACTAAATTCTAGTTAACTTTAATCAGAAAAATATGAGTAATAAAAAAAGGAAAAATTATGGTTATATACTTCTGTCAGTGTTTGACCAATTTAGACTATCAGTAATACTTGCAACATCAAATACATTATTAGCTAATTACCGTGTAAAGTGAAAAATATGTTTTATGTGAATAATTGAATTAGGAAAGCATCACAACAAACACCATGTGACCGATTCAGTTAACTTACCGGGTAATGTTTCTTCGCCAGGTAAACTTGCAAACTAGAATATAAATGATTGAATCAGTTTTCTATTACCAAGAAATTGATTGATTTGCTTAAGAAACAGTGTTTATAAAAAAAACCATTCAAAGAAAAGAAAAAGCATATATGTATATGTATAATATCATTAAGAGAGAAAATATTTTCGCAAATGTTTTCTTGATTTAAGACGATTTTGTAAACGATTTAAAAAATCTTGATGTTTCAAATCTCCGGATGCAGTTGAAGAATGCCATTGTAATGATGAGGATTTCGTTGTAGAGTCTTTAGCACTCTCTTGAGAAAATGAAGATTTTACTGTATGATTCCTTATTGTTGATGTTTCGAACAATGGTGATGAGTGACGAGTAGTTGTTTGGATAGAAAAACCTGTTGATTGCATTGGTACTAACAACGTAGTTGTTGATCCTTGAGGTTCAACAATTTCTTGTTGTTGTGCAATTGATGTTGGTTCAATAGTTGTTCTATGTAATACATCGTTTTGTTCGTCTTGAACGCTCTCAGATGATGATGACGAGGGTGAAGCTATTGAATTAGGCTGAAGTTCTTTTATATTTGAACAAGAATTGGATTTAATCGGTTTTAACGTTGGCAAAGGTGAATGATGCTGTTGTTGATCGTTTCGTTCATGCTTATATTTCCTGCGTGCTTGTGGGCTCGTGCATAAATCGATGAATATGCGATTTAGATTGGTCTCACTGCGACTACGTACCATTTTTATATGTGTGATGTGTTATTTTCTGTGTCATACACGTATATGGTTAGATCAATAATGAATCGTCAAATGCTTTTTGTATTACTCACTTGAAGAAAAGAACGTAGATAAGAAGAAAAAGAGAACAATATAAAAAGAACGTAGGTGTCAAAAAGCATAATGAAGAGAAAAAATATCTGATACTCCTGCAAGCATCGAAGACCAAGAAATATAGTAAAAATATCAACGAAGCCGTCGATATGATGAATAAACAATGTTTGCATAGCAACTAGTGCGAACAATGATATAAAATGTTTACCTCAATGCGAATGATCGAATCAGGATGTTGTGGTGTTATTCGTACATCTTGTTTATAACTTTGACTTGTCACATATGAAAATGGTATTGCCACGTCAGCATAGACTGTATCAACTGCCAAAAATAAAATACTAGATCGAACAGAATAAGAATAATCTAACGAACTTATAGGAGTGCTGTGTTTTTTATTCGGCTTTTTGCGATCGATGATTTTTAAACGTATTTGATTACTTTTATTATTGCTGTCGAATACAAAGCATTCATCCCAAAATCTAAAAGAACAGTTGAAATTATGTTGATTTATGGCGTAGAATAGCAAACATACGGATTAACACCATTTTTTGCAATACTCGTTTGATGCGTTTGCTTGGGCTGATTTAATTCAACAATACAAAATGGTTGCTCAACATCTATTTTTAGTTTCGTCTTTTTTAATTAGATATATAGTTCAATACGAATTTACCGTATAATTTAACAGCTTTAACAATGCGAACAACTAATTTTTTCACTTCGTTTTCCGGAGATATTGGTTGATTATTGTTACTGTTTAATGATAGAACAGGAGTTTCACATTGTGGATTGGTATTTGAAGGTTCAGGTCGAAGTGGTGTGATAGATCGCTGCTAAAATGATGAATCATTTTTGATTCGATCTCTATATAGATATCGAGAAGTCGATGTTTATGCCAAAGAAAAGATCGATTTCTATGTGCTACATAGAATTTCCCAAGACTTAGACCACGGCAATCAAATGGATAAATTGATAGAAAATCATCTGAACTGGTGCCCGACATTGAATTTCCTGTTGAACGCACCAATGCCTTTTTAGAAACAAGCTAGATTACTGTCAATTAATCTTCGCTACACTTGTCGTGTATACTGAAAATTCATAGAGCATTTTTGAAAGCTTCTGCAAAACAACAACAGAATTATCTTAGAAAACTTTCTTGATTCACAAATCTAAAAATCGCAAGAAATCCTTTGTTACCCGTCATTTTATATTTTCTTTTTCAAGTTAAATATCGAAATCTCTGTTTTAAAATATCATTTCGTAAGCTTAGTACGGAAATAGAATGCTAAATAAGTATGTCGAAAAATTGCTTCTAATCATTACTTTTCAATCTAATACAAACAAAGTTTCATTAAATGTAGAAACTGTCATGTCATACATCTTCACATGCGCTGCCAAACAAAAAAAGTTATTAACTAGAATAAAGGTCCTTCGAGGATTTCGAGACGCACGATCAAAATAGCAAAAAAAGGAAAAGAAAAGAAAAAGCAAATTTTCCTCCTTTCATAAAAAAAAAAACATCCTTTTCAAGCAGAAAAAAACGGAAATTCTTTGGGGCAAAAAAGGACTAATGTCAATTAAAAATCGTGTTCCTTAGGAAAAAACTAATCTTAACGGTATCCTGTCATGCATATATTTCAACTTTCAAGCTATTCAAGAGGACTACATGTTTGCGTTGTTTAGTACATTCAAGATTTGTCAACTATCTGTGATTGATGATTACTTTTTCGAAAATTATTTTGAATGAAAATTTTCAAGATATTATACAATCTATTCCGTATATCGTTGAACAACATTTTACATCGAATTTTGTTCATCCGGAAATTTCGAGGCTTCTTTTTATCTTACGAAAATCTTCTTACAAGCTTAAGATGCCTTAAAATAATATTAATAGTAAGCTCGAATACTTCGTTTATCGATATATATGGGTAATCTTCATCTTATTATACTCAATAGAAGTCGTCTCTTAATTTCCAGGTACAAAATCGAATGGAATTTTTTACCGCTGTTTAAAAATAAAGTTCATATCTTTTTATATAACTAGATTAATGTCGTCGATGAATTACTGTACAACAATTTTAGTAATCATTTCTCCACAAATAAAGTCTTAAAAGAAGCTTTCATCAAAGCATTTTTTCATTACGTATTTTTTCAGTAAGGTCGATCTTTTGACTTTGTTAAAATAGAGTCACACTTATAAAATAGAGTATTTTTGTCTTAATGGTTTCAAGTACCTTTCTTTCATTATTCATCGATCATTGAAAATAGAAAAAGACTTTTAACTAAAAAAATAAGAGTGATTTTTGACATTACCGTTTTTGATTCATGAATATTATTTTCTTGACTGTCGAACAGATGACAGCAACATTGAACAATAGTTTGCTTGATTGTTTCTTTCAGTAATTTAATAATTTCTTGTTTTTCATCAGATGACAAGACCTTGAAAAATAATAATGATTTCAAAATAGAACATGCCTTTTTTTCTTCTGTTCAATCTTACATTTTTCGGATCAATAATGTCAGCATTATCAATTTGAATTTGCTTAAATTTGACTTCAATAGAATATTGATTCGTAGAACTAGTGACGGAAATCTGCAGTTCACCGGTTAATTTCGGTATTTCAATGGAATAATGTTGATATTTAATTGGATTTATGATATTAAAAATTAAATGAACAATGTCGAGTGATGCTTTAATAATCTTTTTAGAAGAACAAAAAACAAAAAGGATTCAAATCAACAAGAGAAAAAAAAAAGAAAATTAAATATTTACAATGGTTTCAAACGCTGTTTGAGAAATATCATGAATATTTGCATTAGCAAATTGTAATGTTTCTATATTGAGTTGTTCCTAGAATAGAAGAAAACACACGCGTCACAATCAATCATACATGAACTTTGAAAAAAAACAAATATTATAATAATACGATCGAAATATTCTATTACCTTTTTGTGAAGAAATTTCTGATTTAATGAACGTAGAAACTCGTTAAAGAAACGTGTTTGAATGCGATTAGGAGAATTTAATAGCCAATTTAAAAAAGATAGTGATGTTTTACTTTGAAAATCTTCATTTTTTCTTTTCGAAAAAAAATATTCATTAAGAGAATAAATAGATAAAAGATATTTTAAGAGAAAATTTGATTCGAATATTATGTATAGAATAAGGATGCATGTCATAATAGTGATAATTATTGTAAAATATAATAAGTAATCATTGAAATTTTCAAGTAAGTGTAAATTAAAGCTATTATTATAATAAATACTTAGACGATGAAAAAATCGATATAAATTATCCTGTTGATATTCAATGAATTTATGGATCACTGGTCGATGAAGCGAAGTCATTGTCAACGTCTAGAGGGTAATTTTATGTTGCTGCATATTCCATGCACATATGTGCGCGGAGAAAAAAAAAGAAGAAACTCAATAAATTATCATCGGATTGTCGCCGTTCGACATTTTTCTCATTTTTATACTCTCGCTCGTGTGCATTTTATCATTAAACATACAGAAAGCAACAAAAGAGAGAGCAACGAGGAAAAAAAAAGCAATCTCTCTTTATCCTATGAATTGATGAGGTTTTTTGGAAAATAAACAAACCATGCTAGGTTCCATTAGATAGAAACGAAAGGAAGCAGATAATTTTTGACAGAAAATAACAGTATCTCATCAATAAACCAGAAGAAGGACTATTTTTCTGATTGCATTTAATAGAACATATGTTTAGTCAATATGCAAACAAATTATCCGTATATTAATCCATAGATGATAACAACATTGAAGTCTACACTGAGTTACTGATAATCGCGGGGTGCAATTACTCACTTTATTTTTTGAAAATGTGTTATTGAGTGCTATCCGACATGCTTCACTCAGTTTTTGGTAGCCATCGTTTTGTTCATGTTCAAGCCATGATCGTAATTCTCTCTCAAGTTTAACATCTAATGGACGCATAGTGTTTAATTTATTCGACGTTGTTTTTTGTGATGATGAATATTTTGTTGTATTCACTACAGTCGGTGGGTTTACATTGAACGAGGGTGTACATTTTCTCTGTTGTGTTCGGTAAGTTATAATTTTAATGATAACTATGAAGATAATAATTGGTGTGCTAAACATAATTAAAAATTGCAGTTTGCGATACAATTTCATATTTGAAGTTAAGAAAAATGAATTTGAATTAATTGCACACAAAGAATTCGGATAATCACGATAACACTGAGGCCCATTCGATTTTAGTATTGATATGTAAATAGGAAATGGTGAACTGTAACGGTATGTATTGAGAAAATCAACATGTTTTTGCTTAGATAAACGAGAATGATAAATTGGTTGTGTATAATCATAACAATTAAGATCTGTGTAAGCTAGATAAGATGAGCTAACATCATGCCGAGATAAAATATGTGTGTGTTTAGCTCTTAGGGGGAAAATATGTTGAAAATCTAGTTTAGTTTGATACCAAATATTCCAAGCTTCACTAAGCCAATTATTGATTTTTTCACGCCATATTTCAGTTCTTTGTTGTTCAGATTTAAAATTAACGGATAGTTTTGTCTTTTCTTCTTTTGTTTTATCTGATAGAATTTCTTCAATCTTTTCAAAGAAGAAAAAATACGATATATACTACATTTGAAAACGAAAACTCGAATATTTACCTGCTCAATATTTGCTTGGTTAATTTGAGATAATTTTTCGAGGACTTTCGAACTGAATTCTTCATCAGAATCTACAAAATAGTTTGCTTGCTCTTGTAACAATATACTTCGTTCTTTACCTAGGGAAAGCTATGAATTTTTTTCGTAATATAAATTTAAATGTTAAAATTTAAACATTTACTTTATCTCGCGACTGAATAGTTAACTGGTCTGCCGTGTTCTTGTCTTGATTAACAAAATCTTTTGAGTAGGAATAGCCATCTTCAACATTTGATTCCAATTCTGAATTTGTTCCACGAGAATCAAACAGCTATAAATATAAAAAACCAATCAAAATCTCTACACTAATACACATTCATGTTGTTACTGGATGAAAGAAGCGCGAGAAAAAAGCTCTTTAATTACGCTTATTAAGACGATCTAAGCTCCTATCTGAAGCGAAGTTGCTCTGTTTACACACAGGACATTAATCTCTCAATGGAAAATTATAAATTGGCTCAAACTGTCTGAAGGTCAAATCAGACTGATTCATATTTTTCTTTTCTGTTCAAATGTATTGATTTATTTGCATAAGAACAATAATAACAATTTGTTGCATGACGAGCTTTTTTTAAAATGAAAACATAGCTTGAGTTGATGCAATGGAAAACAGTTCGAATGATGATAGCAAAAGTAACAGCAAGTTCAATAGACAACGAGAAGATATAAAAAATTCTCCTAGGAATTGATGATATTTATAACAAGAGACAATTATATTTCCATTTCGTAATAATAATATTTAGTCAGAAACCGAACATAGAATTTACTTTGCATTCATGCTGAATCTCAAATAATTTTTCTATAAGTTAATTTAAGCATGAACACACCTATATTGCATTTATTTCGATGTAGTAGTTCTAGAATCAAATAAGAAATTTTCTCAAGGTACACTCAAAATCATACGGCAATTCATCAATCATTAGCTTTCAGAAAGCTAACAAGTAAGTCAAAAATTTCAGTTGAACGAACTCAGATCTGTCAGTAGGACAGACTTACGTGGTTGCCTCTCCACTAGCTCCCTCTCTGTGACGTCACCACTATGACACATGTCTTTTTACTTTGCTTATCAATCTTCTTATTGTCATGATTAATCACCTCTTTTTCATTGGAACTTCTTGAGCTTTGGTTTGTTTTTACATCATTATTAATTGATGAAAGTTCTTCGCGTTGATGATCGTGTAATTCTCTTTTGAGAGGTTCGAAATTTTTCCTAGGAGTATTTGCTTCAGTATTAGCTTCAACAAGTTTTTTTTCAGCTAAATTGATTCCCGGCTGTTTGATTGGAGTTGAATTCTAAATAATAAAATAGAAAAATATGGATTTGATATTTGTTTTAATTTTACCAAAGATAATTTCCTTTGTTCTTGTATCGATTGAGTAAGTGGCAGAAGAATTAATACAGATTGTAAAAGAAGAAGTATGACAAATGTTGCAGTAAACGAATAACGCTTTATTGATTTAAAACGGTTTGCAAAATGAATTTCAATATTTTTATGCGATAATTTTGCAATAAAAAATGATAAAATTGAGCAAAACCATATTGATGGAAATAAAATATTATAACTAGTTGTTTTAGGCAAAAACAAATCAATAAATTTAAATGGAAGGAAAACACCTATTGAAAGCATTTGAAATGTTAAGTTTAGTATAGATTTAAGGAGGAAATAAAATGTTATTAATAAACGAAACAAATAATATAGAAGAACATAAAGTCCAATTGATTGAAAGAAATATCGACGTATTGTACGAAAACGCTCTTTTGTTAAAATATTTTTTTGTTGAATGTATGATATGTAACTGGTTATTGTGTTTAATTGTGGAACATTTAAAGATGAATCAGATGTTGAAGATGACATTATTATTGTTATTCAGTTCGTTATTCCTAAATAAAGAAAAACAAAAGTAGACAAAAAGTATACGTGTAAACAGATACGTTATGAAACATAAGCATAATGTTTCGATATACGATGCCTACTTATTTTTGCGTCAACAAAAAACTACTAGCATATCGTATATAAAACTTATATTATTATACTGTGAAAGATATTTATGAATAGCTATTATTTATGTATCTACGCGTCTTTATAAAGTTGAACAAAAAACGTCAAACAAAAAAAGCCGATGTCCTAGGAATAATACTCCATTGTTGTGTCGTCTCTCGAGCCGTCCTGTGATTATTGTGCATAAAAAGAAAATATGTTCTTGCGTGTGTGTGTGTGTGTGTGAGTGTATGTAATATTATAACAACCACTGAAAAGCAGCCAAAAGAAAAAGAACGAAAAAAAAATACGACCGCTGCTACCATTACTTTTCCTTCGACAATCTTTCGCCTATTCAAAACATGCATAAGAACAGTGTGGCTACAACGTCTTTTCTTCCCTGTAAACATAGTTTTTTTTAATAAAGCGCACACTTATTTACAACTTAATAAAGAAAAATATACCAATATAATTGTCGCAAAATCGCTTAATTTAATCATTCTTTTATTACGTACAGTTCATTAATGATATTTAAATAACGTAATATTTGATGACGAAGCTCAAGTAAATATTAGCTTCGTGTATATGTAGATTTTATATAATTTCACAGTATTGTTTCTTCTCTCTATTTATCTAATAATTGAGCTCAATGAATCCCTATAATCGATAGCCATGACCTTGAAAAGGGTCTCCATATGTTACACAATTATGAAATGAAGCAAGTGCCTAGAATCTTATCTAAAAGCATTTATCTAAGATTCGACGCGAACAAGCCGCAAATAATTTTTTCTATCAAAGAAAAACGGAATTTTTATTTTTATTTTTATTTTCATATTTATTTAAAACATTTGTACGAGAGAAATCAATTGTATGTGTATATTCAATCAATAGGTTGTGTTTCTTTGGTAAATTTCATATACATAGGACAAATAATTCTAACTTATTTTATCAGCATTTATAACCTCTCAGTATACACTATTATATACATTCGAGTTTTTTCAATCATAAATTTATCAAGATATAGTTCATATATTTAATTGAAATCAAAATGATAACACTACAGGTTACTATTATCTGATCGAGTTCAAGCATAGGTTAATTTTTTCATATTAACAAAGCAATATATTTGATCACTGGTGGACCATGAAACTAATGTCATCCAACAAAGTTAATATTTGATCTTCAAAAATCACAAACAATACCCAAGAAAAAAAGTTTAAATAAATGAATGAACGCTATCTCTATCAAGACGATATTCTAGTTTTTGTTTGAACCATCAAAACTAATACTTCTACTAGCTTCTCATCAGTAAAAATGTTTTTCAAAAATAATCACAGTCTATTGCATAAGAAAATTATATATTTAAATTCGTTCCAATAACAAAGCAATGCCTTGACCACTCCCAATGCATGCAGCACCTATAGCATATTTTCCTTGGCGACGTCTTAATCCGTAGACAAGATTTGCTGTTATTCTTGCACCCGATGCGGTCAATGGATGACCAAGAACAATAGCACTACCATTAACATTACTTTTTTCATTTGGTAATTTTGATACTTTTTGACATGCAAGGAATTGTGGTGCAAATGCTTCGTTAATATCGAATAAATCAATATCGGATACTTGTTTCTTGACTTTTTTTAATAAATTTTCAATAGCTGGTACAAAGTCCAACACGCATCAAACTCGATTCAACACCGCTGACATGATAGCCTACTAAACGAGCTAATGATTTCAGATTATATTTTTTTAATGCATCCTCGTTTGAAATAATATTTGCAGCAGCACGACACCACAAATTCCACTTGCATTACCGGCTGTTACAATGCCAGCATTTTTAATAAATATAAATGGTAGTTTTGAAAGTTGCTCAATAGTTGTTTGTGGACGTGGATGTTCATCTGTATCAAATATTTCATCTTGACCGTTTTTTCCTTTAGTTTTTATTGGTTCAATTTCATCTTTAAAAAGACCTTGATCATTTGTTTGTTACCAACGTTTTTCAGATTGTAAAGCAAATTCATCAGCTTCTTGACGAGTTATCTTATATTTTTTTTTGTTGAAGTTTCCGCTAAAAATAAAATTTCATTATTCTTAGCAAAATCTTTGATCATCGTACAAATTATCTGTTATAGTCATTGGTGTTTTGTAATAATCATCTGTTAAAGATGCCCATAATGTGTCTTCTAATGTTCAATCTACGTCTAATTTGATGTCAACTCGAGTATTTCTTACTGCATATGGTGCTTGTGATATACTTTCAGTTCCACCACATAAAACAATATTGGAGTCGCTTAATTCAACTTCTTGACCGCCATTGATAACTGACTGAGAACCAAATTCACAAAGACGATTCATATTTAATGCTGGTACACGAATGGGCACACCAACACGTAATGCTGCATGACGAGCTAAATATATTGCATAGGTTGATGTTTGAGAAGCACTACCAATAATTGTAATATCGATAGCTTCAGGTGATAATTTCGCTTGTTTCAAAGCACCTCGATTAGCAGCTTCTTGTAAATCTATAGCTGTATAATCTTTTAGTTTACCACCAAAAGTCCCGAATGGAGTACGACCAGCTGCAACAATATAGATAGCTTGTTTGAAAGTCATCGTCTTCTTTATAGGTTAAATATTCGATAGATGCATTTGTACGATCGTTGCCATTAACCAATAGGGATTGATATGGTTTATAATTTGTTGGCTGTTATCATCAACCCGAAACGAAGAGTGAACGGTACGAATGATTAATAGCGACCTCGTTGATTAGAATTATTCTTTCTAAATTAAACTTCATTTTTATTATCATATTATTTAAAAGAAAAATTTATGTAATGTTTTTCTTTTAACAACGAACATGACTAAATTCAAATCGATCGATTTATTAACAGTAGTAAACATTCTCTAGGTTAATCATATTACAATCATTTATATTTACTAGACAAATAGGACAGTTCTGCTGTTTACTGATACGCTTGTTATTAATAGTTGGCCGAAATAAACATATACTAGTGATATTTATCAATTCAAAACTATTGCCAAGATCAGTATAAATAAAAATTTTGATACTTGATTTATTGTGTCATCAAAGTTCGAAATATAGATGAAAATCTTCTGGAACTAATGGTTAAATGAAAAACATTCTGAATATTTTTTTAAAGTTATGATTTCAATGGTACTTTGAAGTTGTTATGACCGAAGTGTTCCCCTTCGATTATAAGACGAAACAAACAAATAATACACGCTCCTTTCTAGTATAGTGGGTAGCACAGCTCCCCGGAGAGCAGAAAACGTTGATTCGATTCCATCGGAGGGAGATTATCCTTTTGTTCCGTTCTGTTGTCGTACTGTCACATTGCTGTCTCGCTGATAACTGAGTTTAATAGCGTGAGAGAAAAGAATATACAACAGAAATAAATTACCAATCATACTCTAGAAAACGTTAGCATTCGAAATGATTGCACTAGGATCGTGTTTCTGTTTTAATCTCCACAATTGTAGCGAATTAATTAATTTTATATCCAATAATTTCGATTAGATGTTTTTGAATATAGATGGTAATATATCTTCCAAATGATGCACTATTAAGACAAGACATAAATTTCATATCATGCTTGAAAAGTGCGAATGATGTGTAGCAGATAAATTTCAAGGATTTTTGCACCAGGTTTTGTTTTACTTTCATAGTACCCTAGGCGCACTTTCACTAATAATAAAGCATGGTTACGTGAGCTGTATTGATAATAACTTAAAGTTGCTTTTATTACAAGTCAACAAGGTAATAGATCTAATGTTTGACTGTTATGCACAATTACTACATATAGATTGACCATTCTCTCATTACACTTAACAAAACATCTACTTTGACCTTTTCTCGATCATGGTAGAAATTAATAAATATCAAAGAAAAAGAAAAATTTCCCCTGAGTATGAATCGAATAAATTTTCAATATTTACCATTATATACATCAGAGACTGTCTTTATATTGATTCATGGAATCTATTGTGTAAAAATTATCATAAACGGTATTCATTTTAAATATAAGATCAACATTCTAAATATCTATTAATGCATATTTTTCTTCTTCTCAGTCAACAAGTACACAGATAACTCTGTGTGTTTGATTCATACGACGGAAAAAAACCTTAACCAACAACGATGGATTAGCACAGGGTCATCTCAAGAAAAAAACAAAAAAAATGTGATAAAATTGAATGTTTTTTTTTCTTTTGAAATTATCATAATTTAAGTTCTTTGGCTTGTTCCCATGGAAATTCTGGTCGACCAAAATGTCCATAGCATGCTGTTTTCGTGTAAATTGGAGTTTTCAAATTAAGATCCCTATGAAAAATAAATAAATCTTTCAATATTCGAAAAAAAAAAATTTTAATAAAGTAAATATAACTTACCGAGCGATTATACCTGGACGAAGATCAAAATTATTTTTAACTATTCGAAGTAATTCATTGTTGGTTTTTGATGAGGTACCATATGAAAAAACAGATACCGATAAGGGTTCAGCAATAGCAATACTATAAGATATTTGAACAAGACAACGACGGCAAAGTTTTGCTTTAACAAGTGACTTAGCGACCCAACGAGCAGCATAAGCACCTGATCGATCGACTTTTGATGGATCCTTTCCACTGAAAGCACCTCCACCATGAGCACCCCATCCACCATATGTATCGACAATAATTTTTCTACCAGTTAAACCAGCATCCCCTTGAGGACCACCGATTTCAAATTTACCCGATGGATTTAAATAGTAAACTGTTTTATCATCCAGCAAATTTTTTGGTACAACTGTTTTAATAACTTTATTCAGAAGATCATCTCGTAATTGTTCCTGTGTAACCGATGGACTGTGTTGAGTAGATATAACAATGGTATGCACACGTAGAGGAATACATGCGCCATTATCAAATTTATATTCCACAGTAACCTAAAGAGAAAAAATTTATTAGAATAAAAATGTTCTTTGGTTTCACGTTTCTTTTTCTTTTTCTTTTACCTGCGTTTTCGAATCAGGTCGAAGATAATCTAATTCACCATTACGTCTTAACTCAGCCATTTTAGCATTAAGTTGATGAGAGAGTGTAACAGTTAATGGCATACATTCTTCAGTTTCATCAGTTGCATAACCAAACATTAGACCTTGATCACCAGCACCAATATCTTCATCTTCTCGTTTTTCATGTACGGCTTGGGCTATGTCAGGTGATTGTTGTTCAAGTGCAACAAGAACATTCATTGTTTTATAATCGAAACCTTTATCTGAAGAATCCCAACCAATATCACGTACTGTATCACGGACAATTTTTTGGTAATCAAGTTTAGCTGTTGTTGTTATTTCGCCGCATATTAAAACCATACCAGTTTTGGTACATGATTCTAAGAGAAAGAATTTAATAGTCGAATAGCAAGTATTCATTTCGAAAATCAAACAACTTACCACATGCAACTTTAGCATTGGGATCTTGACTTAAACAAGCATCGAGTACAGCGTCGCTGACTTGATCACAGATTTTATCTATTGTGCATAAATAAAAATTAATTATTTTTGTTTTACAATCTTTAATTTTGAAGTCGATAATTTGTTAGAGCAAAACAAAACATAGACGACTTGAAATGATTGCATTTCATTGAAACTATTCTTAATAAATACAATTAATTACTTACCCGGATGTCCTTCACCGACTGATTCTGACGTGAATAGAAACACTTCGCCGTGTGCATTATCCGATTCCATATTGAGGGCTTTGGTGGAATGTATGTGTCTTCTGAAAAGTTAAAAGACGAATGAATATACTAAGCCTATTTCTCAGCATCAAATAAACGTTTTTTTTCTTCGCGCTGCGCATTTCGCATTTTGTTCTCTTATCAAAGTGTAACTTCGTTAAGATATTTAAAAAATATAAGTAAAATGTACTGGTATCACGAATACTTCTATAATTTTTTTACTTTTCTTTTATGAGAATAAAAATCAAGCGTATACACGGGAACAAAAAAAGCATGAGAGAGAATCACACCAAGGGCAAGGTGTAAGTGATAATCACAATATCATCAAAAGGGTCTTATAATAACAAAAAAAACTGATAAAAGAACAGTAATATTATAGTTCTTATGTTTTTCGTAGTCGATTTTTCTATGTAGCCCTTCGGTACATCTTTTACGACCTGATAAAATAGTGGATGAAAAATATGTGCTAGGAGAAGTTTGCAAAAGGAATATAACAACAATTTAAATGGTCAAGTGAATTTCTCAGCTACCTATCATATCGAATATTTCACTTCAAATACAAATTGAAGTGAAAATAACAAATAGACATGTATATATACTTTGAAAACATAGTCAATTTCACGTTGCCTCGTATGTAGGGAAATAAAAACGAGTCCGTTCTCGATAGCGTCGTCTCTTTTTTTCTTTCTTTCTCTCTTACTTTATCATATAAACACGTTTGCTTTGCTTTCAAGATCTAATAGCTAAAACGAAAAAAAGAAGCAACGAACGAATGATAATAATGAAAATGTCTCCAGTACAGTATTGAGAAAAAAAGGGAGTTTATTGTTAATTATCGCACTTACTTATTGTATGGTAATGTGTACATGAATATCGATGAACAACTTGAGAATTGTCTTATCAAAATCTGTCAACGATTATTTTGAGAATAGGCCATGTATATTTTGATGTATTAGATCGAGTACAGAATACATGCATATAGATCCAAACGCAGAAAGCATACTTCATAATTAACGACGTAATTCAATATAGTACTTCTAAATAAAAGTTGATTCTTTCTATTTAAAATATTAATCGTATTTTGTTCTAAAGACTGAAATGTTATCAAATATATATAGAGCGAGTCCCTGAAAATTCGAGAATTATCGTAAATTTCAATAACATTTTTTTTTTGTGATTCTATTTCAACATCTGACTTCGATATGAAAACTGTTTATGTAAGAAAAGAGATAAATATTGACACAATTCCATACGAGTCTAGAGTAACATGATTGCGTCACATCTTTCAATTATAATCCTTTTATCAGTTGAACAGGAGACATTTTTTGATAGTCTTCAAACTGATAAACATTTTCATCTTATATGTCTGATTGACAAATAAAAGATTCAAACGAATCTATTATGATTCGTTGTCTGGTGAATCTAAGATAAAATGCACTTTGACATACACACAAATTTGATTGGATAGATTTGTTACACAATATTGTCTAGTTTATTCTATGTCTTATTAATTTGAAATGCGTTTTGAGTGAAACGCGATGATTTCTGAGAAACTTACTGTATGCGAGAGACTCATGGTGTTCTCTGTTTAGATGTTTTGCATTTTTCTCAGGAACCATAGTGTTTCATTCAAAACACATTTCAGATTAAGACATAGAAAAAACTAGAAAATATTGTGTAAAAAATCTATCCAATCAAAGTTGTGTGTATGTCAAAGAGCGCATTTTATCTTAGATTCACCAGGTCGCGCATCATTATCATTAGTCACTTGGTTTAAAAATTTTATTCGTTCGTCACTTGCCCACACTGGAAAAAAATCCATAATGGGTAATAAAAGAAAACATTTATATACGCAAGTATATAGCATATGAAAATCGCAGTTTCATTAACAAGACAAGAAGAAGTTTATAAACAAAATGTCACTGATTGAATGGCAAAGTCTATTCGAGGATGTGTTTGAAAGCTATCCTGACAAATGGGCATTACGTTGTGTGTATAGACATGATAGCAGTCAAAATCGGCGACTGCAAAATAAACGCGTCATGGACCGAACTGGATATGCCAGGTATAAATTATGATTCTATTTAATGAATGCTGTTAATGCGGGTTCCTTGGTTTTTTCTCTCTTGTAGATTTCATTGCCCAAAATGTTCAAATGGATGGGCATCAGCAAAAGCCAAAATTACCTTATATTATCCTAATTATGATGAACCAATAGGAACAGCTCTACTACGATTTTATGGACAAAAATGTAAAAAATGTGACGGAAGAAAACTCAGTTTTGCAGATCCAGAATTCGAAGTTGACTGGATAAATTTAACTCTAGAAAAACTGTACGAAAGCATTGGTTGCTGCTTTTATGGCAAACAACGACCAGAAAAACCAAAAAACGACTACAATAAAGTTATCAATATTGAAGGTCCTCATGAAAGTAAATTATGTGAGGCTTGCCAATTAGGTCGTTGTGATCAAATGCTGAGAAACAAGAAAAATAAAACTTAAAGATGCTATTTTCTTTTTCATTTTCATTTTCATGTATATGTTAGATTGTTTCAGATTATTAGAATTAGCCATTTTTTTATTATTTCCATTTCACACGTATCCTAAATGTTTTTGCTTCTTTTGTTTATTTTATTTCTCTATCAATTAGCCTATTAAAAATAGATATGACTTCCTTTGACAATATGGATACTGATAAACCACAACATAGGATGTCATATGGTTCAGATCAATACATTAAAAAGACTTTCTTTCTGGCCACCATTAGCATATTTTATTCATCACCAGTGATATTTCTATGACACCTTCAAACAGCGAATAAATTAGGAATGCTTTTGACATAATATTGAAAGGAACTTTAAAATATGCGGATAGTTTTTCATATTATGATTCGAATTTATCCGCATATTTTCCAAAGGAGAATTGAAGTGAAAAGTACTAAAAGTTAAATATTTCTAAGGTAACAATACATGTTTATAGAAGTTTGATCGAATTGAGAGCTATTTCAATCATCTAGTATCAAAAAACTAAAAGATTCATTGGCGATCCGATGATCAAGAAGAATAGTCTCTTAGATACACATAAACAGTTTTACGATTGAGAAAAACAAATCAATTCAATCCTATCTTCCATGTTTATGAAATTTATTTTATTACGTGAACCAATTCTCCAGCAGCATTTTACGAAGGAAATATAAGTTGAAGTGAACTATGTATATAAACCAAAAGATCAAACTTCGAAAACAATCAGGTATTGCCAGTATTCAAGCGAATTTCCATAGAGATTTGCATGTTTGTACCTGTGTATAATAATTGGCACGTGAATTATTAGTTGTCTATAACTTTAGGTTTTGTTGTCGAGACTGATAAATCAATATGGTATATTGTTTTTTTGCACGTAGTTTTCGGTCATAAATAGTTGTCCATTGACATTTGGTTGATGGAGTATAAATATTTGCTTTCATAGTGCCATATACAGTTGATAGCAATATAATGATCGAGTATTAAATGGCATTTATTTTCTTTAGATATGGTTTAGATTGTGAAGCATAACAAAAGAACTTGTTTAACCAGTAAATAATCAATGGCATTTGAAGTAACATCATTTTCTACTTAGAGATTTCTGTTTCTTGTCACCTTGGTCTTTTTTTTGAAACTTCGTTATATGAATATTATTCTCATATTAGTATATTTCTAGTCATTCATTCAATATCAAGGGCAGAATCGGCTGAGATTTATTCTTAGTTTTAATTTTCTTGCAAGACACATATTTTGCGTTCATGGTTAGTCAAAGTCATGACTTGACGATTCGTAACAATTCTAAACTAGTTCGATTTTACAATTGATTTGACTGAAATCTATCCAAATTTACTCTTTCTCAAGGAAAAAGTCAGTTCAAACTTTCATAACACACCATTTTGTATTTCACGGACTAAAACAGACAGTCATCGCAATTATGTCTATAGCTTTTTTCGGAACAAGTAAGTCAAACAAATCAGTACTCGATGGTATTCATTCGGACGAAATAATATAAACATCAAAGAAAATAATAGAACAACATTGAACGAAATTCAATATATTTTCTGTTATTTATTTTCTTTCACAACGGAGATTAATTAGAAAAAAAAATTATGATTAATCTTTTCCAGAAAAATGACTCTAAGAACGCTAATGATCTACAAGTTGTAAACACGACCATTTTTTGTTTTATTTTATAATAATTTGAACAAAAACAAAACAACGACAGTGAACAAGTACTTAACGTATGTTTACATTGTGTATAATCCGAAAAACAGTAAAGAAAAAAGAAACGAAATGAATATATGTAAGAAACAATTAAAAGAAATATCATTTAGTCTGTTGTATTAGTAAAAAAACCAAGACGTATAAATTGGCCTAAAAAAAACAAGTGTCCTTTTGTATTTATAGAATGTCATAAGTTTTATTTCTTTTGCTGTAAGGAATTTGCTAGCCAGTCCATAGCTTCATTTAATCCAGTACCTTTAATTGCTGATGTTTTAAATATTTGATATTTTCGATTTTTTAACGATGTTAAACCAAGTGCATTTGCTACATCACTTACACTCATACAACCTTCAAGATCTTGTTTATTTGCGAATACACATAAGACAGCATTTTTAAGTTCTTCTTCTTCAAGCATTGACACAAGTTCATGTTTTGATATGCCAATACGATCACGATCCATGGAATCAACCACGTATATAATAGCATCAGTATTTGAATAATAACAACGCCAATAGGGACGAATTGATGTTTGGCCACCTGAATAAAATAAAATGAATATATACATCCTTTAGAAAAAATAAAAATGATCTTTTCTAATTACCAAGATCCCAAACTTGAAATTTTAAATTTTTATATTGTACTGTTTCAACATTGAAGCCAATGGTTGGAATGGTTGTAACAACTTCACTGACTTGAAGACGATAGAGTATTGTTGTTTTGCCTGCTCCATCGAGACCCAATATTAGTATACGTCGTTCTTTACTTCCGAATAAGCCAGTAAAATAGCCTAATAAATTACCCATTTATCTTTTGTTAATATGATTGCTAATATATTGAAATGAGTATAACTAAGGGTTGATTATTAACATCTACAACAATATTGCAAAAGAAATGTAGTATTAGTCACAGATTTTAACTTTTATAAAAAAAAAATATTTTTTTTTCTCTCAATGATTTTAATTCCTTGAAAAGAAATATTTACCTTACACGTCGTCACTCAATGACTGTTGCGCTTCATAATTATAATGGTGCTTATTGATTGGTTTCGCTTGAGTTGATGAGTACGAATAAAAATTGCGTTTCATAATGTAAATGCATGCTTTTTCTATTGACATTGCTTGACACAGAGGGCGCTAGTATTCGATTATAATAAATTTTTGATTTCTTTTTTTTCAATTGAATCTAAACAGTTCATTCCAGAATAAAGACGATCACAGTGACCTTCAGCAGTCATTACATAATAATGATTATGTTAGGATTGTGAAACCGATGCGTCCAATATTCTAGTAAATATTTGATTTTGGTGTTCGTGTTTTGTAGTTAGTTTGAATGTTTCGTGATTATTCTCATTGAGTATAGGTAACGGTGATGTCGCACATGAAGAAGATTGAATCCAATTACTCAAGAAATTTCTAGATACTACTTTGAATAGATCTTTTTATATCGCATTTTCAGTAAGAAAATTTCAATATGTGTAAATTTTCTGTTAATCTCGAAGTGTTCGAGTGTAATTATTGCATAACTACAATTAGATATGTAAATTTCCGATATGAAACGGTTAAAATTAACTTCTCACTTAGATATAAATGAGAATCTTCAATTTCTTGCAATGGATTTATGTGTTCTTGATTATATTTAACCTTTTAAAAACGTTAAATAAATTAATAGAACAGAAATGTGATATACTTACATAATAAATACATACAAGTGCAGTATTTTATCTAGGTTTCATTTTCCCGGTGAGCGGCTGCTGGCCAGAAAATTTGTTATCATATAGTAACCGGTGGCCCTTAAAAAATGGCGGTCTCATTATTTACTCAATATCTTTTTTGCTCTTCATGGACTTGAACTGAACGTTTTCCCAAAAGATTGAGCATTCAATTCTCTACAAACTCACATGTAAAAGATTTTTTAAACTACAAAATGGCTAAGTACTAAAACGAAGAAAAAAGGTCGAATAATCTTCAACTTTCAAGCACTAAATCCGTTTTTTTTCGAAAATTTGCTTGCCATGTGAGGATCTACAAAAAAGCTCAGTCTACCATGTTAAAGAGCATCAGATTCTGGGCAAGATTCATGTCTTCTAATTTTTTTTTCATTACAAAATGAGTAAAAAAATCTGCATCAATTTTTTCGCTTTTTCTAAAAAACACAACTGTCATGTCATGTTTTGATGCTTGCACTAAAATGTATCCCATTCACTTAAAAAGTGTTATTTTTTGACGATTTTTTTTTCTTTGAAAGCCAACATACTCGACTACACTCCTGTATACGTGTTCCAAAGTTTCGTTTGCAGTAGACTTTCTTGTAAACCGAAATTAAGGCCTTATGGACGAGTTTTCAGAAAATATCGATTTAATAGACGAAGACCACTTTTAAAGAAATGTTTTTCAAAGATATCGAAAAGAGCGTACTAGAAAATACCAGAAAATGTTTCTCCCGTAAGTTAAGCCTGCGGTTAAATTATCGAAACATGCTCCAAATGTTAATGTTTGTTTAGCTTGAAAGTTGAAGATTTTTTAATCTTTTTTCTTCGTTTTAGTACTTGGCCATTTTGTAGTTTTAAAAAATCTTTTACACATGAGTTTGTAGAGAATTGAATGCTCAATCTTTTGGGAAAATGTTCTGTTCAAATTCATGAAGAGCAAAAAACATATTGAGTAAATAATGAGACCGCCATTCTTGATGGGCCACCCGTTACTTTTATGAAATCAACTGTTTATTTTCGGGTGGGCACCGGCCACCCTGCCCATACAGTAGATAAATCACTGTTGTTACAAGTGAAAAACAGAGGTCATCGATGTACAAAAATAATGGTATTCGATTCAAGGTGATTCTATCATCATACTAGTTTCATTTAACTAAGCTACAGATTTTCTTCGCTATCTAAAAAGTTTCAAAATGCCCAGGGTGACAAAAAAAAAGAAATAATATGAAATCAAATTATTCGATATTAACAAGGATTTGTATTCTAAGACAAACAAAGTTATACATCGATAGAAAACCTTTATTATTCGTACATTTGATTGCTCAGAAATATCTGATGAGCTACTGAAATAAATATGAGGTCAGAGAAGCTTGGAAATTCACCCTGAAACTATATTATTGAATTGATCTCGATTTTGATGCCGCCTTATAAATGTATTTTTTGTGATAGCTTCATTGGGCAAGATTAACAAGCTTTCAAAACAGCCAATATCAGTTGTGTGAGAGAATTTTACTGCTGACAAAACATTTGATTTTGTATGATAAATATATTTTATAGCTTATTCATCATAAACATCAATCAGTCATGCTTCTACATTTATTTTTAAAACTATTTTCATAGCGATGAGTAACCGTACCTAAGTGTATGACGAAAGTACCGATGTATGATTATCTTGTTAATTGACATACATTGCTGTTGATCTTCTTGCAAGCACCATTCAATCAAAGTAAACTGAGAATCAATCGTATAAATGTCTGAAAGCATTTTTTATTCAAAGTATTCTTAAATCATTTATAAAGAAACAACATTATCAACCATACACAATAGGCTCAGTACATAAATACACTAGATTAGAAATAATTTGACGAAAGAAAATAATTGTCCAATAATTTGAGTTTACCTCGATTAAACAGGCTAATACCTGCTTATGGGTTTTCACAATTTTTCTGTATTTTGCTATCATCACAAGACTAGTAGATAGAAATATTATTACCCTGAAGTATTTTTACCGTTAGTATGTCTATAAATTTGATTTTTTTTTAAACATAAGCATTATTTTTGTTAGGTAATCCAACGAGAACAGTCGTCTCTGTGAAACTGTTTATTTAGAAAAAAATTATTATATCTAATATTTATTCTCAATATCAAGTCTGCGGTTTAAGATTGTTAGCCTATCATTATGTACTCTTTCAATACGGCTATTTTTCCTTAAGATGATATGCAATTCTTCTAACGCCGTGAATATTCGTCCTTAGTAATAGAGCGTATAATTATTTCTTCTTCGATATGCTGCCGAGCTCCAAGTGAAAAGAATCGTAGTAGATCAAAATTGCTCTTTACTTCAAGTAAATAAAATATATTTGACGTCAATGACATGTATTTTCAAAGTAGTACATATCAAATCCTAAGATATAACTTACTAGATTACACTGGCTGTTTATCTGCGATCAAGTTACCATTTATTCACCCACAATGAATGATATTAGTTTTGATATCGAGAAAAAACCGAGACGAATCGATTAGAACAAACTGGAAAATATTGAATTTTTTTATCGTCTATTTATTTAAGTGTCGTGTTCATATATTTCTCAGCATTATATAAATTATGAATTCTACTGTCTATTTCGTCTTTAATTTTCTGAAATATTTCAAAACATTTTCACATTACAGTGTTTGAGACTTCGTTAAAACTTGAGAAACTATTATAAAGCATCGTTTTCTTCTCCTTGTCAACAACATAACGTGCTTCAACACTTTGTAATAAATAAACGTACGTTTTTTCGACATTGTTAACCTTCACATACCATTTGTTAGTTTTTCGTTCGTTATTATCAGTAAAAAAAACAACTTTACTCACCTTGCCCTTCACTCAGCTACATCAGCAACACAGATATAGAGCTGTTAGGAAACAATAAAGTTAAATAAATATATACGTATAGTTGCTTTGTTTTGGCGATGATTAGCGCGCGTACATTCACATATAATGATTTAAACGAACAGTAAAATGTATCGAATTAAAAAATTATGATTGTTTTTCATGCGCTAAGTACTGGTGATAGAAAGAAACAAAGAAAAAGAATCATGATTAGATCAATCGTTTTTTGTTTGTTATAAAAGTGTGCTGTTTAAGAATAAGATGATGAAGTAATAGTAGAAGATAGAAGAAAAAAAAAGAGCATTGACTAACATAAAAGAAAAAGGAACAAATATGATGAATCACACAAATAAGAATGTTTCTTTTTTCACGCTAATGATGAGATGATATGCCGGACGAAAAAAAAACATCTTTGATTCTAACTAATAGCCGCAAGACTTTAAATATTCACCAATCTTGTTCGTTTTTCCCACTAAGATTTCAGGCTTTTGATTGATACCGATTGAAATAATATAAGCTAAATTGAAACACTTAGAAGCATGTTTTTTCGTTTTATTTTTAGTACTTACCTTGATTTAATTTAACAATAGCCATTCCATCAGCACCTTTTCGAAAGACAGCAAAAGTACCATCGTTACGAATGTAAATGTATTTTTCACGATCCACTACAATGCCTGATGGTTGTAGAGAAAAAGCTTTCGGTAATTCATCTTTAAGATTATCGATTGACTAGAAAATAAAAATAAATCATAAAATAATAAAAATATAATGAATAAAAAAACGAAATGAATAAACCAACCGGAAAATTTGGTGATGCAGCCCAACGTGATCCATCAGCACCAAAGATTCCAGCATGTGTAATACCTTGACTTGTCAAATTCGTGATGTATTGATCCCAGCCTGACATTTGTTCTGTTTAAGTGAATATGTAAGAATTCGTTTTACTTATTATTAATAAAAAAAAGAAGGCAATAAAATGTTGGCTCGGAGTTAACAATCTAGAAGTAAAAAGAAAAAAAACATACCAACAACAGAACAGAACAGGTTAGATAAGTAAAGAAGCAACAAAAAGATAGAGGAAGGTGCTCGTGTAGGAGATCGCCAAACAAAAAAAAGTGCGTGCACTAGCATATATATATATTCGTATGACTAGTGCGCAAACTATCGAAGAAAAAAGAAAGAAAAAAAAGACACCGAACAATTATCATTAGTTCTAGCAC